ATCAGTTCTTCGTTATCTTTTTTGTATATTGGGGTTATTTTGCCAAGCTTCAGAACTGACGGAAATATCCCTTGAGATATTAGGCGATTAAATTGAACAACAAGAGTTGGGCTAAGAATACCCGATAGTTTTTTGATTACTCTTATGGGAAAGTCGCTAGCTTTCCCACTCTTCAAGTTGGCTATAATCTCAGAAATTTCATCTTCACTACAGTCATGGAAGTAAATTGAATCGAGAGTTTTTGGTGGCATGAATTCGAGGAAAGAGGGAAGAGGTTCTAAAAGAAGGCCATTTTGAGTATTTTCATTCATTTTTGAGGCAATAGAGGCAAAGTACTCATTAAATTTGTTGGCTATCACCCGTCTTTCAACAACACGGACTCCATCTACCATAAATTGGGGTTTGATGGTTTTTTTCCTTTTCCCTCTTATCTCATTTATTACTTCCCACATCTTTTTAGAACTATCAGAATTTTCAAGAATTTTGTTACAGTTATAGGTATCTTTTTGGTTTTTTATTATCTTTTTAAGACAGCGTCTGTAATCACGAAAAATTTTGTGGAGTTTCAGATCTCCAACTGGCTTGAAGTCAGGGAGCTTTTTTGAGTTCACCCAGTTATCATACAGCTGACCTTTCTTTTCAATTGCTTCAATTATGCTGTCGGATATCCAGGGATTACTTATAGGATTTCGTTTGGTGAGTTTGGGTTTGTCGAGTTTACAACATGAGTCAATAGCTGAGCTAAAAATTTCAAAAAATTCGTCAAATTCAATTGGATTTTCATTGTTTGTTAGTATGCATTTCTTAGATAGCAAGTTTTTTGTTAGTAGTTCAACATTTCGGTTTGAGAAATCATAGCTTTGCAATTGCTTAGGCTTAGGGGAAGTTTTCCTAAAAGTTAAATGACTGATGTCAAAGAAAGCAAAGATTGGTTTATGATGGGAAGAAGTGTCTTCAATAACTCCAGAGAGGGTTACCAAGTCAATCTCATCAGTAAAAATGTTGTCAATGCAGGAGCTTTGGCCTACATTTACTGAGTGAGTGGGACGAGATATAAGAGGAAAGTAACCATAAGAGAGCATAGTGTTCTCGAAATTCTGAACCTGTTTTTTATTACTCTGATTTTTAAGCAAATCGTAGTTGAAATCTCCAAGAGTTATAGTTTTTGCATTTTTTGGAAATTTGGACATTAATTGTGTGTATTCTTCATCAAATTTGACTGAGTCTCCGTTTGGAGATCTGTACAACACCCCAACATTGAGTTTGCTATCTCCATGGTTGATAGTTACATATAGGGTTTCTAAATTTGGTGTGATTGTGCAAAGTTGGTCATTAATTGTTCCATTTAGGGAATCATGAATATACAAGCACACGCCTGAGCCTTTAGCTTTGCCTTTGAGTTTATCTCCGTAAAAGTGTGAATATCCATCAAGTGCATAAACATCACAGTTCTCAGCATCTGTATTTGTTTCCGCTAAAGCTAGAATAGAAAATTTCGTTTTTTGAGTGGCAAGTTCCGAGAGGAATAAGTCGAAATTCGATTTATTACCATCAATGTTGTAAAATAAAGTTTTTAAGCCAGAGTTTTCAGGGGTGTGCTGGTGTAAGGATTTCAATCTATAATAGCTGCATTTGTCCAAGATAGAGGAGGCAGTCTGAAGACTTCCAATAGCCTCAGACCAATTTTCGGAGTAAAATTTGTCATTCTCGCTATCCTTGAAGAGATCCTCATTTGTGGTACAAAGGTCCTTAAACGGGTTGTAAATTAAGTTTTCTCTTTTTGAGCAAACTTTACAGAGAAGTATGGAATCAGTCAGCTTGAATTCAGATGTTTTGAAACAAATTTTGTGGATAATATTTTGGCAACTTTGGCACTCAAGAAATCTTTGGCCAATATTAATGTTTTTGCTACAGCATCCGCATTTCTCCTTAGTTGAGTTAATCTTGAACATTTATATCAGACTGCATCTGGCGGTCCTCCTCTTAGTGTGTTGCTGTACAATCTACTACCTACTAACTTGTTATGATCCTTGGATGTAAAAATACAGTTCTTAATTAACTTGACTAGTGCACCAACGCCCTTGCCATTAATATGAAGAATATCATTCACATCAGACTTAGCTAGACTGTTCTTAAGCAGGTTGGTGCTTTTATCTAGAAATGTCAAAAAGCTATCAACAATTAGAACTTTAAGATTAGATTGACTGAGATCGTTGTACAAATACTGGTTAAAAACATTAACTTTTCGATTGATCTTATGCGACCTTGTTGGCAGCACAGGACAGATTATCAGTTTACAACGTGGGTTGTATTTCCTAATCTGAGCGATTTTGTTCTTATACTTGGTATACAACTCTCTCTCATCCGTTCCATCTACTTTTAAATTGTTGGTTCCTTCCATGATGACAACGTTTCTGTAACCTACACAAGACAAGGGATCGATCTCCTCAACCGTAGCTGCCCAGAGGCGAACTCCAGGGGTGGCTTGTCCCATCTTTCCACGACCTGTACCAAAGTTGATTTGTCCAAAGTTTGAATCTCCAACAAGCACTGTGGAGTTAAAATTTGACCAGTGGATTGAGCGAAAGGTTAGACTATATCGCATTCCTACTTCATCAGACGTTTCAGGCTTGATTGAGTGTTTAAAAAACTCCTGGCTTGCTTTTGTCATATGGTACATGCTTCTACCCTGACATTTTATCTCCGTAATCTTATCTGTAGAAGTTTCACGAAAGCTAAGTGTTCGACATGAGCCTAAGGAAACTGTGAATATCGATGACACCCGATTAATGTCTCCCTCGTTGTCTGAATGTTCAGGAAGTGCTTCATTCCCATCTGCATACCTGTTAACCAGGCAGGAGTTTAGGTCATAGTGGAACTGTTTCTGGGGGTGTGTGGAGGAGAATTCAGTGTTAAGACGTTTCATGATGTTGCCAATCAGGGTGGGCATGGGCTTTGGTTCCGATTTTGCACCCATGTAGTGGTAATGTTGGCCATACTGGATTGTGGCATGCTTACCTTCTTTAGTGAAACTCTCAGCTTTGAGAAAGTCTGTGAGCTCTATCTCTTCATCAGGAGTTAAGAAATCTTCCTTTATCCCTTCTATGCATTTAAAATTATGAGTAAGGGGGGTATCCTTTACTTCAATCCTTGGAACTGATGGAGGTGCTCTTGGATGATGCTGCTGTCCATACGTGGAGGGCATATCAGAGGGTGGTGGGGGTGGTGCCTGAGGGATCTGCATGGACTAGCATCTAGATTCGAGATCACACGCTGCAACAAAACGCTGCGCCGTCGCTTTGTTTTATAGTCATTAAAAAGCATTCCGCGCCTTACGCGTAATAAACATCCGACAAAATCCTGCCTTTCAGACAAAATCCCGCCTTTTAACTGACAAATTGCCGCGCTTTTGACGAGCGAAGAAACTAGAATGCTTGTTTCCCGCCAACAAAATTCCCGCCAAGTTCGTTAAGAAAAAGTTCAAAAGAATGTACCGGAACATTTGATTACTAGATAAGATAAAAACCAATGATTTAAAGTAACAAATAAATCTTACTGAAATGTTGCTCTCTGTTCTTCTGATGTAAGGATTCTGTACTTCCTAATCGAACACTAGATACAGGACGTAATCACCGTCGAGAGAGGGATCTTTACATTACGATAACGATTGAGACGATCACTTGAGATGGTTCCTTTAACTTGATCTGCAGCAATTGAATATTTTAAATGTAAAAAAATACTGCGATCCAATCATCATTATAAATTTGTATTTGAGAATAAGTTACGACGTTCTTATTACTAAAGTTGCTATGATTTAGAATTATCTGAAATATTAAGTTAAAGTGTCAAAAAGAAATAAGTAAAACACCAAGGTAGCCTAGCTATATTGAAATGTATTTGTATCGATGACTTAACAATATTTAAGTCGTGACGCAATGTCACGTCTATTACTTGTTTTACAATGACTGTCGATTTATCAAAGTTATGATCGGTCGTTCTGGTAAATATAAACTACTTCATATTTGTGAAGTACTCAGTGAATTCTTACAAGACAAGGTGAGATATACCTTCTAAGCATAGAATGATTGTTCTAGTCGTGCCACGTTGATTTCAGTTGTTGTTTAAAACGCTCTACACGTTTAGCTGGAATAACGGCATGGAAGCAAATTGGTACCAATTTATCAACAGAATGAGGATCTCATTACAAAAATGGTAAAAAATACCTCTTAAGCAAATTCCAAAAAAAAAGAAGCTTTGAAGGGGGATTTGAATCAAGAAGAAGGCAATTTCTCTTTTTGATGAACAAGTTTAAAGAGGTTTCACAACTTAACTCAAACGATAGCTTCTGAATGTCAACTGAATTCCAGCTAATTTGTGGATGATCCGCAGTTCCTGGTAGCTCCATGCATACAACTCATTCACGTGCGCACCTGAAGAATTATGTAAGGATACAAGGATACAAGGATACAAGGATACAGAAGTGATAATTGATTTTTTGAGTTCTATGTTATAAAACACCATGATTTTATGAACGTTGATTTTGGCGGATACAGCAATTAGGCCACTAAATTTTCGTTTTAGGGAGGGGAGGGTCCAAGCTTCAAAAAATTAAGAAATTTAACAAAAAACCAAATTTACGCAAAGTAAAATAGCATTCCATAAAAGTTTAAAGGCAAATGTCTGACCTAAAATGATAGTGCTGGATCTAATGTAGTTGTTCCCGGCTTTGTTCCTAATTGATAAATTCTGCGCAGCATTTTCAGGAAACGTAGCGTTATCAAATTTTTAGCTGTCAGAAATTAGATTTTTAATTTATTTTTTCTTACCAAAAATTTTGATTTCAAATTCTCACGCTGATGTGGGAGCACACAGCATGATGGTGCGGGCGTGCCAAATTTTACTGGCGTGGCTGGATCCAATGCAATAATTGACAAACCTTTATCCTCCCATCATTAGCTTGTTATTAACATCCTTTGCAGTCAATAACCAAAAGGAACTCAAAAGCTCCAACGCGGCATGGTGAACAAGATGATAGCCCGAAATGGGCTACAGTGTCGTTTCCCGATTATCCAGATTATGCACAAGAACTTCTCCCGATAGATAAGCTGGTAAGTAAATAAGACCAGGTGTTGTAGATTATATAATACAGTTCCACACCTGAACTCATCCAATCAGGGGTTATGATTTTTCCCATTGCTATTCTAAAAGGCTTCATAAATATTCAATTAACGAGGTTTTAAGAACAATGTATTCAAATAGTATATTTATTCATTATATTCTTGGCTCATATTAATAGACAAAGCTCATTTTAGATCGGGCTGCCTATTGGTATGTAAACACCACACATACAGGTCAGTAGATATAATACTTACTTAAACTTTTGACTAATATGTAAATGTTTCCAGATGACAGAAGGAGGAGATCATGGGAAGAAGAAGGAGATAGGAGCTAAGTACTCAGCATTTTATATGTTGGAAGGACAGAATAAGGAATACTCTGTTATCGTCGACAAACTAATTTCTGGTAGGAGATTTTATTCATTACATTTCTTTTTGATTAGTCTTTGAATTTTGAGAATCCTGCTACTAGACCTAGAGATACTAACACTTTTCTCTGATTGCAAATTTTATCCAAATTGTCTTTCAGGTGATGCAGGGGACAAAAAGAGAGAGATGGAACGTATCGCTGGATTAGTCCACAGCGACCGGACGAAAAAGTTGGTGTATAATTTTTCAATACAGTACTTCTCATGTCATATTCTTATTTAATTCGCGTATTGAACAACAGTAGCTTAGATACTGGTCAATTTTGGGATAAACATTCAATGGGTAGGTTCCATTGTGCGACTTGACTTTAATGACCTCCTTCTGTTCCATAAGGTTGTGTACCAGGATGTCCCTTTGAAATTACCTGAATACCTTTAGATCTTTGATGGATCAAGTAGACTTCGATCTATGCGCTTAGATTGCTGCAATATTATTACATGTTAATGATATTTACCTAGAGAATCAGATCCTAATCTATAGTATAAATCCTTCTTTTACCAGACGCACGAGTCTGGTAAAAGAAGGGTTTTTATTTTTTGATCTCACAATGGGGCGTTCTCGATTTTCATAAAACGATATGACTTATAGTTGAAGTATCTCATAGGTATTCACTATTCATTTAGAGTACTCAAAAATGTTGACAGATCTAGTTGATAAGCATTTGTATTATTATTCTTGAATTTTTTAGTAGGCTCAATGAACGAAAAGAGCTGAGCTGATAGAATAAAAAACGTTGTTCATTATTATAGTCGTATCTATAAAAGATACCGCTCCATTTCTAGGGATGATATCGGTCATAGATGCATAGAAATTACTATCTAAAATGTCCTTTCAACTCAAAAAACCCCCTTTTAACCCGTAACCATTAGGGACAATCTGACAAGAAAGGTTGGATCAAAAAGGAAAGCAGAAAAGAACCCTAAGAAGACAGATAGGAACAGTAAACGATCATTTAAATCCGCCAAGGATGTGGAAAGGTGGGACAGTTTTTCTGAAACACACTTTAATCAATATAAGTAAAACACGTTAATATACTACACTAGGTTTTCATGATTCCTATAGTAACAAACGTTCTGCAATATTTAGAAAGGCTCAACAATTGGAAATTAATAGCTAGGAACCCGCCCTCTGGAAAATACCCAGGGTGTGCTTTTAAAAACAGCAATAAATAGGCCTTTATTGACACTGCTTTGATTTTAAATCAAGAGCACCGGTGTCATGAGTAAATTTTTAGGAATGACCGTCTCGATGTCAGTGGACATTCATAGGACGGGTTATCAGCTAGTTTTCATAAACCTTCAGCCTTTTTAAGATTCACTTTTCTTTGTACCTATCGTGGCAACCCGAAAACATGACGGGATTTTTAGTACACTTAAATTTCAAAACACTTGAAATGAAACACAAATAAAATGTTAATTAGACCAATAACCAAATGAATACAAATAATATGAAAATTTTTCAAAGAAAAGAAAAAAATATGACATAATTATTTTGCTAGATGTATCTACGGTTCAGCTGGTAAAGCTAAAGAGGGATCCACGCCGAATCCTAAAAGGTTTGATTGACACGTCTTAGATGACCCTTGGTTACCCTTTTTCCGGAAGTACTTCCTCACGTTTGAATGGATCATCAACCACGAAAAATTAATAATTGATACGTACTATCTATATGCTGTAATTCTTAAAATCTATGAAGCAAAACTAACCCCATTTCATTTCTTTTTTTTGGGCTAGTTGTAATTGTTGACTGTTTTCTAGGAAATTTTGACACTGCTTAAAATTAATGTTGTTTTTCAGACCCGCCCCTGAAGCAGTTGACATGCCGGTTTCAGTTAATGTGATACCTGACAGTCCCCAGGCAGACAGGTGAATCGGTTGTTATTTTCATTAAATGTGCCACATGAAAACACCAATTAACAGGAAAAATTGCGATAGAAGCGTCAAATTTGATGTCTCATTTCTTTAGAAAAGGGTGGGTAAGCACCCAATGTAAGTTAATAGCATATTCACACGCACACTAGAAGTGTATTGTTTTTCACATAGTGTGCAACCTGCGAACTTGAAATCTCCTAACGATGTTCATCAACTCGTGGATATTCTCCACTTGAAGCTACAACAGATCCAGACTATATGCCCTCGTATTAAGATATTTGTTACCGCTGTGTTGCCTTCGCGATTTCCCCGCATGAACATGAACATCATCATGTTCAACAGACTTGTCTATGATATGCTTGAGTCAAGCTTCGAGCAAAGCGTGTGGCAGATCGGTGTCTATCACTTCGTTGATAACAAAGGTCTGCTTGCCATGAACTTTACCAGAGATGGGAATGAGATACATCTTGGCAACCGCGGTTTATCTAAGTTTGTGAGATGTGTTAAACATTGGGTGTATGTGCGTGAGAAACTTGAGAGAACTAGACAGAGGAAACCTGGTCAGACAGTGTGATATGATCCCACTTGATCAAAATGAACTTGAAAATCAATAAGGAGGTGTGCTATCCGTGCAGTAAGTCGATTAATATTGGGCAACCTATGCTTGAATGTGAAAACTGCACCAAAGTTATCTATACTAGATGTTTTAAATCTGCTAGTTTTAAGTGCAAGAATGGCCTATGGATGTGCCCAGAATGTGCACTTATCACAGAGGATAGGTACTGCCCCTTTGACAATCAAAACGATCTCGAAAAGTCGGACAGGCCCTACAATGAGGGTGCAGAAGACACCCTCATCCAAAAATTTTGTCATACCCTCGAGAGCTGTAAACGTTATTCCAAACGTGAATTCACAGAAGTAGCTACAAAAATCAGCAGTGGTGATGGGTCCTTCCTCTCAGCACTGTTCCTCAACATTGATGGCAATGCCAGTAATTTCGATACATTCCAAGTTGAACTCAAACGGTTATCTCACTTGCTGAAACCAACGTTGGTAGTAGCTTACAAGAATTATACCAGATCCCATCTTACACCAGTTTTTATCAAAATACCCTCCCAGATAAGAAAGAGGGCACTGGGGTTGCGCTTTATGTCTCAGACAACCTTAACACTGTTGTCCTAGAAAAGTTATCCTACTGTACTGTAAACATTGAATGCTCATTCGCCGAAATCACTGATAGCACTGGTGTTGGGGTTGTCTACGGAGTTGTATACCGTCCCCCTAGTGGCTGCCTTAAGGCTTTTTGTGAAACTTTACAAACCATTGCTAAGCAGATATCCGGCAAGCCCTTTCGTTTGCTTGGCGACTTTAACTCAGACCTCTTCAAAGTTTCGTCACACAACCAGTTATTTGAAGACACTATAATTAGTAATGGTTTGTATCCATCCATCTCAATTGCTACCCACTTCCGGCCTAATTGTAAAAACTCGTGTATAGATAACATCCTAGTTAGTGATATTGATAATGTTTTGCTCTCTGGTGTACTTCAGGATAGATTAAGTGAACACACGTTCATATTCTCCTTCACCTCAACCCCGGCCCCAAGAAATAAGAACAATGAAAAACATGTCCGCTACTACGACTACTCAAGTGCCAAGCTTAAAAATTTTGTTTCTGACCTTGAGGTGAAGGTGAATCAGCTGTCCCAATCTTCAGATTTTTGCGAATTTGTCGATTGCTTCAAATCCACCCTTGACAAGCACTGTAAATTAGAAGTACCGAAAACGACCAAAAGAACACCAAAGCTTAATCCTTGGATTACAGATGGAATCATCCTCTCAATCGACAGAAAACATGAGCTTTGTAAAGAATGGTCAGATACAGTAACAAATAAAGATCCATCTGGCAATGTCCTTCTTTATAAGATATTTAGTGACTATCGTAGGATGCTTAAGGGTATCATAAAGGCAGCCAAACGCTCCTATTACTGTAACGAAATCTATAAAAACATTGAAAGCAGTAAGAAAACTTGGCAGATAATAAATGAGCTTAGGGGCAAAAGAAAGAAAACAACCAAACCACCTTTCATCATCAATAATGAAAGAATCTTGAACCGGAGAGCAATTGCCAATGGTTTTAATTCCTGGTTCGTATCAATTGCTCCCAAGCTCAATGAAACTATCACAACTGACTTGTCTTCTGGTATTCCAATTCTCCCCATGAAAACATTCCATGACTTCCTTAGCCCTAGTAACTCTCGATCTATTATGGTAGAGGACAGCACTCCTGAGGAGGTTCTAAGAATAATCAAAGAATTCGAGAATGGAAAGGCCAGTGATATTCCCATAACCGTTATTAAAACTTCGTCCCACGTTATTGCACCAATTATCAGCAGATACTTAAACAAACTTATGTCAAATGGTATATTCCCTGATATACTTAAGACTGGCAGAATCACACCCGTCTTCAAAAAAGGTAATCCAGAAGAAATAGAAAACTACCGTCCTATATCCACCTTGTCCATATTTGGCAAAATATTAAAAGAAAATCATATATTCTAGGATTTATTCGTTTGTCAGCTCTCAGGGAATAATATCTAAGACTCAGTTTGGTTTCAGGCAATCGCACTCAACCTCCCATGCAGTAAACTACTCTGTTGACCTCATATCTAAGCACATCAAATTGAAGCACCATGTGTTAGGCATATTCATCGACCTCAGCAAAGCTTTCGATACTATAGATCACTCAACATTACTTACCAAACTAGAAAGGTATGGCATCCGTGGCGTGGCAAACGATCTGATCAAGAGCTACCTAACTAATCGATTTCAGTACACTGATGTTGTAGGAGAAAAGTCCGACCTACTTCCAATAAAATTTGGGGTTCCCCAGGGGTCAATTCTCGGACCCCTTTTATTCCTACTTTACATAAATGATATCTCTAATAGCTCTAGCTTGGGATCGTTTGTCACCTTTGCGGATGACACCAACATATTTGTTGTTGGTAAAACTGCACAAGAAGCATATGAACGCAGCAACGCCCTACTTTCAAACCTTCAAACATACATGCGGGCTAACAAGCTTCACATAAACATGTCAAAATGCTGCTACATTCACTTTAGACCTAAGTCACGTACTGAAGCAAACGTTGAAGAAGAATTCATAATGAATATAGACAACTACCCCATCAAAAGAGTAACGTCAGCTAGATTTTTAGGAGTCATCATTGACGAAAATCTAACATGGGAAGAACATATAATAGCCCTAAAACGAAAGCTTAACCATGCCACCTCAACTCTGTGTCGTCTACGCTGCTCCCTCCCAGAATTTCTCCACAGACAGTTATACTACACTCTTTTTGAATCCCATCTGTCGTACTGCATATCAGCATGGGGTGGGGCAGCTAAAAATCGTATAAGCTCAATATTCACTGCACAGAAGTACTGTCTGAGGGTCTTGTTTGGTGATAGAGCAGCCTACCTGGATAAATTCAAAACGTGTGTTCGAACCAGACCATTTACTGACCAGAAACTTGATAGTAAATTTTATAAAAAGGAGCACACTAAACCTCTGTTTAAAAACAACGAGATACTCACTGTACAAAATCTTTATACTTACCATAGCTACATAGAATTATTCAAGATCATGAAGTTTTCTACTCCTATGTCTATGTACGAAGAGTATTCTCGTTCTTCCAGGAAACCAATGCTTATTATCAATAAACCGGATCCCCCAGACAACCATAACACGAGGTCAACGAAAATATGGAATATAATAACCCCTAACCTTAAAATCTTTGATTGTTCTGTTAGTATTTCTTGCCTGAAATCCAAACTGAAATCTTCACTACTTTCCAACCAGCATTGTCATGCCGTGTATGACTGGACAAATAAAGACTTTGATATTTGTATCCTTAAATTTTCGTAGGCTCCTGCAGGGATTCCACCTGACCTCCAAAATTTCATGACCAAATCGACTTACTCTGCCAGCGTATTCCTCTGTCAAGTTAAATGTGATGTGTGAGTGAGTAAGTGTAGTGTAAAGAGATCCTATTTTTGTATCCACTTTGAATTCTAATAAAGACCTTAAGCATTATGATCAAATTTTTAGTACAATAGTTATATCAGGGTTGACATCTATGATTAATATTATAACCCAATATTCATTTCTTTTTCTCCCTTAAATCCCCTATCAAGATTCTAAAAAAAGTGCGATGAGATTGGATTTTGACAGTAGAAGTGCGATTTTCACGTGTCACGTGCAGTGGCGAAATGTACTCCCCACCCCCCCCCCCCCCCTCCAGCCTGCAAGATTTCTTGCCCCACTAATTATTTTCTATTTAAAAGATTTTGCGAGTCCCTTTGTAAGCGAAAAGTATGTCACTGTAATTGGATCCATAAATAACGAAAAATTTACGTGCGTATTTTTATGAATTATATTATGTTACATATTGTAATTATGGTAAGCCTCACGTAGCCCGATGGTTTAGGGCGCGCTCGCCAAGCAGTTGACTCGGGTTCGAGTCTCTTCAGCGGTCATTCTTTTGGCAATTATTAATTATTTTACTAAAATTATCATCAGAGCACCTTGTTATATACGTTATCCGATAGATTATACTGTTCGTACTTCATCTAGAGAACTAAGATCAAGAGAAGACTGGCATTTAAGGATTTGTCCGGGGAAGGCCTCGTTCACACTGGAACATGTCAAATTATTGTAAACGGAGTTATCTGGTAATGTTTGTTTTGTTTATGGCTAGAATTTAGAATGGAATCAATGTGATGAGGATCCAGAGTTAATTACCTGCTAGGATTAATAAGTCAGTTCTCCAGTTGAAGAGACCCTTTCTCAAACTTTTAATTCACTATGCCTATGGCAGTATCAAGTATATTCTGAGAAAGATTGAGTAGACTGTAGCCAGGAATAGTACCTCCTTTAATGGTAACCATGGTAACTATAGTAACCACTGTGAATCTTGATCTTATAACAACTAGTATCCTTTAAGACTTAGACAGTACAGTGAATAAACACGCTGAAAAGCGATGAAAATGCAAGCGCGCGACCGAATATGTAGTGCTGAAAGAGGGTGCCGAAATCTCGCGGAGAATCTCACGATATCGTGAGCCTAGCTATGAGATTTAAACGAAACTCGCAAAAATCTGGCAAAAATCTCGCGCGCGTTACGTCGAAGTTTTCACGCTATAAACAAGTGATAAAATACACGTTAAGAGTATAAAATACATGTTAAGTTCCTAATTACCTCAACTTTTAAGTTAAACTTTTTCTGTTTCCTCATTTATTTTCAAATTTTGTGCGATGAGTCCGGCTCGCAATCTCGCATAAATCTTGAGCTGGGCCTTAAATTTAAACCCCCACTTAGACATTTAGCCATGATTTAGTATTGAACACCCAAAATACTTACCGTCCTTAATAATCGTAAAGACCATTTGTTACAAAATAGCTGCTAGAATAATGCATGCCAAATATTCCCTCTTACACCCACAAATTATAATGCCTTCCTATCAACGCCTCTAATTTGGTCACTAATCAACCAGACTAGCGTTCTGGTGTGTACAAAAGCTACCAGCCAGTACATTCCTTGCCCCGCTAGTTGATTGTCAAAAAATCATACAGCTCAGAACAAACGGCCATTTACCACTAAGAGCATTATATGTTTTCATTTGTTTAAATTTTATGCTGTAAAATGTGCTAAAACTTTGATTATTTGTTTAATTGATTATTTGTTTAATTGCTCAAAATCTTATCAAATTAGACGTTCAGTATTCACGAAAAACTACTGCCTTACTTGTAACAGTTTATTTTATTTAATTACTCTCGCTTTTTTGTAAGAGCAATGTGCCGGTCGCGGTGTATGTAAATGTTAATTTTTGTTTGTATAAAAGTTTGACACTGCTTAACATTATTATTGTTTTTCAGACCCGCCCCTGAAGTAGTTGACACGCCAGTTGTCATAGCTGACAGTCCCCAGGCAGACAGGTGAATCGGTTGTTATTTTCATTAAATGTGCCACATGAAAACACCAATTAACAGGAAAAATTGCGATAGAAGCGTCAAATTTGATGTCTCATTTCTTTAGAAAAGGGTGGGTCAAAATAAGCACCCAATGTAAGTCAATAGCATATTCACACACACACTAGAAGTGTATTGTTTTTCACATAGTGTGCAACTTGCTCAAAATCTCATCAAATTAGACGTTCAGTATTCATGAAAAACTACTGCCTTACTTGTAACAGTTTATTTTATTTAATTACTCTAGCTTTGTTGTATGAGCAATGTGCCGGTTGCGGTGTATGTAACTGTTTACTGTTTTCTATAAAAGTTTGACACTGCTATGCTTAACATTATTGTTGTCTTTCAGACCCGCCCCTGAAGTAGTTGACACACCAGTTGTCATAGCTGACAGTCCCCAGGCAGACAGGTGAATCGGTTGTTATTTTCATTAAATGTGCCACATGAAAACACCAATTAACAGGAAGAATTGCGATAGAAGCGTGAAATTTGATGTCTCATTTCTTTAGAAAAGGGTGGGTCAAAATAAGCACCCAATGTAAGTTGATAGCATATTCACACGACACTAGAAGTGTATTGTTTTTCACATAGTGTGCATAGGAAATTTTAACACTTTGCTTACGAATGTTTTTTAGAACCGCACCTGCCCCCTCTGAACACATGTACTTACCAAGCTCAAGGAGGTGAATCAGTTGTAATTTTCTTTGAATATTAAACGCGATCATACAGTAAAACCCTGATTTACCGCACTTTTTGGGGAAGCGAATATATCAAGTTATCCCCATAAATTCCCTATTTACAACTAGGTATCAGTACAGATATTTGACATACATCATAATTTCATACTTTGTACCATCAAATGATAAATCGCAGATTTGAAATGACTTTTCATCGGATGAATTATTATTTATACCTTAACTTAAGCCATCTTGCCAGCTAATACTGGTCTTATTGTCGTATTTCAATTTTCAGGTCACAAAGATCAAGAGTTAGAGACACAACCAGGTTCAGTCCATACAGCCAGAGGTATCTATCACATATCGTTACTATAATCTCTTTTAAACTATCTAGATTTGTACTCTAGTTCATAGTTGCTTAGTTTTTGTTCCGGCTTAGACTAATATATCCTATTCGAGGCATTATTTCCTAATTTTTGCAACAAATTTTCTATTTTCTTTTCCTAAATTAGCATTGATTCTGTTCTAGTTTTAGTAGAATTTTCTATTTCAACTCTTATTACAGTGATTAGAATTAAAATATTCCATCAAATATTTATGAGGTTAACTTACGGTAATGCCATTAAAAAACCTTTTTTGTTGGGTTTTTTGTTGGGTACCCCACTGATTTAAATGTCCTTTGAGCTCGTAATTCGACAATGGAAATTCATTTCATCAGGTTCTCGGCGGATTCACTGCGAGATCTTTCACCTTATCTCTGGGTGTCAATTGAAAAGTTGATAGGAGATAAGGTGAAAGAGGCTGTCAAAGAGCAGGCAGCCTCAATCGAACTGCTAAAGGAGGAATTGCACATTGTTCGATTGGAGCTGAAAGAAGAGAAGGCTAAAAGACGCAGACTCACCAGGACAGGTTTGTTCAGCAACACATTTATAATCATAAATAAATTGCTTTAACTTTGAGGAAAAAACTGTTTTAAAATAATACATATAATGGTGAAATTAAGAAGTTTTACGTTCGCAAAGTTTTATGTTACTAAGAAAAGCAAAACTCTTCCAAGGATACATCTATGAATAATCAAAATGTCCAAAGCATTTTGAATCAGTATCCGGCCACAAAATGTTAGGTAGGAATTTCGGAACTTTTGGCATTGTGCATGTGGAAGATTGTCTGAAAATGCATGGCTTCAACATTTAAGGTTTTTGACTATTAGAAATCGACGTTTGAAACTGAAAAGTATTGAATCGGATATCCGTTAGTATTTGTTACGAGCCATGTTGCTAGGTGACAGACTGAATTCACAATTGAAAATTCACGTATACCCTGAGTATTAGCGTATACTGCTCACACCAACGAAATTATTTCTACACCTCTGTTTGTTTTGGTCACAAAACGTTCAATCGACTCTAGGGGTCTGACCGGCATTTTTAGTTTGAATTAAAGAATTTGTAATTTTACTATCAACATATAACAGCGAAATTTCGTATAGAAATAGAGTTATTCAGCACCATATGCAACCGCACTTCATTTTCGTAATGAGCCACAAAATATTCCGTCTCTACTTCACCATTGCATCAATTATCAATAAAGCAATAAGTCCCATTTCACCACCACATTCTTCAAAAAAATTTAGACGTTTTTTAGCCAGGCTTTCAGTTTGGAGGGGGGGGGGTGGGGGAGAGGAGGTACAAGTGGCGGAGCGCTCCGTTTTTCGACCCATTTCGGTGTTTCATATAAACAAGCAACCTAAAGTAACCACGTTTTACATTTCATCAGCATGCAACCCATCGTCTCCTGACATACCAAGAGGATGGACTGGTCCTCGTCCTGTCGGAGACAGAGGAAAGTTCAGGCAAGATCAATACAACCTGGGGGCTGATCCTGACCTTGTGAGGGACATCAAAGAGAAGATTGAGAGCGTTCGTCATCCAGGCAAGGATAAAAACTGGCATATGAACAAAGCCAGGGAGATCATCAAGGTGCATGTCCTGATTCCTGCCATACACAACTTAGAGCCAGCGGACATGACATTCGCGGGACTCGGCAGTGTCGAGGGTTTGAACAACCTCCCAACCAAACTGATGGGCAGTTCAACCCAGGCACTGTCGAGGATATTCCCCTCAAAAACATTCCAGCAAAATAGGGAAATTGTCCTGGATGCCCTCACCGTCCTCCGGAGGGAAGCAAGAAAGGGCAAGAAAGCTTTGAAGCTTCTCACTGACAATTTGGAAAGAAAAACTTTGGGTGCTCCCCGCCACCCTGAAGCTGTTCCTCAGACCCCCCCCCCCCCCCCCCCCCCCCCTTCTTGATGAGTTTTCATAGTGAGTTGCCACAGAACGCTGTGATTTATTGTTTAGTGCTGGTACAGTAGCTTGTCGTCGGGGGTTGTTTTTGAACAGCATGCCAATATCATTTGGGCCAGGCCATTGAGAATTTTCCATGTGTGGATCAAGATGTACCTTTCTCGACGTCTCTGCAATGATACAGTGCAGGGTGGGCCAAAAGTCAGTACCCATACGTTGGCCTTTATAGCTCAGTCACTGAGTGCCCGATTGAAATAATTCTTTCTGGTATAACTTAGTACCACCACTGGTTCGAGGAATTTGTCAACTCGAAAAATATTCCTGTTCATTTTTTTCAAATGGAGGTTCATTTTCACATTTATTTGATAGTTTGGATAGTCGGATCAAGCAAAATGTTATTGAATTGTGTTTGGATATTCCAATTATGTTTGTGCTGAAAGAATTAGAACTGTAGCTTCTCAGATGACCGAGATATGAAGCATAGCGAGTTTATTCATTACGTGTGATCAGGTGATTGGTTTACCTAATCACGTGATAAGGTGCCCCCGTTAACTACCCCGTTAAACGTTATGGGAATTGTTAAGGGTGCCCAATTAAGGTGTCGTGTCACGGTGTCACATAATCACCCAGTCAATATTGTTAACGAGATACAGAAAATGCTCGATAACTTCGTCATTTTTAATCCGTTTTGCCTCATGTTTTCAGATCATATGCAACATTTGATAATCTACCGTCTCTAAAAAAATTAGGTGTTCAGCAATCAGCATGTTAAGAGAAAATAATATAGTAGTTTTAATATTGAATGGGCGTGGTCTAAAATATTCGAATTTTCAATTTTGACGACGAAATCCTCGAACCAGTAAGTACAGTATGCCATCTGCAAAGCAACAGCTCTCAAATATAAAACACGGCGGAGCTATTAAGGCCAACGTATGGGTACTGACTTTTGGCCCACCCTGTATGATATTGAGTTTCGTGAGACGTTCCCAGTAGTCTAAACCACTGCATCCGTTAAAGGACCAGTTAACTGAAAAAAAAGTTATCCTCATATTCTGACAGATTGTGACAAATAGCAAACTAAGCAACGAGTCGAAATTCCTAAATCTCTAACTGCTCTCTAACGCGTGTAAATAGCGTTTGTATTATTTTGGCGATGACGTCATAAAGTCCCTCACGCGCGCAGAAGAGCTCGTGAGACTGTATTTTACAGGTAGAAAATGGACATAATACAATCTTTTCCCCCAAATAACTCGAAAAGTAAGTAATTTAGGGTACATGTTGCTTCATAATTTGTATATAAACATGGCCATTCTGCACAATTTGCACACATTAAAAAACCTTTAGGGCCTTCATAGCCCAAGTTACCAGATACCCATAGTTTTGCATGATTTCTGGAACCGAAAATCAGTTTTTCGCCAATAACTGAAAAAGTAAGCACTTTAAGGCATATGTTTGTTCGTAAGTCATATATTAATATGCTCATTGCGGTTCTTTTGCACCCTATCTAAAGACTCTATCACGATCCTATCGAAAATGGGCTCAGCACCACGCCCAAAATGGTTTTTGGCAAATTTCTCGAAAAGTAAGGATTTTAGGCCATGTGTTGCTCAATAACTCCTATATAAACATGCATATGCGGCTTCGTTTAAGCCTATTTTGAAGTCTTTACGACCTTCAGAAGCAAGGGGTCGGTTACGTTATTGGGTCAATATGGGCGTGGCCCTCCTGGGTTTTCTCCACGGTCAAAAAAATGTCTCGAAAATCGTTTATTCATACCTTCAGGAAGGTCTGTGCAAAGTTTCGTGAGTATTTGAACATTTGCAGGTTCATTTCCATAAATTTCCATAAATGACTGGAGTACACAACTTAAGAGTTAACTTTAGAGAAACTCATAAGTCATTTATCTCAAATTAAGCTGTTAGTGTCCATGATCAACCTGTGGCGACAATGTTTTACGTGAAATGTAAAAATCAGGAGTAATATCAAAAGTGTGTTTTTAGATTAAAGTGCTAGCTCATAGTTTTAGAATTGTATAGATTATAACGTTGGTCGTTTAGCCATCTAACAATCGATCGTGCCGTAATATATGGCCAGAGAATAATAGGGTCTTGGAATTTCTATAATTGTTCAGTGGGTCGATTGACTGAACACGTTTGCACTTGGTATTTAAACTTACCAGTAGTTTATTTATGTTATGTACCGATGATAATGCAATTAGGATAACAACTAGGTAAGCCGTAAGTCTAATTCAAAAAACACTCCACACCGTACACTCCGAACAGTATTACTATTTGGTAAACCCGAGACCGGGTATTTTGGCGGGAATTCTGTTCCCACGGCACTGTTCTGATAGAAGCTACTTCTACTAATGGTCCCAGAGGAACGGCCGTAAAGTAGCCAGACTTCTTGTCTCCTGTACTGGCTGACACATGCGGATTATAGTTATAAATTTCGCTATGCTATAAATATAATTGCTCTCGGAATTGAACAAACTCCTACTTATCTAGATCGTTTCTAAATTCGTTAGAGTTTCATGGACTGGGGAAAAATAATCGGTACAGTCTCCCTAGCTGCTTGTGTAATTAAGCAATAAAAACAATCTAAAATTATCACATATGACATAAGTTGTAATAGCAGAAACTTTCTAATCGTACATTCACCCGCCACTGTTCAAGAACCTATATCACTGCAACTGTTTAAAATCATGACGTGAGCACTGTACATCCAATCAGCTATTCCTTTAGTTAGAATGATAGCCAAAACTATAAGGATTTTGGAGAACTAGGGTAATAGTCATAATTCTAAAATTTGAGTGAGTTACACGTGTTTTATTGACGATGATAAACATTTGTAATGTAAATTACGCTATGCAAGCGCGCACTGAGGGACTTTATGACGTCACGAGGCCACAGCTTATTATTGCAATAACACGCGTTACACGTACGCTAGAGAGTTGGTTCTTTCGACGATACGATTCTTTACCAGTTTGTCACAGCTGATTTAAATCTTAGCCAAATTGGAGACTACAAATTTTTCAGTTAACTGGTCCTTTAATGCGTCGGGTAAATTGTCGTTGAACGTTTTCTATAGCCTCTATGTCCATGGTCTTGGCTGGATTCCAGACAGGGCAGCAATATTCTAGCTTACTCCGCACCATGGTTTTGAAGAGGGTAAGCATGAGAAATTGTGATCTATCTTTGAAGACGCTAAGAACCCAGGATGACATAGTGCTTGCTTATTGGATCATTTTCTGGATGTGGGGAGTCCAAGAGCAGTCGTTTGATAAAATCACCCGCAAGTCCCTGACAGTTTCTGCTGGCTCAATTATTTGACCTGTTGTAAGAGTGTAACTGAGCAGATAATTTGTTAATGGCAGATTTCGTAGCAGAAGCGAATTATTGAGCGTATAGTTGAGGATCTCAAATTTGGCTTCATTGAGCTGCAATAAGTTGTATGCATGGAGCTACCAGGAACTGCGGATCATCCATAAATTAGCTGGAATTCAGTTGACAGTCGGAACTCAGAAGCTTTCGTCTGAGTTAAGTTGTGAAACCTCTTTAAACTTGTTCAATGTTCATCAAAAAGAGAAATTGCCTTCTTCTTGATTCAAACCCCGCTTCAAAGCTTATTTTTTTGGAATTTGCTTGAGAGGAATTTTTTACCATTTTTGTAATGAGATCCTCATTCTGTTGATAAATTGGTACCAATTTGCTTCCATGCCGTAATTCCAGCTAAACGTGTAGAGCGTTTTAAACAACAACTGAAAACAACGTGGCACGACTAATGAAACAATCATTCTCTGCTTAGAAGGTATATCTCACCTTGTCTTGTAAGAATTCACTGAGTACTTCACAAATATGAAGTAGTTTATAAACTAAACGCAATGTCACGTCTATTAACGTTTATATATAATATAAATATATATAAACGTTAATAGACGTGACATTGCGTTTTGAATATTGATAAGTCATCGATACAAATACATTTCAATATAACTAGGCTACCTTGATCCTTGGTGTTTTACTTATTTCTTTTTGACACTTTAACTTAATATTTCAGATAATTCTAAATCAAATCAACTTTAGTAATAAGAACTTGGTAACTTATTCTCAAATACAAATTTATAACAGATGATTGGATCGCAGTATTGTTTTACTTTTAAAATATTCAATTGCTGCAGAATGCAGATCAAGTTGAAGGAACCATCTCAAGTGATCGTCTCAATCGTTATCGTAATGTAAAGATCCCTCTCTCGACGGTGATTACGTCCTGTATCGAGTGTTTGATTAGGAAGTACAGAATCGTTACATCAGAAGAACAGAGAGCAACATTTCAGTAAGATTTATTTGCTACTTTAAATCATTGGTTTTTATCTTATCTAATAATAAAATGTTCCGGTACACTCTTTTGAACTTTTTCTTTACGAAATTGGCGGGAATTGTTGGCGGGAATTTTGTTGGCGGGAAACAAGCATTCTAGTTTCTTCGCTCGTCAAAAGAGCGGCAACTTGACTGTGAAAGGCGGGATTCTGTCGGATGTTTATTACGCGTAAGGCGCAAGATGTTTTTAAAGACTATAAACAAAGCAACGAGCGCGCATTTTGTTGCGGCGTGTGATCTTGAATCAAGATCATAGGCCTGGATTCCAGACTGGAAACAAGACTGGAAACCAGATGACAGGTCTGGAAACAAGACTGAAAACCAGATGATATTTTTTACAGGGTAGTTTTAAATTTACGTTGTCGTATAACTATAAACAAGTTAATCCTGTTTTCAAGAATGCGCGGCTTCGGCTGCCAGTTATTGACTTATACATAAAATTGAATTATAAATAGAAATGTGAATATATTAAAATTTAAAACTTTCAAAACGGAGGCATATAAATATTATTATATTATGATGGTAAAATAAAGGATAAAATTTTAAATTTGTTTCACTAAAATTTGTTTCACTGACTTAACTGTATAAATTGATTGACAATGTTAATCCCTCACAGCTCGTTGCAGCCCAGTAGTGCATCGCTTTGAAAATTGGTTGCGATTAACATTTGCTATGCGCAGTGCAGCCCATTAGTGCATCACACTACAATTATATAAAATGACATATTCTGCCTGAACCCAACATCGTCCTACTCTTTACCATCGCAATGAGTAACAGAACATGTCACAGCTCATCAGTTATGGCATTTTTAAGTTGTAAAAGCATAAATTCCAACACTTTCTATATCCTTTTGATTCTTTAAGCTGTTTATATTACGAGGCACAAACAGTACTATCTACTTTATCTACTTATCCTGTACTATGTGCATGTCCAAGTTGAGGCTCCATAACCACCCTTCCATCTGACTTTTGAACAAGGCTGATATGACCGGGCAACCTGACCATGATTGACGTTAATTTGAGTAGATTTAGTATTCAAGGATGATTTAAAGGTAGACATGTCTCAAAGTACACTATCAACCCTACCTGGTTTTAATAAGTTTGTTTTTCCTTCTCTATTTTAATTGATTCACCTGATGATAAACAGCATCATTAAATTGAAACATTTTCTCTGCAGTTAAAAATGAAGAAAACCATGCTCAAAAAATTGAAACTTGGAATTTGTACATTCGACGATGTTCACTTTGCAGAAACTGATGCCAAAAGGACACATAAGTTGTACCTGGATTTTTATCAATCCATCGACAGCCAACTTCTTAACAGTGAATGGTCTGAATCATGTGGTACAACAAAAATCTTACAAAGCTGGGGAAATATGCTTAGACAACCATGTGTGACTCAAATCCTTTCAGAAAGATTCAACATACCATTTCTGCACATGGAAATCATTACTTCGTCATCATATTTCCTCCAGCTGTTTTCTAGTATTCTTGTGACTTATAAAGGATCACATCCCTCAGAAATTACTCTCAGATCTAATCTTGACAATTTCATTAATAAGTCCTGGCAAATTATTGGGAAAATCTTTGAGTGCTTTGGCCTTTCTGGGAACCGTGATCTGTTACTAAGTAATTCTAGCTTGTGGATGGTAATGTTTAATTTTGTATGTAACAGGTTTGTTACAGCCAACTTATTAACTAGTAGACAGACAACTTTGAAGCTTGAATGCTCTTTTCCTTTCTCATGGCTTGTGTATGATCACTTGCAACAATTAGCAAAGATCAACAGAAACTTAGGTAACACTTTTTCAAGCTGAATGATAATTAGTGGTATATTTTAATCTCATATTTTTAGTCTGATCATTTGAGCAATCCTTAATATTTCGAATTGACTGTCATATAATATATATCACTGTTTAGTTTCTAGAAATTAAAATAGTGTGCAACTGCTTTCTACTTAAATATCTCACAAAAATGATGAATGAAATTCTAAATTCTTGGTCAGTAATAGTTTAATTTATATTTCAGTTCCTGGTAGTACGAGAAGTAATTTTTGCTGTGAACTCCTTGCAGTGGAGCTCAAAAACGAAAGTAATGACACTCTCTCCTGCCTTGTGAAAGACTGTGTCAAAGTTTTTCTGTTTCATAACTCCACCAAATCATCTGAGATGAAATGTGTGACACACAAATTATATTTAGATAGAAAACTGGGGTCACACGAAATGGACCCTTTGTACCTCAATGACAATTTTCTTACTTATATCATGTCAAAATGTTCTATGATAAAAGATGATTTAGTCAAAGATATGTTCATTCGTGTGGCTTCCTTGCAGCCTGGGGAATTTGACTGTTCAGTCATCACAGAATGTATTTCACCAAACAAATTAGATAATTGTCAGAGATCTATTATCTTAGAGATGGTGGAATTCATCTGCTTCCATTTTATTGAGTCAAAAACCATTTTGAACAGTACCTTGCTGAAAATATTACACACGGGAGGAAGTCTCTGTTGTTGCATAAATAAAAGTGTGACAATATCAGCAGAATCTGAATCTTTCCCAGTACTATGCAATGTTATTCTGGAGTGTAGATTACCAGCATTTTACTTATCGTTGAATAATCAGTTGGAAGGAATCTGCAGGCTTCCTTTCTTAGCGCATAGTTATATATTGGAAGACGAAAAAGCATCTTGTTTTCAGAGGAAGATTTTAGCGACACTCTTTGCTATTTTCCAGGAGGATGCTTCTGGTGCTCGAGATTTTATTGCTTTCTGTGATGAGGGACTAAATTGTGCCACTAATGGGGAAATTGGGATGAAGAAAATCGCCAAAAATTTGCTCATGGCATCTCATGAATTGACTGTTTTTAATCTGATGTCAGTTTTCATTCTAACAGAAAAGATTGTTGGCAAACATAGTCTTGAGGAGCTGGTTGATCTTGTTTCTACCACAAAATGTGATGAGAGCTGCTTTTTTATTCCGATCATGAAAAAGATAATTTACAAAAGATTAATAGAAACTCACCCAAAGGAATTGCTTCAACTGATAAACTCGAATGGTTGTTCAGATATTGTTCATAAATCCTCTGATATTCACACCAAACTTCTGTGTGTAAAATCTTTGGTGAAGGAGTATGGTTTGATTATTCTCAATGATTTGAAGGACAATGCTGATTGGATTCTTGAAAAAGATTCTATAATTCAACAAGCAGCAGACAATTTTAACTTACTTGGAGACAGTTACCAATCAACCAGGTATATGCTAACAGCTATTTCAATACTGCTTCAATTATAATCTTAATTGTATAAAATACCTACTGGCTACTGTCCTGATGTAAAAATAGTATTGTTATAAGTGAAATAAGATTAATCTCAACATTGTTTCAGACCAGCTATTTTGGAGACTGACCCTGTTTTCAAGTTTGATCCGGTCAATGTGATGCTATCATATTTTCAACATAAAACATCAGGCGGGATGATAAGTGAGGAAGAAAATACACTGTATCAGAAATGCATCAAGAGCACTTTGGAATTTGACCAGCTGGAAACATTGCGAAACTTAGGTACCTATTGGTGTTAAATGAACCCACATAATGCTATTAAAATTTTTAATTTTCCCTACATGTGTCGAGTAAGCATCAAAATGTATTAGTTTATTTTAGATACAAAAATTAACTAAGATGAGACAAAATATTTTATTACAGTCAATAAAGTTGGCATACGATGCAATAATATGACGTGACATGATACGCATTGTTAACACGAAACAAAACCGCGCAAAATATGAAGTGATCTACAAACATACCACGTACAGATTGACGGCGACATATTTCAAGTTCTGAACGCTTAATATAATATAAACGATTATCACGTGCGCCAAACACCACTCTGGGATGCAATACAAGTAGAACAATTACATTGTAGGGAAATTTGATCGTGTGTGGTGTAACCGCGTCGAAATTCTTGTTGGCTGATATTTGTTATGAAATCTGATGTTCTTGTTTTAAGTAATTGTATCTAAAAACATATGATAGTGTTTCATAACCTTTAACAGTTTGTACATTGCAGATACCGGTGAACTCTTTGGATGTGCATTAGCAAGCTGGAAAAGTAACGCTGGTCCAATATTCCTAACTTATTGTTGCCTTACACAACCTCATTCCTCCAATTCTGTTACCAGATTTCTTGAGTATATCTACAAGTTTCCTGTGAGGATAAAGAATATGTTCGTGCCGACAATGAGGGAAGATGTGATCTCAAAATTCAGGGAAACCCTTGGTGAAAAGTAAATCTGATTGTCAATTTCGAGTATTGTACTTAAAGATTGATAGCCCTCGTGCATCATTAGAAATTTTGATTCTTTAATATTATATGGATTAATGATAATAGTTATGCCCTGTAACAGATTCGCAGCTCAAGGACACCAATTGTACACATGGTATAAATGTGCAGGAGGACATGTCTACGCTATCAATAACTGTGGGGAACCTCAAGAAAAAGGAAAATGTTTCTGTGGAAGCGAAATTGGTGGCATAAAGCACACACTCTCGACAGGAAATCGAAGACTGGAGAGCTATCAGTTTTCTGAAAAGGTCGGTGTCATGATGAACCATGTCCTTGTTGTCTCATTTTAAAACTCAATCATCAATTAATAGTTTATTAGTCATTATAAAGCAATGAAAGGCATTAGTTTGGTCAAATCAAACGGAACATATGCTATCAGACTTTCAACTGACTAAGGCAGGGTTAAAACAGTTTTGACGCTAGCAACGATCCCCTTTTACATATTTCCACTAAAATGATAATTTAAGATTAAATATGTATACTGTATAGTGATAGGTAAATAAAGTAAAAATGTAATAAAACGGTAGGGATAAAGTATACTAAGTAAACGTAGTCGACACGTCATAAAACGAACTGACCCAAATTAAACTGATAGATCTCCCGCGTAATTTCCCGCACAATTCTAAAACTCCGATTTGCGCCGCTGAAACGTTATTATAAAACTAAATTCAACACGTGCGACAAATATTTCGCACATTAGAAAAATATATGCCAACAGGTCAAGCTATGGCATTAATATATTTCCACACCCAATACCAAACTTATTCTTTAGCCCATGCCTCTTTACCACTGATAAGTATATTTTACTAAGACGATCCCGTCTAAAACATAACTCAATTAAATCATCAGTAAACTTCAAAACCCTATCAGAAAAGGCAACAACGTTATTACAGATCCTAGAATATCTCACAACCTGTGAACAGTACGTGCCATATAATACACTACTAGCTTGATTACTCATCAAAGGTTGAAACTTGACCACTTTAAAACCAAACTTATCCCTTTTATCATAAACTCTACAAGAAAACTTCCCCTCTCTATTTATCGAAATATCAAGATCTAATACATTGGCGGCACTATCTACTTCATTTTCCTTATTAAGAGTAAGAGAGTCTTCCATTTTTCCTAGGGCTACAACCTACCACCTGTTGGATTTCTCAGCAGTATTGATAGTGAAAGAAACCTTAAATCACTGTCACTATCATTCTTACGATGGCTTGTCCACGCATCCCTAGCAGTGTCTCCTAAAATCAGCTGCTGTGACACTATCTTTGGACTGAACGAGAAGGATAATGTCACAACATTCCTGCAACAACGCCTTGACAACGACTTCAGTGGTAAGAATGAGAATAACATGATTATTGTGAATCTTAACTCCATCTGATAGTTTTAAATATCTGTTATAGTATTAATACACGTTTCTTAATTTACCTAAAATATGTTGTTTAGATTATTAATATGTTTTATCTTCCCCTACAGGAATCCAAACTGTTTTGGAACGAAACTCCGAAGACGCTCAAATTTGGATTTTATCGGCTGTTAAGCACATATTCTCTCAAGTAGACCGTATAGAACTTGACTATTCGGAGAGAGCTGACAGAAACAAACTAGAAGATGTATACCTGGAAATGATAACTCCCCTAGTCGAGGGAGCTGATGATGTCATAACACAAGGACGGCAACTAGTCCACCACTCAGGTGATGACTACATCAAGCAAGCACTTGGTCTCTGCTTCCCTGAGGATGGTCCTGGAGCGTTAGATTGTGCTGAATATTTAAGGGATTCTAAGTCAATTGGAATACTACTTGAGGATGAGTTCAGGAAGTGTGGTAGTGTCTCTAAATATCCAATAGTAGCCAAATGTATCAAGTACAAAACTTCCACGAACCTTCTGTACCAATTTCCAGATCTCGTTAAAATTGTCTTTGATACACTCCGCAGAGTTACCTGTAAAATAACAGTGCATGAAGCACACCAAACTTGTCTCAAAGACTTTCTCAGTCCATCCCAAATTCAACTGTGGAATGATCTTTGGCGGGAAACTAAGTCAATGGTATCTCTTGTGGATAATATACACATTCCGGAACAGAACTTGGACATGATCCTTACAGCAGACTCTACATTGGCTGACTTTCTCCCCTCTAAAACCGGTCCTGGAGTGTGCTCTTGGTTTATGATAAACAACCTGGTTTTGCTTTATAACCAGCTTGCTAAAGGTCCCACCATTGACATTGTTACTCTCACTAAGTTTGTGACACCGCCCTTTATTGCTAAACATGAAGTGGTTGCTGTAACTTACGATACTTATAATGGATCTGGATTTGATTTCGTACTTTTGGAGGAGTCTTTGATCATGCTGTTTAACGTTCGGAACCGATGTGCTATAGATGGATCAACCGTCGCTCAACTTCTATTCCAGCCCCTCAAAAATGTTGATACTTGGTATAAAATATTAGGACAGGTAAGAGGAACATATCATCAGGTGATCATATCGAAATAATCGGTATCAATTCTACATTTTCTTAATAAGACAAATTAAAGATCAAATTATATTCAATTATTCATAATTTACATCGAGTAAGTAATTAGGTGACATTGTACCTATATGATTATATAATCGTATTTTTTATCCTCAGTTACCAAAAAGTTATCCTACTACACAACCTGTTTCTGAAGCGTCTCCAGATATTCTTAGATCGCTTGAAATAGCCATACAGATATCATCTTCTTTGGACTACAGCACATTGTCAATTAATGAAATATCAGAAATCTGCCAGCTTAAGTTACAATCATTGGACAGGGACTTGTTGTATTCTAGTTGGCATCATGTTTGGTTTGAGCTGTCTAAAAATGGAGGCAAGTTTTATCTACCCCAGGAGTACATAGGGAGTATTGATGATTTTCTTGCGTTGCATCCATGTCAAAAATCTGGGCATATTCCAGACAATATTTTAAAATCTCGTCTGTTTTTACGTACCCTTCACATGATGATTGTAGAATGGATTGTCCATTACCCGGGTTTTAACTGTCGAGGAATGGAGTTGGGCGAAGCGTTTGACTTTTTCTGTGAAAAGGCAGGGCTCGATATTTTGGAGTTTGATTCATTTGAACTAAAAGTTGAGCACAGTATCAAGTTGATAGAGTCCCTTTTCAGCAGTCAGTACTGATTATGACAAAAGTAACGTTACTTGAACGATTTAGATATATAATGTTTGTTTTTTATCTTTCTGATTGATAAGGAATTTGTATCGGTATATATGTACGAGGTTCTATGAATCCTGATTATATTCTTGTTAATTGTTGATAATGTTGAATTTTCCATTTTACAATTCATAACATTGCATAAAATAATTTGCATACATAACCAAAATCCCAACATCTCTTCACTAATAATATAATGATTACCTTTCTGCGTTGTTGTCCCTCCCTTTAACATTTCCAACATTCAATCCTAAAACCCCGTTTGGTAGGAAATGTCTGAAATCACCGCTCTAAATCAGATAAAGCAAGATACACAGCTTCTTAAATCCTCTCTCAAGACATTAAAAGAAGATTGCTCGCAATTCTTCTCTGAATTTGAAAGATCTCTAAATGAAATCAAGAATGTATTGAATACACAAATAAGTGAACCACAGCCCACTGCTATGAAAAGGAAACTTTGTTCAGATGTTGATTATAATTCAGATAATTTCAAGAGTATTGGAATCTTTAGGAGTTGTTTTTTAACCAAAAACGGTACCCCCAGGCAGCCAGGAATCTGTCCTTATGCCCGTGGAACACTGACTATAAATTGTTTTAACAATCCTGAACATTCTTTGGACAGTTTATCCCAGTTTTCTCACGTCTGGTTGTTATTTCTGTTTCATGACAATGGGATCTATGTTGCAAAAGCTAAAATCTCCCCACCTCGGCTAAATGGTACAAAAGTTGGAGTTTTTGCCAGCAGATCTCCTCACAGACCCAACAATATTGGTATGAGTTTGGTTAAACTTGACAGTATATCTGGTGGGACCATGTTTTTGTCAGGGGTTGATCTTATTGGTGAGTTCTTTACAACGATTTAATCAACGATAACGTTAACGAGTAAACACTGCAGTTGTATGAACCATGATAAAATAACTTGCAGGTACTAAATTGAGTATGCAAACTCACATTATTGTTCACAATTTGGAGTTATAAAGTTTCATATTTCAGATGGCACCCCTGTTCTGGACGTCAAGCCTTACATTTCAGTATACGATACACCCTCCGTACCGTCGACTTCAGCACCCTGGATCAACAATATTCCAACAATAGATAAAACTGTCATCTTCTCACACCATGCAGATTGTGTCTTGGCAATGTTGAAATATGCTCCGGATGGAAATAAGATATTGTCAAATCGAAGTGTTAAAAAAAGTGACTGTTTGAGATTCTTCAGAAGTGCGGATGAATTAAAGCAGAGTATCATTGATATTATCTCCGCTGATCCACGGTCAGTGTTCAGAAAGAAGCAGGGTGACACTATCTTCTGTTTTCCGGTTGATTCAGTTGATGTCAAGGTTGAGGTTAAGGGTGAAGAGGTTCATGTATTAGATATCAGTCAAACTGATTACGTAAGAAGTTTATTAAAGAACGTGAGTACTTGAGAATTAAAGTCTTGATGTTTAGAATCCATAAAGCTTACTGTACTGTGTAAGGGGAATATATTTGGCGCGTGTCGTTACTTTTTAATTTGGTGGTTTTTGTTCTTTTAAACTCATACCATACTATCTATAGTATAAGGACACGTTCATTGAAGTTTGAGGAAATTGGTAAATTTCTAAAACAGCGTTTTTGACGATAGTGGTTTAATTTTAACATATATTAATCTAGCGTGTTCATAAGTTTTGAACATTAGCCACGTGACCCATACTCCCATATGCACTGCTCAAAAATAAAATGTATTGCTTTTAGGCACTGTTATGTAAAAAATGTCACATTTTTGTGACATTGTTTACCATAGCTGCCCAATTAGCATTTTTTGGTCTAAAATATAGTAGATTAGGTCAATCTAACAATTATGATACAATGTAGGCCTAAAGGGCAGTGATCGAACGGCTTTAAGGCAACATTTCGTAAACTTTGTCACACTCAGAATACGAGACCTCTTTTCTACTGTGAGGTGTCCTCAAAACCCTTTCAACTCATTATTTGATAGTTCTTCTGCCAATCATAGCCCTAAAATATGTTGTTTTGAAAAGTTAACAAATACATGCACTTGGCTATTGGGAAAAGATGTAAATTCTGTCACATTATATGGAATTTGAAATTCTGGGTGAATTGCCGAAATCATTTATACCTGATTTTGGTTTGGAAGGCGGGAAAACTCTATATGAGGACGATACACGGATACAGTTGATTGAAGTATAGGGCAGTTGATGTAAACATCGTCACAAAATGATACGAAATCGTAAATGGACACGTTCATGTTGAAGTTTAAGGATATTGGTAAACCAAAAAAAATAGCGTGTTCAGAAGTTCTGGACATTAGCCACGTGACCCATACTTCCATATACACGGCTCAGAAATACAATTTATTGTTTTTAGGCACTATAATGTAAAACATGTCACATTTTTGTGACTGTGTTAACCATAGCTGCCCAATTAGCATTTTTTGGTTTAAAATATAGTAGATTAGGTCATTCTAACAATTATGATACAACATTTGGCTAAAGGGCAGGGATCGAACGGTTTTAAGGCAATATTTCGTAAACTTTGTCACACTCAGAATACGTTATACGATACCTCTTTTCTACTGTGAGGTGTCCTCAAAACCCTTTCAACTCATTATTTGATGGTTCTTCTACCAATCATAGCCCTAAAATATGTTGTTTTGAAAAGTTAGCAAATACATGCACTTATTGGGAAATGATGTAAATTCTGTCACATTATATGGAATTTAAAATTTTGGGTGAATTGCCGAAAACATTTATATCTGATTTTGGTTTGGAAGGCGGGAAAACTGTATATAAGGACGATGCACGGATAGAGCTGATTCAAGTTAAGGGCAGTTGATGTAAAAATTGTCACAATAATAATAAGGGCAGTTGATATGAAAGAAAATCTATTTAACTAATGCAATGGCTGATGTGACGAAATTTACATTTCTTGACCCTATTTTGAAGAAACAAGCCTTGATTAGAATTCAATATTCTTCCAGGAATTATTAGTAGGTTATTATTCAGCAAATCAGAACTCAAGTTTAACAATTCTGAGTTTAATTTTACTAAGTTACCGAAATGTGACGAAATTCACTTTTCCTGCCCCAACAGTATAATTTCAATGTGATGACAAATGGGCATGGGTTTCTATATTTCCTTATCTCTGAATTAATCATTTCAAACTATAATTAGGACTGCTGATGTGAAAGAAAGTGTATCTAAATTTTACAATGACGTATGACGTGACAAAATTTACATTTCTTGACCCTATTTTGAAGAACCATACCCCGATTAGAATTCAATATTCTTCCAGGAATTATTAGTAGGTTATTATTCAGCAGATCATCAGAACTGAAGTTTGACAATTCTGAGTTTAATTATACTAAGTTACCGAAATGTGACGAAATTCACTTTTCCTGCCCCAAAAGTATAATTTCAATGTGATGAAAAATGGGCATGGGTTTCTATATTTCCTTTATCTCTGAATTAATCATTTCAAACTATAATTAGGACTGTTGATGTGAAAGAAAATGTATCTAAATTTTAAAATGACGTATGTGACGTAATTTACATTTCTTGACCCTATTTTGAAGAACCATACCCCGATTAGAATTCAATATTCTTCCAGGAATTATTGGTAGGTTATTTTTCAGCAAATCAGAACTCAAGTTTAACAATGCTGAGTTTGATATCACTAATTTACCGAAATGTGACGAAATTTACTTTTCCTGCCCCAACAGTATAATTTCAATGTGATGAAAAATGGGCATGGGTTTCTATATTTCCTGTATAAATCCATTCCAACTATAATAAGGGCAGTTGATATGAAAGAAAATCTATCTAACTAATGCAATGGCTGATGTGACGAAATTTACATTTCTTGCCCCTATTTTGAAGAATCATACGGTCTCAATTAGTATATAATGTTACTTTATCACCATCACTATGTCGATAAATTAGTTATTTTGCCAACACGGAGCAAATAAAGTTATAATTTTTTTTTGTGACGAAATTTACAAATTTTTACCCTGTTCAGGTGTTGAAATTTATCCAATGTTAACATATCACTGCCATATAATAATTTATATGACCGGCGTATGGTTGAAATATTGTTAATTGATCCATAGTACGTAATATAGGGTGTTTAAGTTGGTATACTAATATTTACTCAATTTCACACATGATGTTGAGATATCATACAAATTTATGTGACTAAATTTACCTATTTCTGCCTTCTGTATTTGTATTTGCCTATAACAATGAAATATGTGAACAATTCCAAACACATTCAGCTCACAAAATAATGCTAGACTATTCGGCATTTCTTGTCAGGATGTCATAAACATCCCTCATATAAATTTCTTAAATGTGTGACGGAGTTTACATGGTGCTACCATTTAAGGAAAAAAGTCGCTAAATATGTAGATAATAGTCATATACAGCTATTCTATGATTTGGAAATTCGAAAATTTGGTCAAACACGGCAACAAGGGGTCCATATAAACTCCGTCACGTTTTTATAGTGTGACAAAGTTTACAACTCACTGCCGGCCGCATTTAAGCGATATCTTATCGTCTGATAAAGATATCGTTATGTGACAAAGTTTATCTAGAGGATGAAACGATTATCTTAGGGTTAGAGGGTTTATATAGTTTCATAGTGTGACACATTTTACATCATCGTGCCATTCAGAAGGGTCACTAATATTTACCAATATCCTCAAACTTCAATGAACGTGTCCATAAATGTTGCTATATTTTCAAGACGTAAAGCACAGATCATTATCAATGTAGGATTCCCTGATAGTTTACCCAAGTTTTGGGAGGTTTTATGACTGTTTGGTATCAGATAATCGATTTTAAATTACTCTTTAGTCTCCTGTACATCAACGGTGTACATCAACATGTCTTTTTTAATAATTCATTGCTGTACTCTGTAAAATTTGGAAAGTATTAAATAAAGAACACGTCATAATAATAATAACCACAACATGATAACCACTACAACAACATAATAACCACTACAACAACAGTAGTGCTAAGATGGAGTTTATGGGCCCCCGAGAGGAGGCTCCACAGGAACAGAAGATCCTGTGTTGTGAGTGTGGTACTCTCATAACACCCAACCCTGCTAACATGTGTGTGGCCTGTATCAGGACTCGTTGCGATATCTCGGAGAACATACCAAAACAGGTTGGTATCCCCCCCCCCCCCCCCCATTGTTACCTAGGGAGTCTACAGGGTTCTGGTAACTACCTAGTTGTATTGAAGCTCTTAGTCCTCTTATTATTAAGTTATGTATTAACCTTAGTAAGATCGGTACATAGCTCGGTACATAGTGCCTGTATCGTTGTAGGGCGTTTTAATTGTTTAATGAGCTGAATTGCATGTTTATTGTTTTATTGGTTACGAAAAACATATAACAATATTTCCCGCGAGCTGATCACAAACCAATCCTCTTGTTCACACTCAGCGCTGTATTCCCCACCACATTATTTATACTCTCTCCAGGTGATCCTTCACAGTGCTGTATTCCCCACCACATTATTTATACTCTCTCCAGGTGATCCTTCACAGTGCTGTATTCCCCACCACATTATTTATACTCTCTCCAGGTGATCCTTCACTTCTGTCGTTCACTCAGTGCTGTATTCCCCACCACATTATTTATACTCTCTCCAGGTGATCCTTCACTTCTCTCGTTCACTTCAGCGCTGTATTCCCCACCACATTATTTATACTCTCTCCAGGTGATCCTTCACTTCTGCGCTGTATTCCCCACCACATTATTTACACTCTCTCCAGGTGATCCTTCACAGCGCTGTATTCCCCACCACATTATTTATACTCTCTCCAGGTGATCCTTCACTTAGCGCTGTATTCCCCACCACATTATTTATACTCTCTCCAGGTGATCCTTCACAGTGCTGTATTGCCCACCACATTATTTATACTCTCTCCAGGTGATCCTTCACTTCAGCGCTGTATTCCCCACCACATTATTTACACTCTCTCCAGGTGATCCTTCACTTCAGCGCTGTATTGCCCACCACATTATTTATACTCTCTCCAGGTGATCCTTCACTTAGCGCTGTATTCCCCACCACATTATTTATACTCTCTCCAGGTGATCCTTCACTTAGCGCTGTATTCCCCACCACATTATTTATACTCTCTCCAGGTGATCCTTCACAGCGCTGTATTCCCACCACATTATTTATACTCTCTCCAGGTGATCCTTCACTTCAGCGCTGTATTCCCCACCACATTATTTATACTCTCTCCAGGTGATCCTTCACAGCGCTGTATTGCCCACCACATTATTTATACTCTCTCCAGGTGATCCTTCACAGCGCTGTATTCCCCACCACATTATTTATACTCTCTCCAGGTGATCCTTCACAGCGCTGTATTCCCCACCACATTATTTATACTCTCTCCAGGTGATCCTTCACTTCAGCGCTGTATTCCCCACCACATTATTTATACTCTCTCCAGGTGATCCTTCACAGCGCTGTATTCCCCACCACATTATTTATACTCTCTCCAGGTGATCCTTCACAGCGCTGTATTCCCCACCACATTATTTATACTCTCTCCAGGTGATCCTTCACTTCAGCGCTGTATTCCCCACCACATTATTTATACTCTCTCCAGGTGATCCTTCACTTAGCGCTGTATTCCCCACCACATTATTTATACTCTCTCCAGGTGATCCTTCACAGCGCTGTATTCCCCACCACATTATTTATACTCTCTCTAGGTGATCCTTCACAGCGCTGTATTCCCCACCACATTATTTATACTCTCTCCAGGTGATCCTTCACTTCAGCGCTGTATTCCCCACCACATTATTTATACTCTCTCCAGGTGATCCTTCACTTAGCGCTGTATTCCCCACCACATTATTTATACTCTCTCCAGGTGATCCTTCACAGTGCTGTATTCCCCACCACATTATTTATACTCTCTCCAGGTGATCCTTCACTTCTGTCGTTCACTCAGTGCTGTATTCCCCACCACATTATTTATACTCTCTCCAGGTGATCCTTCACTTCTCTCGTTCACTTCTGCGCTGTATTCCCCACCACATTATTTATACTCTCTCCAGGTGATCCTTCACTTCAGCGCTGTATTCCCCACCACATAATTTATACTCTCTCCAGGTGATCCTTCACTTAGCGCTGTATTCCCCACCACATTATTTATACTCTCTCCAGGTGATCCTTCACAGCGCTGTATTCCCCACCACATTATTTATACTCTCTCCAGGTGATCCTTCACTTAGCGCTGTATTCCCCACCGCATTATTTATACTCTCTCCAGGTGATCCTTCACTTAGCGCTGTATTCCCCACCACATTATTTATACTCTCTCCAGGTGATCCTTCACTTAGCGCTGTATTCCCCACCACATTATTTATACTCTCTCCAGGTGATCCTTCACAGCGCTGTATTCCCCACCACATTATTTATACTCTCTCCAGGTGATCCTTCACTTAGCGCTGTATTCCCCACCACATTATTTATACTCTCTCCAGGTGATCCTTCACTTAGCGCTGTATTCCCCACCACATTATTTATACTCTCTCCAGGTGATCCTTCACTTAGCGCTGTATTCCCCACCACATTATTTATACTCTCTCCAGGTGATCCTTCACAGCGCTGTATTCCCCACCACATTATTTATACTCTCTCCAGGTGATCCTTCACTTAGCGCTGTATTCCCCACCACATTATTTATACTCTCTCCAGGTGATCCTTCACTTCTCTCCTTCACTTAGCGCTGTATTCCCCACCACATTATTTATACTCTCTCTAGGTGATCCTTCACAGCGCTGTATTCCCCACCACATTATTTATACTCTCTCCAGGTGATCCTTCACTTAGCGCTGTATTCCCCCCCACATTATTTATACTCTCTCCAGGTGATCCTTCACTTCAGCGCTGTATTCCCCACCGCATTATTTATACTCTCTCCAGGTGATCCTTCACTTAGCGCTGTATTCCCCACCACATTATTTATACCCTCTCCAGGTGATCCTTCACAGCGCTGTATTGCCCACCACATTATTTATACTCTCTCCAGGTGATCCTTCACTTAGCGCTGTATTCCCCACCACATTATTTATACTCTCTCCAGGTGATCCTTCACAGCGCTGTATTCCCCACCACATTATTTATACAGATTATACTCTCTCCAGGTGATCCTTCACTTAGCGCTGTATTGCCCACCACATTATTTATACTCTCTCCAGGTGATCCTTCACAGCGCTGTATTCCCCACCACATTATTTACACTCTCTCCAGGTGATCCTTCACTTAGCGCTGTATTCCCCACCACATTATTTATACTCTCTCCAGGTGATCCTTCACTTAGCGCTGTATTCCCCACCACATTATTTATACTCTCTCCAGGTGATCCTTCACAGCGCTGTATTCCCCACCACATTATTTATACTCTCTCCAGGTGATCCTTCACTTCAGCGCTGTATTCCCCACCACATTATTTATACTCTCTCCAGGTGATCCTTCACAGCGCTGTATTGCCCACCACATTATTTATACTCTCTCCAGGTGATCCTTCACTTCAGCGCTGTATTCCCCACCACATTATTTATACTCTCTCCAGGTGATCCTTCACTTAGCGCTGTATTGCCCACCACATTATTTATACTCTCTCCAGGTGATCCTTCACAGCGCTGTATTCCCCACCACATTATTTATACTCTCTCCAGGTGATCCTTCACTTAGCGCTGTATTCCCCACCACATTATTTATACTCTCTCCAGGTGATCCTTCACTTAGCGCTGTATTCCCCACCACATTATTTATACTCTCTCCAGGTGATCCTTCACTTAGCGCTGTATTCCCCACCACATTATTTATACTCTCTCCAGGTGATCCTTCACAGCGCTGTATTCCCCACCACATTATTTATACTCTCTCCAGGTGATCCTTCACAGCGCTGTATTCCCCACCACATTATTTACACTCTCTCCAGGTGATCCTTCACTTAGCGCTGTATTCCCCACCACATTATTTATACTCTCTCCAGGTGATCCTTCACAGCGCTGTATTCCCCACCACATTATTTATACTCTCTCCAGGTGATCCTTCACTTAGCGCTGTATTCCCCACCACATTATTTATACCCTCTCCAGGTGATCCTTCACAGCGCTGTATTGCCCACCACATTATTTATACTCTCTCCAGGTGATCCTTCACTTAGCGCTGTATTCCCCACCACATTATTTATACTCTCTCCAGGTGATCCTTCACTTAGCGCTGTATTCCCCACCACATTATTTATACTCTCTCCAGGTGATCCTTCACAGCGCTGTATTCCCCACCACATTATTTACACTCTCTCCAGGTGATCCTTCACTTAGCGCTGTATTCCCCACCACATTATTTATACTCTCTCCAGGTGATCCTTCACAGCGCTGTATTCCCCACCACATTATTTATACTCTCTCCAGGTGATCCTTCACTTAGCGCTGTATTCCCCACCACATTATTTATACCCTCTCCAGGTGATCCTTCACAGCGCTGTATTGCCCACCACATTATTTATACTCTCTCCAGGTGATCCTTCACTTAGCGCTGTATTCCCCACCACATTATTTATACTCTCTCCAGGTGATCCTTCACAGCGCTGTATTCCCCACCACATTATTTACACTCTCTCCAGGTGATCCTTCACTTAGCGCTGTATTGCCCACCACATTATTTATACTCTCTCCAGGTGATCCTTCACTTAGCGCTGTATTCCCCACCACATTATTTATACTCTCTCCAGGTGATCCTTCACAGCGCTGTATTCCCCACCACATTATTTACACTCTCTCCAGGTGATCCTTCACTTAGCGCTGTATTCCCCACCACATTATTTATACTCTCTCCAGGTGATCCTTCACTTAGCGCTGTATTCCCCACCACATTATTTATACTCTCTCCAGGTGATCCTTCACTTCAGCGCTGTATTCCCCACCACATTATTTATACTCTCTCCAGGTGATCCTTCACAGCGCTGTATTGCCCACCACATTATTTATACTCTCTCCAGGTGATCCTTCACAGCGCTGTATTCCCCACCACATTATTTATACTCTCTCCAGGTGATCCTTCACTTCAGCGCTGTATTCCCCACCACATTATTTATACTCTCTCCAGGTGATCCTTCACAGCGCTGTATTCCCCACCACATTATTTATACTCTCTCCAGGTGATCCTTCACAGCGCTGTATTGCCCACCACATTATTTATACTCTCTCCAGGTGATCCTTCACAGCGCTGTATTCCCCACCACATTATTTATACTCTCTCCAGGTGATCCTTCACAGCGCTGTATTCCCCACCACATTATTTATACTCTCTCCAGGTGATCCTTCACAGCGCTGTATTCCCCACCACATTATTTATACTCTCTCCAGGTGATCCTTCACTTAGCGCTGTATTGCCCACCACATTATTTATACTCTCTCCAGGTGATCCTTCACAGCGCTGTATTCCCCACCACATTATTTATACTCTCTCCAGGTGATCCTTCACTTAGCGCTGTATTCCCCACCACATTATTTATACTCTCTCCAGGTGATCCTTCACAGCGCTGTATTCCCCACCACATTATTTACACTCTCTCCAGGTGATCCTTCACTTAGCGCTGTATTCCCCACCACATTATTTATACTCTCTCCAGGTGATCCTTCACAGCGCTGTATTCCCCACCACATTATTTATACTCTCTCCAGGTGATCCTTCACTTAGCGCTGTATTCCCCACCACATTATTTATACCCTCTCCAGGTGATCCTTCACAGCGCTGTATTGCCCACCACATTATTTATACTCTCTCCAGGTGATCCTTCACTTAGCGCTGTATTCCCCACCACATTATTTATACTCTCTCCAGGTGATCCTTCACAGCGCTGTATTCCCCACCACATTATTTACACTCTCTCCAGGTGATCCTTCACTTAGCGCTGTATTGCCCACCACATTATTTATACTCTCTCCAGGTGATCCTTCACTTAGCGCTGTATTCCCCACCACATTATTTATACTCTCTCCAGGTGATCCTTCACAGCGCTGTATTCCCCACCACATTATTTACACTCTCTCCAGGTGATCCTTCACTTAGCGCTGTATTCCCCACCACATTATTTATACTCTCTCCAGGTGATCCTTCACTTAGCGCTGTATTCCCCACCACATTATTTATACTCTCTCCAGGTGATCCTTCACTTCAGCGCTGTATTCCCCACCACATTATTTATACTCTCTCCAGGTGATCCTTCACAGCGCTGTATTGCCCACCACATTATTTATACTCTCTCCAGGTGATCCTTCACAGCGCTGTATTCCCCACCACATTATTTATACTCTCTCCAGGTGATCCTTCACTAGCGCTGTATTGCCCACCACATTATTTATACTCTCTCCAGGTGATCCTTCACAGCGCTGTATTCCCCACCACATTATTTATACTCTCTCCAGGTGATCCTTCACTTAGCGCTGTATTCCCCACCACATTATTTATACTCTCTCCAGGTGATCCTTCACAGCGCTGTATTCCCCACCACATTATTTATACTCTCTCCAGGTGATCCTTCACAGCGCTGTATTCCCCACCACATTATTTATACTCTCTCCAGGTGATCCTTCACTTCTGCGCTGTATTCCCCACCACATTATTTACACTCTCTCCAGGTGATCCTTCACAGCGCTGTATTGCCCACCACCTTATTTATACTCTCTCCAGGTGATCCTTCACTTCTGTCGGTTCTGTGAGCGGTATTTGCAACCTCCGTCTACTTGGATATTGTGCGCTCTGGAGAGTAGGGAGCTCCTGGCTCTCTGCCTCAAGAAACTCAAGGGTCTCAATAAGGTATGTACTGTTAGACTCATATTCAGATTACCCAAGTTATTCATAATACTAATAGTGTTCTTAAACTTACATGATACGTAAATTTCACTTAAGCGTATCATTTTGACTCATGTCACTTTTAACACCACCCTCCACCATTCACTCTGATTTCTCCAGCAACCTTTCCCAGGGTTGCCACACCCCAGAGGTAGGCAGAGCATCTCAATGCTATCCTCTCGTGGGCTATCATGGTCCAGCCTCTCTTTAGAAAATTAAAAAATTAAAAAATGATACTTATAGTTATTTTTTGTTGGTCACCGAATATAACCGAAAATCATTACTATCGAATGACCCTTTTCATCGATAATTTGTAGATACAGTAGTCTCTTACCTTTCTTTCATATCACCCACTATTTCAGGTAAGGCTGGTAGATGCTTCCTTCATATGGACAGAATCCCACTCCAAGCGGATCAAGGTAAACGTGACAATACAAGGAGACGCGTTCGGAACAATCCTTCAACAGCAGTTTGTAGTGGAATACACAGTGCATTACCAGATGTGTGAAGTCTGCTGTAAACAAAAGGGTAGTGATGGCGAGTGTTGGAGAGCGCTGGTACAGATCAGACAGAGGGTGGGTTGCTTGCGGAGTTTCACAGATTTATTAAGTGACGATTTATTGTGATGTCTACATTTGTTGACATTTTCTTAATTTCGTTTTTTAAATCATCAAATGTGTTCTAGTAGATCTAATTAAAATTATACCAATTATCTCCACGTCTCAGACGATACACAAAAAGACGCTGTTTTATCTTGAACAGATCATATTGAAGCATAACATGCACAAGGACCCTATGACTATCAAGGAGATGGAGGGTGGAATCAACTTTTACTACCAAGCTAAAAACAAGTAATTGTCATTTATCGGGTCCAAATATCCCCAGTACAAGTGTCCACATTGTCCCCTATATCCCTTTATTGTACCATAACAGTACCAGCTCAAGTTTGCTTTGATAAACAACTGCCTGAATTGTGTAAGTATCATTAAATGTCAACCAATCTGGTTTGCTAGTCAGATCCCCAAAATAGATTTCCTTTAAGATGCAATCTTATAATTATAGAGTGTCGACCCATCTGGTTTGCTAGTCAGATCCTAGATTAATAATTTCCTTTCTTCAGATCCTAGATTAATAATTTCCTAGATTAATAATTTCTAGATTAATAATTTCCTTTCTTCAGTGCTCGAAAGATGGTAGACTTCCTAATGGCAATGATACCCTGCCAGTACAAAACATCCCAGGAGCTCGTGTCACATGACATACAGAGTAACATCTTCAACTACAAGTACACTTTCTTCGTCGAGGTACTGACCATATCTTGCCACATCTTTTGTGTACAATTAAATAATACCAACTCATACATAATCATCAGCCATCCGAATTCCTATATTACAATTACTTAACATTCTACATTCTTCTGGATATTAACATTACAAAAGACGGCTGATTTACAGAGAAGTTACCCTATACAGTATACATCGAACCTGTTTTAACCTACTTTAACCTCCCTCTTCTATTGTATCCAGATTACGCGGATTTGTAAAGATGAAGTAGTCTGTTTACCGGTCTCGGTGTCTCGCTACCTGAACCACATGTCCCAGGTTGCTATCTGCACTAGATATCTGGTGAGTGCTGTTGTTCTACAGAGTTATTTCTTCACTTGGTTGCTCTGCTTTTTATAATTAATAGTAACGATTTCATTCGTACAATATTGTGTCTCGTTTAGTCTTACTTTATTTGAATTATCGGATGATGTCGTTGAGATTGATTGTATCCTAATCTTCATTCTCATACAGATAATATCCATCTTATGGATCCTATCACTCTCAAGATCGGTCAGCTGAACGCTGGACAGTATTTCCGGGACGCATTTGACGCCATCTGCCACCAGAAGCAACTCAGAGAGTTCATGGTAATGAACATTGAGCCTATCTACAACCAAGATAAGCAGTATGGTTCTTACTCTCATAAACACCAGCTGGCTGATGTTTGGGTCCTGCCTCTTAACTCTCTTGGTGGGTTTTAATTCGTCCACTATCTTTTATTCTGCGTGGTATTCTTGCCAGAGTCTCATCAAATCTTTCTAAAGATGCGCCATATCTTTGATGTGGAACAGTGTTGGAACACATTTAAAGTGAAGGCTAATGTTAATTGTTCCCCCACATTGAAAACCTGTTAATTCAGGTACGGATGACCAGGAGAATGAGATCCACACGAGAACCCACCTGGGTAACATCATACAGTGTGGGGATTATGTGCTAGGCTTCGATGTGGCTCACGCTGTGGTCAACAACCAGGTCTTCGACAAGATCAAACAGGTAACGCGCTCGGGGTCTTTTCTGTTTTAACTTTTGTTCACAGTTCAATAACAGCATGATATTGTTGTGTGCAAACTTGCAGCTCTTATTTCCCCTCTAATGAAGTTTTCAATAGCGTTAGCACGATGTCATAAAGATGTTGAAAAATAGCTGTATTTTCACTTATCACTATTTTATTGGTTCCGCATATTCCAGAATATCTTGTACTTAATGCAACATGAAAGGGTAATAACCTTGTTCAACGCCACAAAACCTCCAATAGAGTTCCCTGTCTGGGCTCTCTCGTATTTAAGTAGAAGCCATTTACAGCTGGTGCTCCTTGTAGTGAGATATTGCTATAAAAACACTATTCTCAAATTTATCTTGTATTGAAATCACCCTTGCAATTCACAGAGACGGAGAAGATATTATGTCTTTATGTGAATTTCATTTTCACACCACTGTCATATTATTACAGTTGGATATTATATTGCTCTTTCGTTGAGCTCTAAACTTCTGGTTCAGTAATAAGCAGTTTTCTCTTCCTCTTGATAGCAATATGAAGATATCACATAATACGTAGAGGCATAAACCATGAAGATTGAAAACAGGTGTACAAAATGGGGCAGGGATGGAAATCCTCACAGTAGACTAAACGATCAAACCTAATCTGGTGCCGTTTCTTTGTTCATTTGCTTAAATAATGCGGTTTGCTCGTATCCACTATCCACGTTTGTTTTTCGTGTTGCTCGTTTTTAAAACGAGTCGTTTTACAAAAATATGATAAAGAATAAGAATTTCATAAAAGCACATACAGAGCAAAGTTTTTAGCGTGCTAAGTCTAAACGGGTATTCACACGTGATAGTCTTACACACGTGATAGTCTAGACGGTTAAGTTGCTTTACTGATACGAAATCGGGAACAGATGTTGCAATACAAAGATACAATTCCCCACAAATATTGTTTGAATATTTATTTCTTGCTGCAGTGTTGTAGCTTCGTTGCTAAATATTTTAAAGTTAATAAACTTTTCGAGAAGACTCGTCCCCAACTAGAAGAAGACTCGTCTCCCCAACTAAAGAGATAATGTTATCAGTTGTTATCACTCTGATAACACTGAGTGTAACTTCCTCCACACGAGAGTGTGGAAATGAGGGCTACACTGTCACCAACTACAAAAACAGAGGTTATCTCAAACTACACAAGAAAGGGAGTCAGGGTGACGATTGTTTTAAGTGCTGGATGTCACGTGATACTTATGTTGTGCCTTACGAAGATGAGGAGTTGACTGAGTACAGTAGAACCTGTCGTGATGACCCCAAGTTCTATCAGGTAACAACTTAGCTATTTCCTTTTTCACTTCACTTTCACTTTCACTTTCACTTTCACTTTCTGTAATGTTGATTTAGCAGGTGATTACTACTCTACTCCCAGGCGTGTGGTACGATCAGTAACGACAGAATAACACAGTCCGGTACCCTCTTCGACGAGTGGTTGTGCGGGTTCTACCTCTGTTACATACCTGAAGATGACGACAGCATGCCCGAAGCAGGACCCCACGTCATGCACCAGACCCTCTGCCGGACCAAACTGTTCTGTAACTGTCACAACACCGACGCAGATGAACGGTACTGTGACAGTGACTTAGCCGGGTTCTACAGATGCGGGGATGATGATACAACTAGACCTAATGACGTCAGGTTTATAGAGGAATCTAAAGTATGTGACGGGAGGGGGGACTGTGTGGACGGAGAGGATGAGATCTGGATACAAGGTGATAACGAGAGGGAGGGGAAGTGCCGGTTTGGCTTGACGTGTTTCAATAAGAATAATGTTCAGGTGCGGTTATTTAACTATTACAAATCCTTTAGAGTTTTAGTGCTGAGAAAACAGAATGTACAGTATTAATTTTAATAACAGTAGTGTTAATTTTAATAACATTAAATGTATTATATTATGATATAGTCGTTAAATTGTACTGTAGCAACAGTTATCAATCCTTAGTACAAATTATCTGTCAGGTGTGGATATCCCCGGAGAAGTTGTGTGACGGTAAAGAGGACTGTAAGGAAGGAGAAGATGAAACAAAGGAGAAGTGTAGCAGTGAGGAGGGAGGGTTAACATGTGACAACAACACTTCCCACGTGTTAAACACCACACAACTATGTACCCCCGCACTAGGCACTGTCTGTGAAACAGGCAACCTGGATCAAACCTCCTGTCCTCACCTCCAAGACGTGGCCATGTCCTGTAAACTGAAGAACTTGAACCTCATCACCACAGTCTCCAAGTACGTGATGTGTAACGAGACAGCACTGTGTGAGGATGAGTACGATGTGAGGTGTGAGAGGAGGGGGTGTACTGTTCACAAGCAGCAGATATGTGATGGGTATCAGGACTGTTCTGATGGCAGTGATGAGAGGAACTGTGATATCAGGGACCAGACAAAGCATGCTACGTGCGTGTGGAGGGTACATATTGATCATACAGATAGGAAGAGTAGGAAGGAGAGATGGCAGAGTACTGATAATACGAGGGAGAAGAGACGACCTATTCCCCTGTCATGGTTATGTGATGGAGAGAGAGATTGTGAGGGTAATGAAGACGAAGACGAGTCCAGATGGCTAGTCTGTGAGGACGATAACATTAAGATCTGTCTGGAGCACAGTCCTAAGGAGGAGGAAGGAAACAAGGAGAAGTGTCGTCAGGTTTACAAGTCAACCCCTCGTACTCACACCTCCCTCCAAATAGTCCACCTTGACAATCTGTGCAGATCTCCAGAGAAGGGTAACGAACACGAGATGTGTGCTGTAGCGCACAATCTGCCATCATTTCCTACTCGGGCTGTATTTAATGAGGGGGTGACACAACTGTTCCACTGTTTGGACGGGCTGCACACTCATCTCAATTGTGGTCTGGTTTGTGTACCGGGCCACTTCACTGGTGAACCAAACCGAGCGTATGGATTACAGAAGATTGAGCTCAGATACCCGCCTAGCAACGTGGATTGTAGGTACGTGTTTGGGGAAACGTACGTGTTTTCTGCTTGTCAGGGCTTGTGTGCTGATAAGAGCATCACGTGCCCACTCAACAAGATAACCAGACAATCTTGTAACGAAGATAAGATGATTTACACTCTGTCTGAAGACAACTATCTCACCAAAGTACGGGAGGTTAAGGGAGCGTTTATAAATGACATATTCGCTTGTGAAAACGGTAAATGTGTCGGATACGACAAAGTGTGCAATCTCAATGATGATTGTGGGGATGGTTCGGACGAGCTGAACTGTGCGAACCAGTTCAGATGTCAGAGTGAGCACGATGAACGCATACCTCTCTCATCTGTTTGTGACAAGAAAGAGGACTGTAGTGACCACTCCGACGAGTGTAACGAACAGTGCGGTGCTAGACTCATTAAGATAACTTTCTTCAAATCTCCGCATGGTTTATAGGCATATCAGCTGTCTCCACCAATGGGTATGTGATAGGAAAGTACGCAAGGAAACTGGGAGACATCAGGTCTACAGTAAGACTGGTTAACAGTGTCTTCATGGTTCTGATAGGCTGTGGAGACTTCCTGGTGGGGTTCTACTTAGTGGCCCTGAGTGTGGTGAACCAGTACTACGGTAGTGAGTACTGTCAGAGGAGATTTAGTTGGAGAAGCAGCAGGTGGTGCTCTTATCTCGGTATTATCAACACTAGTGGAGCGTATATCTCCATGTTTTCCATGTCAGTTCTGGGCTTGTACCGGGCTCACAGTGTATGGAGAGTGTTCGGACAGAGAAGTTTGAACTGGACGAGAAAGTTTCTGATATTCGGCGAGGTGGCAGGGATTGTGCTGCTAGCTCTGATAATAGCAGTGATACCAGAGTCTCCGATGTTTAGTGAGTATTTTAAGAACGGCCTGGTTTATGACGAGGAAGTTGGGTTGTTCCTAGGCCCCATCAGTCGATCTCGTCATGTAGAAATACTGGAGCACTATTACGGGAGGTTCGTGGAGAGAGACAGGCACAGGACCGGGATAAGTGTTCATTTGAGTTGGAGTGAAGTTAAAACACTTGTCAGGGAAATGTTCACTCAGTTTAACGGAACTGACCCAATTGAGGGTAGAGCGTTCGGTTTCTATGGTAACGATGGAGTGTGTCTGTTCAAGTATTTTGTCCTAAAAACGGACTCTCAACGTTATTTTGTGTGGAGTATCCTGGGTCTAACTCTCTTCTCCTTCCTCTTCATCCTTCTCAGTTATACCTTTGTCTACGTCATCGCTTCTAACAGGTCCGGTCTGATCAGATCCTCTCTTGACAGAATGAGGGGCACCTCCCCATCCTCACCCCACCGCGGACACCAGAGTCACACGATGCAGCGCAAAATAGCTGTCATCATCCTGACTGACTTCCTCTGCTGGGTTCCATTTTCTGCGGTGTGTATTTTACACTCTGTTGGGGTGTTCTCTGCTGACGATCACTACGAACTGTTTTCAGTGTTGGTACTACCAATTAACTCGCTGATAAATCCCCTACTGTATGATAGGAGGTTGGGGAACTTGGTTGGGTATTGTTTCACTTGTGTTAAAGATAACATAGTGAAATTGTTTAGGATTGTTATGAGAGGTTTTAGTGGGGGTGTCAGGTATCTCGGAAGAGGTAGTGTGAAATGTTTGAGAAGTAGTAGGAGTTATTTTGATAGTTTTTCGTTAGCTGGAATGTGGAATAATATCAGTTCGGTTAATTTGGTTCAGTTGTTGGAGAATGAGATGGGTGAGCGTCATATAACGGATATCACCGGTGAAGCTGTTAACCAGCCATCTTCAGTTGAAACTTCAAAGATACCTTCGGAAACTTCGATCTAACTTTATGATACTATCCAAACACAACAAATAGCTTTAGGTTCATTGTCCTGGGATGAACTATATATATTCGTATTATTTACTAATATACTACATATTCGTTAATAAATGATGGTTATAAATTATAGAGTATACAATATACTTTATACTTTATATTAATATCCATCATCTATTAACGCTTTTATATTGTGTAATATTTGACTATATCATATGCCAAAGGCTTTGTTACACAAACTGTGTAGTCAACACGGGTTAGTGTTAACACTGCTTGGGGTTTAGTCTGTTGTCTAGCTGCGTTGATAAGAACTTAATATTATGTACATTTTAATTACAATTAACTCAAAATATTGTTTGATTCTCCTTTGGTGATATCTATCTTTGAACTGAAAACTGAAAATGTACACTATTTTTGTCTTTTGATGTCCAGAAAAAAAACCTGGAATAAAAACATTATGTTTGGAATTGTATCGTGCTGAGGGTTTTCAATCAGATCCCTCCGAGGCACCGATAAATGTTCTTATTGTTGAGATAACCAAAAAGACACAGAGTCGTTGTCCACTGTCAGCGAGTACACAAAACATTTTGGCTTTCCTTTTAAGTTTTGAAGAAAGTCAAATGATTTGTGTATTCTTCTTCAGAGCAATGCCAAGAAAGTTAACCAGGTCAAATTTCAACACAGACTGGTTTTGGTAATTAATAAACGTAAGGTTGAATAAATACATGAAATGAGCTTGTGGTGCTAGGAAAGCGGTGTTAATCGTTCAATTGCCTCATCAGTTACTAGCATCACATCTACAGATCACTGTTACTAATAGCTCATATTAACCAGGAAATAAGATATCAAAGAACTGGACATCTGTATTATATCGTTACACGATCATAATATCTGTTGTGATTAATGGTTACTCGTGCAACTTCAAAGGTTGCATATTGCATAACCAAATTTGTATCATTTGTATAACCAAATTTGTATCATTTGCATACGCACCACCTATACCATGCTTGCCATTTATGATTGGACCAGTTAACAAGCTTATACAGTAAACATTATACAAAGAACAGGCCAGGAGGTATTTGTTGTACAGAGAGAGAGAGTAATGAGTGTTTCCCAATGGTAATCATCCGCACCTAGCTCTATAGTAGACCAACTCCAAGTGCCAACTTGTTGTACGTATGGTAACGATTGTGTTACACCGTTTACAGTGCCCGGCTTCAGTGACATTAGGCTAATATTTCCTGAAACTCTCGTTTGTACCCCCAAGAGGTGTTGTGATTCCAAATAAGTTCCAGCTATTATTGGCGCACGATTTTATTACGTTTCGGCAGCATTATAAAGTTCTTCTGTTGAGTCTTTGCCATATCGAGCCCTGCCCTACTAAATATCAGTATCACCCGTATTCAGGTGTAAATTAGAGAATGAGCGACCACCAATGCTAAATATGAATATCACCCGTATTCAGGTGTAAATTAGAGAATGAGCGACCACCAATGCCAATATTACGTTCTGTTCCAAACCTGAACTTAATAATATGTTATTACCACCTCTCAATAATGGTATTATTATTGGTTCAGTGAGCAGCTTCATAAATATTTGTTGCACGGCATTTAGGCACTTCATGGTTCGGTCATTGACTGAACTCGGATTGAAAATATAATTACTGGCGAATTACGCCGTTCCAGTATTTCTGATGCAATGTCGTGCATGAATCATCGTTCCTTTTGTTCCTTTAATTCTGAAACGTGGCAATACCTAGTTTTCTTACGATTCATTTTTATTTTGTCGTTAATTACTTCTCTAAAGGGAGGCGCCTGCAGAGCTTAAGCTATTAATTCTTTTTTGATATCATTTCTCGTTACAATCCTTTCTCACTAATCAATCAACTCCGCCTTTAGTCATCCTAAAACGTTACAAACTACAAAGGTGCACCGTTTCCCCGCCAGTAATAACTCCCTTTCTTAACTCTAACCAGTTACCGTTTTTAACTCTAACCTGCCTCTAACAGGGCCAGTTACTGTTATTAACTCTAACCTCCCTCTAACAGGGCCAGTTACCGTTATTAACTCTAACCTGCCTCTAACCGGGCCAGTTACCGTTATTAACTCTAACCTCCCTCTAACAGGGCCAGTTACTGTTATTAACTCTAACCTCCCTCTAACAGGGCCAGTTACTGTTATTAACTCTAACCTACCTCTAACAGGGCCAGTTACTGTTATTAACTCTAACCTCCCTCTAACAGGGCCAGTTACTGTTATTAACTCTAACCTCCCTCTAACAGGGCCAGTTACTGTTATTAACTCTAACCTCCCTCTAACAGGGCCAGTTACCATTATTAACTCTAACCTCCCTCTAACAGGGCCAGTTACCGTTATTAACTCTAACCTGCCTCTAACAGGGCCAGTTACCGGACATTGTCCTGGTGAAGAAGATATACCCGGAGAAGGTAAAGAGGAACAAGGGGCGTAACTTCAGACTCAAGCATCTGAGGAAGAACTCTGCTGCTGAAACTGTTACTGACGATGGTAACGATGGTATGTTGCTGTTTTTATTAATACTAATTATCTGCATAATTACCAATTAATTTATCAAGACAGCGCAGGCAGTTCTAACAATATTAGATTACCCTGCTACCGAGCCGCCATGAAATTTGATAATTGTTATCAAGACGTCTTGTTAAGTTGGAACTGTAATTATTATAAAATGCGATTTTTGCCGACTACGGGACTGAATGACCCTCCCTGTGCTGTTTAAAGGTTTCCTAATTCAGCTTATAACGAACTTTCGGCATATTATCCTAGGGGTTAAGTCTTGCTGCTCGATTCTGCTGTATTGCATGTATACATTGGTACAAGTATTCGTTTGTCAGTCTACAACTTCCGCGAAATTCATAAAGTCTCTTGATAGATTGGATTATGATTAATTGAAGGGCCTACCATACAATTTTCTTGTGAAAGTGGTTCTGTCGCACCCTCCTAACATTCTAAAGTTGTAGCATCCAGATATGTTAGATATACCAACTATTTGAGCAGACTGATGTATTGTGTTCACGCATCATTATGGAACAATTAAATTGTCTAGAATCGTTGGATTGTAGTTAAGGGTGGCCACCTGGCCTCCAAGATCTGTATCACGAGTTTCTACTTTCTCTCTTTCTCTCTTACATTGCTAGTATATATATAGCGTTACGTCGTCTTTCTAAGTCAGAGTTAGATCTTTCAGTTCGTTACAGTTTAGTAATACAAATTTGTTTACATTACTTAATAATTTGCTCTCCACCATAATAATTTGCTCTTCACCAGGAGACTACAACGATTTCCTGGAAGATCTTGAAGAAGACCCGGAACTTCGTAAGAACATAAACCTGTACAAGCGAGAACAGAAGCCCCAATGGATGGCAGATGCAGAGGAGGTATTAGCACCCAAGGTCGGACTAGAGGAGCTGCTGGATGATCTGGTATTGGATGTTGCTGACACTGACCAGGATGGCAACATGATGACTGATGATGCTGAAAATGCTGGCAGCTAAACTTTCTTTTGTTCTTTTAAAGATTTTAAGTTTTTTAGTGGGTGTTAAGTTATTGAGTCCGTTCTTACGATCTAAATTATTATTTTATCTTTGACGTTTCATTGTTTCACAACTCAGAGATTGAAATAGAACTGTTGAATGCTAATTTCACGACTAATTTCACGACGGCTTTATATTGTATGTACAAAATTACCGCGAGTAGATTATCTCATTTTGTATGGTTGACTGGTCACTTGTGATCACTAAATACTAAATCTTATATTTCTCAGGATGGTATAATGACTTAATGAATAGCTTCCCTGCGATCCTCGCCTGATCCCTGTATTTTTATAATACACATCTGTCCAGCTCTTATCTGCTCTCCTTAATAATATGGGTAAATGTAGAGTTTGCCAGGACAAGTTGACCTTGCCTTACATCCAATGTGCAGAATGCGCCCCCTTTTTCAACCTGTGTCTTTGTTGTTTTTCTACCGGCTCCAAGGCCGGCGCCCACCAACCCTGGCACCCTTACAAGCTCATTCATGCTAACCTTCCCGTTATCAGTACTGATTGGAGTGCTATTGAAGATATCAAGATGTTGAACTCTATCGAGAGGTATGGGCTAGACTGGGAGTTGATATCCAGTATGTTGCCCAACAAGAGCGAAGAACAGTGTCAGCATCACTTCTACAAGTATTTCGTGAACGAGCCCATCCAAAAAGCTCTGATAATCCCCCAAAACACCAAGCACAACACCAAGAAGGTAGCTGAAACAAGTGGGAGTAAATTAACAGCTGTACTGGAAGGGTTACCCAGCAGTGCGGTGGATCAGAAGCGCGGAGACTGGGACTGTAGGTATGATAACAGGGCTGAGGAGGACTTCATGGCAGGGGAAGGGGGAGATGAAACTGTTCGGAAACTTCAGATGGGGATTATGGAGAAGTACAGACAAACTCTGCGGAAGAGGAAACTTCTGGAGAACTTGTACTACGAATACGGGACTATCTTGTTGGAAACACCCCGCCCTCTGAACCCGCACGACACCCCACCTCAAGTAATGGAACTGGATCCTCCGGGTACATTTCCCCTTCAACCAATGCTCAAAATGGCCAGGTACCTCACCAAGCCCCGGTTTGATGATATCAGAGACAAGTGTAAGAGAGTGGATGAGTTGAAGAGAAGTATTAAGGAGTTACAAACAATCCGTAAGAACGGGATAACCTCCAAATTTGGGGCTGAAGTTTACAGGAAGAAGAGAGGTGAACGAGAGACGAAGTATGGCTTTAAAGATAATCACACTAAATGTGTCAGAGACGTTTATTTCAACAATAATTTGTCCATAAATGCCAGGAAAAACAACGTGAAGATGTGGCTACGGGCGGCTACCAAGACTGTTTGAAAATTTGATCAGTAAAATTCGATCGTTCAGATGTTTCCAGTTTGGCACAATCCCCTTCTCAGTCACATTCCTGAAATACCTTCAAAGTGAGCAAGTGTTGATGGAGTTCCCGAGCTGTCAAATAAGTTCACAAGTCGAATGAGACCGACCAAAGGACACTGTAATAGCACTATTACGCGGCAAATGGAGAACGTTGTGCGAGTCGCAAGTCAGGTTTACTTCAACTGGCAGCATCATTAGCACATCTAACAAAAATCCTTATTCGCCTTAATTAGCCTATATGTACTGCGAAATGTAACATTTTGTTGTGCACAGCTTTCTGTGTGTTGAACAGTTGTTTTTGAATATTCACATACCGTTTAATGGGCACGGTGAACATTTTGAGTTAATTTTGTAACTTCGATGTAAATTGCATTCAGAAATTCTGATTATTGTGACGTTTTCAGATAACTACAATAGAGTCGTTGTGGATCGTGCTGTAGATGCGATTCAGCACTTTAGTTCTTGCGGATAGAACTAGATTAATTATAAAAAACAGCTTGTTAGAATGCAATACATTTTAAAGATTTGTCTGGAGAGGGTTTTGTTAACAATTCTCAATTTATTGTAAATTTGTTCAGCATTGTGGTTTTCATAATTCATTTCGTTTTATTCATCTTTTTCACATTTTCATATTTAAAACGATCTGTATTTATTTCTACATTAAAATGATCAGTAAATGTTTTTTAGTCTGTACCATCCGTAGTATTGACTGACCTAACCAAGCCTTCACAGCAGGATGCGTCACTAATTATCAGATTTACAACCCCACCATATAAGGGATGATATGGGTGCTGGCAGGGGGAGTTCTGTTGCTATGGTACTTTATAGTCCGGTACTATCTTAAAGGGACTTCCTCTTCCTACATTCTCAGTAACCTGTGTCCTTCGCCTGACTGTGTTAGTTGCAGTGGTAGTCTTAAATCTCTTTACTCTTCCGATGTGAGTATGAGTGTTTATTTTTGATATTAATTGGTATTTCAAATTGTTCAATTTATTACGGTTTGCGTAAAACTTCAATCATAACTTGCTTTAGCTTTAGAAATAACTCAAATTACAGTTTCGCCTTCTTTTCGAAAAAATCTTTTATTTTAAACATGGATTCTAATTTCCAGGTTGGACCTAAGTTAAAGAAGATGTACGGAAAGTACGATTCACTGGCAGTTCACAAGATTGAGGAGCGTCTGACGTTTGATATGTCGGCAATGACGGAAAAGCGGCGCCCAACTGTCTGCTACCTCCGTGATATGTGCAGTGACCCCTGGCACAATCACAAACAGAAGTATTTACAGGATACCCTGTTAGATTCCTATAGGTTTGAAATTCTTTCATTTGTTGGTCCGATCATTATATATTTTGTTGATTACTTAACCCAAACTTGTTAAATTATTTTTCTTGTAATTTAATTCCTAATTAGTTTTTATTACAGAGCTTGTTTTATGACTTCGTCCCTTTGTTTAAAAGTCAAGAAGTAAAAACCATATTTTATATTCGATCATAATCCATACTTCATAACATATATTATAAAATATTTAATGCAAATTATATTCTGAGTCTTAAATCTATATCCGATTCAGTGCAATAAAGTCAGAAGTAGCTAATATCATATCAGAACAAGAATTGTGGAGCGTGTCTGATATGCAGTCTGGTGGAAGTTGGCAGAAACTGTTCCTTCACAATCAGGGTAGAAAGGTGAGCAATGTCTACATTGAAGTTATAGATTCAGTCCTTATTCTGAACGCTACTTTTCTGATGATATAATACAGATAATACTCATTCTTAAAACAGATAATACTCATTCTTTAACGACGATTAACACATGTTTATTGAAAAGCTTCTACAAGTTAAATCATCGTATCTCTTATATGTTTTTAACCCAACTCCACTCACTCATTCTTTAAACCCCAAATATAACAAATTCTCTTCAGATAGAACGAAATTGTAAAGGAATGCCGAGAACAACGGCTCTAATTGAAGGGTTAGACACATTCATGTCAGGGGTGATATTCGGAAACGCTTACATCTCCATCTTAAACGAGCAGAGTGTCATAGAACCCCACTGCGGACCAACTAATCTCAGAGTCAGATGTCACATGGGTCTTCAGGTCAGTGTTCAGTTGTAGCACATGAGTCGTGTTTAGAATATGTGGTGCAAATCAAGACATGATAATATTTGTTATTAAGTTCATACCTCATAGTCAGGGTTTCGTAGCCCATATTCGTCAAAAAAGTGTAATTCTACTCATTTCTGGCCGGACTGGGTTAATTGATAGGTGTACTTTTAAAGTTTAAAGTTTTGCTGATCAAAAAGTTGTTTAACTTCGACTGATAAGATGATCGTTCTAATCATGACATGTATAGCTGAAAAGTTCTCCATCACAACACAGCGCATCTCCTACTCCTCTTCTTTCCCTCTTTCTTCTTTCCCTCTTTCTTCTTTCCCTCTTTCTTCTTTCCCTCTTTCTTCTTTCCCTCTTTCTTCTTTCCCTCTTTCTTCTTTCCCTCTTTCTTCTTTCCCTCTTTCTTCTTTCCCTCTTTCTTCTTTCCCTCTTTCTTCTTTCCCTCTTTCTTCTTTCCCTCTTTCTTCTTTCCCTCTTTCTTCTTTCCCTCTTTCTTCTTTCCCTCTTTCTTCTTTCCTCTTTCTTCTTTCCCTCTTTCTTCTTTCCCTCTTTCTTCTTTCCCTCTTTCTTCTTTTCCTCTTTCTTCTTTCCCTCTTTCTTCTTTCCCTCTTTCTTCTTTCCCTCTTTCTTCTTTCCCTCTTTCTTCTTTCCCTCTTTCTTCTTTCCCTCTTTCTTCTTTCCCTCTTTCTTCTTTCTCTCTTTCTTCTTTCCCTCTTTCTTCTCTCCCTCTTTCTTCTCTCCCTCTTTCTTCTCTCCCTATTTCTTCTTTCCCTCTTTCTTCTTCCTAAATACCAGCCCAAGTTCCACTGCATCACGGAGTAGCTTCTCTAAATTAGTCCCATATTTAGCAGACACTTCTAGACATTTATCAGCCCCCACATTTTCTGCTACTTCTGCTAATCTCGCCTTGACATCTGTGCCCTCTGCGCTGTCCAGGTTTCGGTCGCAATGTGTCCCCACAATTATTATTGGAGCTCCTGGAACCCAATGTCGGACTAATTTTGCCCACTTGGACTGGATATTCTCGATGGTGTGTGGATGGGTTAGCTTGTAGGTGAGAATAAAGACATCAGCTATTATGTAGTTGAGTTGCATCAATCGTCTGCATTCCTCGTTTTCTAAAGAATAGTTCAGTTATGAAACAGTTTGAACAAGTTGTTTGCTACTGCCATTAAGTGAACTACTTGGAGTTAATTAACTAATTAATTAATTAAGATTTAATTAATAACCTGCTGTGTCCCATACTGACACCTCCACCTCGTTACCATTTTCCACTGTCACCTTCCTTCCAAACTCATCGTACTGTGCGGGAATGTATTCTAACGTTGTTACATCAACTTCAGGATCTTGAAGTTTCATGGCTAGCGTCGTTTTATCTTTAATTGTAAATTTGAAATAGGGATAGTACAGGGGAAAAAATTGTAATATAATCAAAAGTTTCTTTACCATTAGTAGGAGATAGTGATACATAAAAAGTTGATAAATCTGTAAATATGTAGATAATAATATTCGTCGTTTTTACCTGTAAAACCGTCCCCAGTGATTACACATTTAATCGGGCGTTCATTTGTGATCGTGTCTTCGTCTGATTTCGCTGCCATCCTGACCACAGATTTAGAATTATCTTTGTTGAACAATTTCTAGCAAAGCAAACAACCAAATCACATCCAACGCTGATATAATATTGGGTTAGATTATGGTGGATGTGTGTTTTTGTTTATGGTATAGCTTAGCGATTACAAATTGCTTTGGATGGCATCCAAAATAAAAAACAATTAATTAATTAATTAATACCCTGGCCCACCAAATTTCTCAGATACCGCAAGGTGACTGCAGTCTCACAGTAAATGGGAAACAAGAACATTGGGCTAACCAGGAATGTATAATGTTCGACGATTCTTTCCTGCACAGCTCTTCTAATAATACAGATTCTCAGAGAATAGTTCTTATTGTTGACCTGTGGCACCCTAATCTCACTATAGCAGAGGTTTGTAAATGCATCTTATACGGGCATATTAGACAATCTTCTTAAATCTAATCAACAATTTTTTCTTTTTTTCTAATTTACCTTTAGTCTTTAGAGTCTCAATTTTTCATTTTAATCCTTCAACTTTTTTCAGATTAAGATATTCGGAGAGCTGTTTGCTGTTAGACATTGATCTCTTGTTCATTCGGAGAAGTTAAAATGAAGTTATAATTTCTTGTAACGTTGATCGGTTTGGCAGAAAAGAAGGTTCTTGTCAGTTTGGCATAATTGGAGTTAAAAACGTTATGTGACTGCCGCCCAATTCTACTCATATCTTTTAATAGGTTTAATAAATTTGATTGCATGATTAATTTGATCGCATGATTAAATTTACCAAAATTAATCCCATAATATACCTTTTAAAAACACACGACATTCTTATATTTTAATTACAGTGTTTTGAATCTGATCAGCAAAATTTTTTCTTTCACATTATTATATATACAGTTTGTTACAATATATACATATTGTTTTTTCAATTTTGAAAAGATTTTCAATAATAAAAAAAGGACGAATAATATTATTAAAACTTGTTTAAGGAATTAAGAGGAGTAAAATTCCAAGATTCAGAAATGAGTATTGTACTGTGACTAGCAATTTATTCATTTCAGATTTGTTGTAAGTTGTATTTCGTTAAATCTTCAGCTGTTTATAAGAATTTGTCGTGCTATGTAATGTGAAAATGTACAAAGTTTTTAATAATTGGCATTTTTATGCACTTTCATTATAACCAAAAAAGTTATGAAAACATGAAATAACCATCATTACCACGGATGACAAATGGCAAACTAGATGTGTAAAAACGAAAGCTACAAGTAAAGTACAAGGAACAAAATGGCGCAAATGACCGGGAGACCGCGTGTACATGAGGCCCTGGTGCGTGCGCGCAGCCGCCTATTCAAAATATTTTGTTAAATAAGCATTTGCGACACGCGAGTTTCTGGTACTTTGTGATTGGATTTCATTATTTAATTTACTAAGTCACGATCAAGAATTCAAGACCTATTTCGCAGGATGGTCCAAAATAGTCAACACGTTTTTGAAGCCAGGATGGACAATGTTCGATGCATGTCCTCAGTTCTCAAATCGATAGCATTCAAAGACTATGCTACTGTTTTCATTAGCAGTAATGGACTCAAATTCACAGTTGAAGAAAGCAAATGCGCCCAAGTGAACGCATTTCTCCAAAGTGATTTGTTCCAGGCTTACGATTTCACATCAGATACCCTTGTATTCCGGATAAATCTTAATGTTCTAATGGAATGTTTGAATATATTTGGAGGAGCTCCGGGTCAATCTTTCACCTCCCTTAAAATGTATTACCCTGCTGATGGGGAACCGCTTGGTTTGGTACTGGAGGAAGGTGGCGTTGTCACTGAATGTCAGATCAAAACGATGGAGGCAGATGAAATATTGGACTTTAACTTTACCAGCATAGGTGTGCAGAACAAAATAATAATGAAATCGGAGTGTTTGAGGGATGCATTCAGTGACCTGGATATCAGTAGTCAGGTGATTGAGATGCTGATGTCACCTGATAGCCCGTGGTTCAGATTATCTACATTCGGGCATGCAGGTAAAACCACAAACGAGTATCCTAAAGATTCGGATATGGTCGAATCATTTGAGTGCACTAAGACACAGATCAACAAGTATAAGCTGACACTTCTGAAACCTTCAATCAAGGCTCTACTGCAGAGCACTAAGATTTCGATCCGAATGGATAATAGAGGGTTCTTATCGTTGCAATATATGATTAAGACAGAGGATGGTAACACGTGTTTTGTTGAGTATCTGTGTGCTCCTGATGAAGATAACGAGGATTGAGGACTAAGTAATTGCTTAAATATCATGTTATTTATTCATATGCCCCTCACTTTTGTAAGTTTATAACCAACTTATGGAGCTGTCGGTTGCATGGCACTCTGATTCGAATCTTAGAGTGGACCTTTGGAATATCATCAGCCGATTCACCTCACTTTATTGCAAAGTTCTATTTCAGATTTTTACTTCGACTTAAATTTTCTGTACAGTTATTTCACAACTATTAAAAATATTGATTATCTTGATTACAACCGCTTAGTTGTTTCCAAGCGACTCCTATTATACAATTTTAGTGATCCTATCACATTTGGTCGTAATATTTTTACCGTGATGTTTTTGATATACAATAACTTGCTCTTTTTGACTGCTATTCCCACTTCAATCCTTTGATTAGCAACTCGTCTTCCGTGTTAAAGCTTTTCAAAACAATTTACATATTAGAAATTTACAGCACATTTTTGTTAACTTTGAAACCAAACTAGCATTTTAAAAGAAAGATGAATGGAGCAGCTTTGCAGAACGCTACACCGACAATAAAGCAAGCTTCCTCTGAGAGGGAAACTTCGTCTAAAGACTGGGATGATGAGGTGATCCAAATATTTTAAATTTGATATCCTAGTCAGGGATATTCCGTATCTAAAACCGTGTAGTATTCTAGTATACACTCAACAGTCTACAAGACATTACATCGCTAAATTCAAAATATGAATTGCTTAATATTTCTAACTATTTTATTGACACAATTACATTGTACGTTATCTAATGACTAATTGTAACAGATTTGCGATGAAGTGGATGCTAGAGAAATATTTGACTTGATCCGAACGGTTAAAGATCCAGAACATCCACATTCTCTTGAAGAGCTGAATGTTGTCCAGGAACACCTGATCACCTGCAACGACACTGAAAACTACATCGATGTAATTTAAGCTATGTTTCTTTGATAAAATATAAATATTCGGAGCTGCAACAATCATTTGTGGCTGACTAAAATATATCGCAAAATGGTCGTAACAATCAAATCTTGGTAATAATTTCGTGATATAATGAGGTCTAATGCTTGTAGTCAATAAAGATTCTAAATCTCTTACCATCTTTAGTGTTATGTGTATTGCCACCACATGGATCTAAAACAGTCCATTTTACAAGCAACTAATTTCAGATAAAGTTTACCCCTACTATTCCTCACTGCAGCATGGCAACCCTTATTGGTCTCTCACTGAGAGTGAAACTTCTCCACTCTGTTTCAAACCGGTACTGGCTATAATATTACAGTTTTTAAAAAACTTGTGATGATAGTTTGCTTTTTTAGTTAGTGACGAAAATGTCAGCTTAAAGTTTTGAGATTATTCTGATATGAGGAAACTGTGAAATTCTTAATCGAATTCTTTGTTAAAACTGTATTACTTATAAAATAAGTAATATTTTAATTCTCCAGGTTTAAAGTGGACGTGAGAGTTACACCAGGATCACATCAAAGTGAGGAGGCTATCAACAAACAACTCGGAGACAAGGAGAGAGTAGCTGCTGCTCTGGAAAATCCTCAGCTCCTAAATATGGTCAATCAGTGTATTTGGTCTACAGGCTAAAGGAGTGGTGTGTCACTTATAGTAGTAGGATCCTGAATAGAATCTTATAATCGTTTCTATCGATGGTATCAAGTAGCAATCCTGTTTGCAGTCAGGTAGACAAATATGTGTCCTTCGGAGCGAAAAGGGAACCAGCTAAAAACTTTTATTCGTGACAGAATCTGATGAACCATGGACAGAATTACAGTTAAAATCTTTTCGTGATTCGTAACATTAGTAAAGATATAATAGATTTGATTTTATTTAACATTCACCACAAGTTTTCTTGCACATTGCCTTCCAGACCCATGTTGTACAGGAAGATACTCTACAGTTCTTCATTTGGTCCTCACATGGTTCTGAAAAAATAATATTGATGCTTTTCATACAAGTTACAACAAAGTCTTCATGTTATATATCCTGGGTTAGGACAGGATATCACCGAATTTGCATATTCGGTCAGAGTAAAATATTGACAGAGTTGACTGAGTATAGTTGATATTATGAAATTAAAAGTTGAGTTGTCTAACCCTCAGTAGGGGGTTGAGTGGTGATCTCCTCATCAGGATCTACAGTAGCTGCCGCATCCTCTGGGTCCCCATCCTCCGATCCAGTCTTAGTTATCACTGCTTGGTAGGGGTGTATCCAGGTTCCGCAGTTGTGGTGACCTCGGGCCAGTTTGATAAACCCTTCCAATCCCCAGTCATCTCCCCAACTGAAATTGAAAAGATATACTACATCACCCAAAAAGATTCTGCAAAAACTGAGGTATTTTAAGGAAATAAATGTCACGTGATAGTATAGTGTCTCACAGAAAGTAAACCACTCACCTGTTTTTAACCAGAAAATAGTCGTCAGAGTAAGCCACAGCAGCGATGGCGTGATTGAGAGCAATGGGACTACAGCTCGTGTCTCTCAGCACTCCAGACTTGTAGTAGAAGAAGTTGTTTGTCGAGTGGACACTAGTCGCCAGCGGACCTGAACACGGTTTTGTAGCTTAACTCTATGTATCGATGGAGGAATAATTAAGACAATAAACGTCAGTGCAATCGGTTTATGGTAGAACTCAATTTATGGTAGAACTCAATAGTTACTGTTCGAGGGGGGAATAATACATAAGATAGCAGCAGCCATTTTAAAATAAGTGGTAAGAATAACCATTAGAAAGAGCTCGGATGCTGTCCATTTCCGTGTTTCCCACAGCAATTATGGAGCTAACAAGTCCAGCTTGAAGACCATTCTCCCACTTCTCGTAACCACAGTCTCCAAACTGAAGATCTGAAGAGAGACAGTTGAGGGACATAATGTCAGAGGGAAAAATAAGAGTCCAGTAATGGGCTACTGAGACTGGTAATGTGTAAATTCTTTGGGGCCCAATGTTATTGCCCGATTAGTCCTCTAATCATGTGGGTGTATTGATGTCCCCTGATTGTTATAGACCCTCACCTGCCCACTAACCCTACCTTTAGCAATGTAAGGAAGGTTCCTCCTTGTAGCCATGTGCTTGTGGTCTATGACCTGCCCACTAACCCTACCTTTAGCAATGTAAGAAAGGTTCCTCCTTGTAGCCATGTGCTTGTGGTCCATGACCCACTAACCCTACCTTTAGCAATGTAAGGAAGGTTCCTCCTTGTAGCCATGTGCTTGTGGTCTATGACCTGCCCACTAACCCTACCTTTAGCAATGTAAGGAAGGTTCCTCCTTGTAGCCATGTGCTTGTGGTCTATGACCCACTAAACCTACCTTTAGCAATGTAAGGAAGGTTCCTCCTTGTAGCCATGTGCTTGTGGTCTATGACCTGCTCACTAACCCTACCTTTAGCAATGTAAGAAAGGTTCCTCCTTGTAGCCATGTGCTTGTGGTCTATGACCTGCTCACTAACCCTACCTTTAGCAATGTAAGGAAGGTTCCTCCTTGTAGCCATGTGCTTGTGGTCTATGACCCAACCCTACATTTAGCAATGTAAGGAAGGTTCCTCCTTGTAGCCATGTGCTTGTGGTCTACTAACCCTACCTTTAGCAATGTAAGGAAGGTTCCTCCTTGTAACCTGCCCACTAACCCTACCTTTAGCAATGTAAGGAAGGTTCCTCCTTGTAGCCATGTGCTTGTGGTCTATGACCTGCCCACTAACCCTACCTTTAGCAATGTAAGGAAGGTTCCTCCTTGTAGCCATGTGCTTGTGGTCTATCACCTGCCCACTAACCCTACCTTTAGCAATGTAAGGAAGGTTCCTCCTTGTAGCCATGTGCTTGTGGTCTATGACCCACTAAACCTACCTTTAGCAATGTAAGGAAGGTTCCTCCTTGTAGCCATGTGCTTGTGGTCTATGACCTGCTCACTAACCCTACCTTTAGCAATGTAAGAAATGTTCTTCCTTGTAGCCATGTGCTTGTGGTCTATGAGCTGCTCACTAACCCTACCTTTAGCAATGTAAGAAAGGTTCCTCCTTGTAGCCATGTGCTTGTGGTCTATGACCTGCTCACTAACCCTGCCTTTAGCAATGTAAGGAAGGTTCCTCCTTGTAGCCATGTGCTTGTGGTCTATGACCCAACCCTACCTTTAGCAATGTAAGGAAGGTTCCTCCTTGTAGCCATGTGCTTGTGGTCTACTAACCCTACCTTTAGCAATGTAAGGAAGGTTCCTCCTTGTAACCTGCCCACTAACCCTACCTTTAGCAATGTAAGGAAGGTTCCTCCTTGTAGCCATGTGCTTGTGGTCTATGACCCACTGTATAGCGTCGCTGTTGAACCCTCCTGTACACCCATTCCTCAGGTCGTACACACAGTGCAGTAACTCCTGCTCTGAGAAGCTCTTCAGTTTACCTGTCGCTATCTGGTAGGCTCCTTCTATCGCGCACGTCTGAATAGGGGTTTTTTGTGTAGTTGTACAGGGTGGCCCAGAAGTAACTACACACACGCAACCCTATAATAAATTTCTGTGCAATTCTAAGAAGAATTGTGTTTTATCAAAGGGTTGCGTGTGGGCAGTTACTTCTGGGCCACCCTGTATAATTGTTTAGAAATACTGAATAGTATTAGAGCAACTCCAGCATTATATGGGTAGTACACGAAACATTGTATAATCTCTGCTCTGTCTCGAGTACGTAATAGATCTTAATTGTAATTGGTGTAGGAGTGTAGTAATAAGTGTATTTATCACTTGTCAAGTCCTTATCAAAGGGTTTATAGGTTTCATAAGTCACTTATCTGCCTCAATCGCCTCGTCATTAACTTTACATACCGATCCGAAAGTCCAGCAGCTGCCGCATCTGGCTTGATCTTTTGCCTTTGTAACCGCCCCCGCAGCAACCCAGTTCACCGACGCTGGTACTTCATCAGAAGTGACGTCATCAGAGATAACTGTGACGTCATTTTTCCTCTCTTGACGGGGCAGAGAACTGTTGTATCCCAGGTACTGCGCTTTCTCGTCATCTGTCTGAATTTACAAGCTTCTTTCATTTCTCAGGTCTTAGTATGTGTCAAAGTAAAACTACTAAAAGCTCTCGGCTGTGAGTGTGAGTAAGAATAGAAAACAAACGTAATGATTCCTAAAAATACCCAATCGTGACCTACCATGAGCGAGAACTTGTTGACATCAACTTGCCACTCTTGGGTCTGTTTGTTTTGACGCCCAATGAACCTCAATGCTCTTTTAAAAACTCCTAATCTCAGCAATTTTTCTTCACCTGAGAGCGTGCAACAATTATATAAATTGCTTCAATAGACTCAAGACTTAAAACAGTATTGTAGCTATGGTATTCTATATTTTACTTCTTTAAAAAAACTTTCAGTACAAACAATTTTTAAAAGATCTGTTGTTTCATTTGTGAAATTGTAACGTTTTCCAGTGATATTCCAGACTATCGATATCTGATATGATACATCATATGATTCGCCCATCCAGTGCAAAACTATCTTAAATCCAAAATATCACGAGTCCAAATTTTCGTCTTTTGTGGCCCAATGGCCAATGCCCATGGAAGAGCCTCGCTCCTATAGAAAATGAATTATAAACATAAAACTAAATTAACTGCTCAAAAACTTAACCCGATTAAATCGAATTAACTTAACACCCCCAACAAGTACAATGTCCAGTTCTCACCTGAGAAATGAGCCCCGACCCTGTCCTGAAGCGAGGTGTAGAGTTGTAGAAATTTCTGCGGGGATGACAGTTCCTGGTTGTAGTCAAAAAAACAGCATCCTAACTCTATCCTACAGCTGAGAGCGACGACCAAGGTAAGTAGAAAATTAGTCCACATGTTCCAAGTTAAAATGTATCACCACAGATCAAAACAGCTAAATTTTAGTATTAATTTGGAATAAGATTTGAAACTACGGCTGTTTTATTTCATTACGTTTCTGTGTAATTTGATTGTGATTAATTTACGTTTCGTGCTAATTAAGTCAGGCGTGGTATTAATTAAACTCGTGTTCAACAGATGTTTTATTTAAAATCACAATTACTGGATCTCTAAGTCGGAGGTGTTTCATGTCCCTCCACGTCAAACCAAGAAATGAAAGGCGTTGTCAGTGAAGAAGATCAAGGAGATCAAGGAAAAGTTTATCGTAAAAAACGTTGATCACTGTCAAATTCTCAAAAGATAACTGCAACCGAAAAAACTCAATTATTTTTCTGGGTTTAAGCTATTTCTCACTAGAACACGTATCATCAAGAGCAATTGAATTTGCTTTTCATGATATATTTTCATTCATATGTACAAGTAGCTATAGTCAACTTGATTCATATTTGAGTATCAATTATTCCATTTGGTCCTGCATTCCTTTCAGTATCATCTTCACCTGAAATTTCTGCCGTAACGTCGTCACTTCCTGATGAAGAAAGCCAGCTTGGTAATGCGAAATCAAAACTTTGAGTACGGAACTTCTTTCCTACTTCACTGATAGCAGCGGTGAATGTATCATCATACAGAAACGGATTTATGATGGAGTTTATTGGAAGAACTATTATTGAGAAGAACGCATACCAATCTCCGGCATATATGACTCCAAGATAGTGTAGTGCGCACACCGCTATAAACGGGATCCAGCATATGAAATCTGTTGAAATTATAAAAGCTATTTTCTGCTGAAGGCTCCTCTGCCGCTTCACATTATTCTTCTCCACTATGCTTTGCGTGCTTTTACTCTTCTTGTAAACATGTTTAGTTAAAGTAGACGTGCGGATGAGAATAGTGGATGAGATGTAACACACTGAAATGGTTAAGAAGCAGATAAAGTTCATCAATAGTATGGCCCATACAAAGTAAGCCTGAGGATCCTCCGGAGTGACAAAGAATTTGAACAGACACACACCGTCATTTCCATAGAATCTTAGCTTGGCGACATCCCCGACCCCATCGCTAAACGTACTGTTCACTAATTTTATCATGTCCTGCCAGCTCCATAGGTAATGCTTTTCTTCCTTGATACGGTTCCACCCAAAATACTCCCGAATAACGGCAGAGAGCTCTTTTTTCGAAGTTATTCCAATGAAGAGCTTCACGTCAGTACTGAATCTCAGCCCACTCACGAAGAAATCCTCGAAAAAGCCCGAGATAGGAATTACTGCGATGATAGCCGAAGATATGAGTATAAACATGGCAATTGCTCCTAGCAGAACGCGTGTCCGTCTTCTGATTCGGCCCTGTAATTTATTTGACTTCAAAACTCCCCAAAGTCTTATAACGCTGAGAACTGTCATCGAGAACAATGAAACTTGTGTTCCGATCGTGCTTAAAACACCTAGTGCTAAACATTTGGTGCTGGTAAGCCAAGAGGTTTGGTTTTTGCAGTAGCCATTGTTGCCATTTTCAAGCTGGTTAAAGACGACGTCAGCTACTGAAACAAGGAGAAGATACAGGCCTATGAAAAAGTCTCCTAAGCCTATCAGTAATACCAAACTCTTGTTTGCTAAGGCGACGGGTGATTTGCAGTATTTTAATGCCCTGGTGGTATTAAAAACGACAATCAAGTTTGCCACGACCGCTATGATTCCTATCATCCACGAGGACACTTTGAGCGTAACTTTGTCGAGTATTTGTTTGGTACAAACACTGTTACATTCGTCAGACAGGTCTGGACAGTCGAAACTTCCGTCGCATCGGCTTTTCAGTGGTATGAGCTGCGGGGGACTGCTGCAGTTAAAGTGGTTTGTGCACAGTTTCTCATCTGACCCATCATCACAATCATACACAAGATCGCACACTTGAGAGTACTCGAGGCATTTGAGACCGTCGTCACATACAAAAAAGTTATTACGAAAGGAATCCTCGGGAGCTTTCAGGAAAAATGTTAAATATGATTCGTTGGCAGTGGCCAGAGTGCCAACTCTTTGAGGATACTGGCCAGGGCATGAATTATACTTGGGAATGTTCCTAAGGGGACACACAGATTTCTGATCATTGCAACGGTTAGTACAACTATTGTAAACATAGTGCTCTCCAAAAATATGATTACAGTCTTGCTTCTCGTCTGGATATTTTATCACTGTTTTATCATCAACTCCAAAGAATTGGTGGTTGGGAAAGATGAAGTTCTCTGTCAAACAGGGCGCCTTTTGTCTTTCCAGTTCCCCAAGGCCTGGCAAACAGTGAGACACGAACTTTTTTACTTTTAGATCCTGACTCGGCTCTAGAATTGTTACATGCAACTTCGGTAAATGCCGTGAAACTGTACAAATTCCTCTTTCATCGTCACAGCTGTCAGTTCCGTCACACAGCTCCTCGAGATCAACATAGCCCCTCTTTCCTGTCCTACAGATGAAGACATTTGTACAGTTGCTTCCAGGGGGGAGTAGACGCATTAACCTTCCTTCTCCACATTCTTTCGGATGGAGGTATCCTTCAGTTCGTCTATACCATCCTTGCAGTCTCTTTGGCCATCATGGAGCCACCTCAATGGTATGTGCAGTTCAGTTCCATTTCCACCGGTGCGAATGCATTTTTCTTTGGTCATTTTCCTCTTGAAATCGCAATCTGCTTCATCGCTTCTATCCCTGCAATCGTCTATCCCGTCACAAAGTTTGTGCTTGTGCACTCTGCATTCTGAGCAAGGAGTACGGCCATTACAAATGGTTGGGCAAGAGACGTCAAGCTCATCGTCACATAGTGATTTATCATACGGATGCAGATTGAACAACTTGATCAACCTGGGAGGGGGACAAACTTTGTACTTTGACACAGTCGACAAATAACCATTGATTTTACACTCCAGCCCTACTCGGTTAGGATCAGTGCAGTTCACCTGATCTGAGCCGTCTCTGCATATTTGGAGTGGATTGCATTTAGTAAAATTGAGTATTCTTTGATTTACGATATTTCTTCCTGTACCCCCATCACAAGTCAAGCCATAGGTTTGGTTCTTCTTACATTTCTCATGGAAATCACACCGATCTTTTCTTGGTTTCCATATTTCTCGATCAGTAAAACGGGTCGTTTTATCAACCTTGCACTTTGATGAAAGCATGTGTGGATGGATATGTATAGAAAAGTTTGTCTCATTGCAATAAAATCCGAATGCCATGTTTCCACATACTGAAGTTGTGGTGTTCATACATGACCCCTTATGATCGCAATGGGCACTGCATAGGAGGTCTAATTCGGTCTTCTCTACACTCACTCCCTGTGTATCCTCGTCATCTATCTCATCATTTTCTCTGATGCTGCACGGGTCTTCTGGTTCATCGTCACCTATGCGTCCACCTGCTTTACTTTTTCTAACTGTCATCCCAATATGTTTATACTTGCTGCACCAACTCGGTAGATTGTAAGTACAAATTCTCCGTCCACAAAAAGTAGAAGTGTCGGAAGTTATCGACATGTTTCCCGTTCCACAAGCCTGATAAAAGTTTGTGTCGTTGTTGCATCTTTCAGTGAAGATTGGGTTAAAGCTTTTACCGATCCATGGTTTGAACGTTACAGAATTGTATAACTGATTCGAATGGGTGCACTTGTAGAACGTATCATCTCCTACTTTGCACTCGTTTTGCAAGAATCCTCCAATTTCCTTAATTTTACAGATTCCTGAAGAAACAATGAGTATACATTTTACGGTGAAGTGAGGTGTCATTATTCCTTTTCAAAAAAATATAATTTCAATATTCAAGACATTTAAAAAATTATTAATAAAAGTCAATTACTCGGTAATTCCGTAGGTGCTGTGTGCTCTCGGAGAATTCCCTTTCTGAGTTAATGATTATTAGCCTTTTTTAATGTATCCCAATAATGAATTCTAAAAAAGACAAGATATTGATTTTTGAACAGAAAGGATGTTGAATGTTCATCTTAGCTAAAACTATTCACAAGTAACAATAAATAGCACCAGCTTACCTGCATTGAATTCTCAGTTCTGCATACCCGATTATTGCTCCAAACATCAAATCTGAAATTGATTGAAAGTTATGTCATACATCCGTATCCCGATGGCACTATCGTGGCACTCTCGTGGCACTGTCGCGGCACTGTCGCGGCATAGTGCCAACTTTCAATCACGTTCGTTCAAAAGCATAAGACAATCATTATACCTTCATTATTATCTTTTCATGATAACCATGGTGTCATAAAAGCATTACCCTTTATTTACTAGCCTTGTCGGAGCCTTGTGATTTACAATCCTGATCTTGTATATATATATATCTACAATATATAATATATATTTATAAAACGTGCCTCAGCAGTCTCAATATTTGAGAGCGAACGTACATTTTATTGATAGTCCTAAATATCTTAACATTGTCTCAAGAAGGTACAATAATTATCACTTTATTTAAATCACCCTCAGTTGACAGCGGAATTTGCTGCATTTCCTCTCCAAAATAAGATTTATAAAGTATACATATTACATATCTTCATAATCGCCCAAACATATCTCCGAAAAATGTAAAACTAAAATTTTATGAAAAACCGTATTTATTCATGTTTTTTAGCCTCGACACTAGTCCACCTACCATTAGGTAGTGAATCTTGTGTAGATGAAGTAACAGTGAGTGATGCAGTCGTACTCGTTATGTCAGGCCTCTCGGATGTTTCCCGTAATTGGGCTGATAATGGCCTCGTTGCAGTCAATCCAAGAATAAGAAAACATACCAACTTCATGTATGTGGTGTATTTCACAAGAGAAAGAACAAAACTACTCAGCCTAACAATCAAAAGAGAATGTGCTGTAAAACATTGATATTCATACCCGGAGAACTCCTCTTATTTGCGATCTGTTTTGAAAATGGTCAAATCAGTAACACAATAGGCGGCAGCATTTTATTCTTCCAATTCCTCAGCTCAACCAAGATAACGGCCAATTGTACGCGTTTACACAATACACAAAGCCTTGCAAAGTTACGTGTACGTCACTATTGTATTGCTCTACAAATATTTTCTGCCACATCGTTCCAGGCATCCCAATTATAACACATGTCTCCAATCTATATTTCATATTTATCATGACAATGAAATGTAATAATAGATACGGCTGCAGCCTAACAGAACAGGTCATGTTGTTTGGTAAGCTTATTAGAAGCAGACAAAGGGTCAGTCTACTGAAAAGTGAAATAGTTTATTGGATGTGAACTTTGTCAAACATGTTTGATGTCGGTCATGAGCCCGAGTGAAGAAATAGCACATTAAGAGTATGAGCATCTGGATAATGCTAAATAATGAACTTCTAGCTAGAGATGCTAATACGATGATATCACGGCATAAAGATCGCAAGATAGAAGAATTTAAATCAATGACTGATTAGTTAACTTTTAAATAGTCTTACACTCTCAAAATAACGTCACTCTCAAAATGACGTCACACATAAAACGCACGTGACTTCACTCTCCGAATAACGTCACCAAAATAACGTCACCTTCAAAATACAGTCACTATCAAATGCACGTTACGTCACTCTCAAAATAACGTCACTATCAAATGCACGTGACGTCACCCTAAAAATAACGTCACTATCAAATGCACGTGACGTCACTCTCAAAATAAAGTCACTATCAAATGCACGTGTCGTCGGTTCCGAGGCTGTGCAACCCTGACTCACTGCTTGTCAGGCGCTTGTTCGCTCGAACAATGAAGATAGAACTAGTGCTTCTCAAGACTCACGTCTGAACTATCCAGGGCCTGGACCTCGTTATTCCAACATGCACTGTGTTCTATTTTCTTTAGAATAAAGTGTTGATTTAATTTTAATTCGTTATTATAATTTCTTCTGGTTTTACTTTTTTACATTTTCTTAAATTTCATCAAAGGCTTTTGTTTTTACATACCATTACCATCTCACATGCGCAGACGATTTAAGTCTTAAACGTCATCATTGCACGATCAAACATTTACTCCGTCCCTCGGTTGTCCGTGTCGCTGATCATCAAGGTGGTCACTTGTTTTTAACTCGACCTATTATCATAAAAAACCACCCCGTTTTAATGTTGTTCTTTAGCGTTCTTTAGCCGATAGTTGCTTGATTGTTAATCATCTAGCTGACGCCTGACATGTAATATTAGACAAATAACGTGGTGATTGTCCTCTGTTCGGTGCACTTTGTAACACCAGTTAAGCCGCTATTTAGTAAGCTCTCTGCGTTTTCATTCACATTATCATGCGCGCAATTACAGTTCAAGTCGCCACTCAGAAAGCCTAATATTTGGGACATTCGTAGCCTTAAAGTTGAATATTTATACCAATGAAATTTACTCAGTGCTTGAACCAATAAACTAGGATACACCATAATAAAGCAACCGTTCCAGCGATCCACTCTGAAAAGCGTGAACTTAAGTGTTGCATCGCTGAAAAAAACAATTAAATTATAATTCGATTTTGTTGAGTTATAGTCTGCAATGCATATCTGATCCTTAAATATGCCTTTAAATCATGCTCTCAGGGCACAGCGTAGATCTGAAATGTGGCCGCATAGAAGTAATAACTTCTCAACATTATTCAAGCTTGGTATATCTATTGAGAGACAAGCAGTGAACACTTTGCTCAACGACCTACTAAATACACTGCACGATATGTACACTATTTCTTTCTGTCGTATACTGAGCTGCTCCAATTTTTTCTCTGTATGTGTTGTGATTCAGCTTGACAACTTGGGCTCCCAAATTATTTTAATCTCCAGCTTGCTCAAATTTATAATTCGAGATAATTATAATTGCGAGATAATTGCTCAAATCTATCAATAATTGCCGATTAAGTGGAGGGTTTTAGTTTGAATTATATACAGACGTGATTTTGGTGATGAGAATGAGAGATAATTATTGTGAGATTAAGTGTTTGATGTTATTTTCTAAAACCGTATTATGAGCATATTTAACATTTTTTTGGTATATTCACTTCAAACGTAGCACAATTGGTTTGGAAGAAGTCTGAAGTGTACACCCTAAATTTCGATCATAAATCATTCCTCACATTACGTATTACACTGCTAAACCCTAAAATCTAATTGTATCTACCCAAATATACCATCTTCTCACTTTACCAATCTTACAGGGCTTATATTTCACTTCTACTCCTAATACAAGGATTTTTTACTTTCGCTTAGGTTCGTGGCGCTAAAATGTCATATAATTTATTGTTTATCGTGTTTAACATTGTAAAATTTCTTGTGGTTAGATTTTAAACTCGGACTGTTTATACAGTGCACATTCCTGCTCGAAGGAGTATTACAAGTCGAATACTTGTGCGTGCTCTACGACTACAGTAGCTTGACTTGTGGCGTAGTTGTTATGCAGGCACTCGTTTCAGCGTGAATCATTGAAGTATTTTGCTCTACTTTATTTCTAGAATATATGAAGGGTCTAGTTTTATTAGGCCAAGGAGAGTTATAAAACTACTGATAAAACGTACTGATTTGACCGTATAGTGCAGTGATGCCCAAGATGTTTTTGGAGAATAATGGTGGTGACTCCAGGATGGTCTCGTGTAAGTCTCAAAGTTAAGCCATAATGATAAATTAGGATAGTAGTACTACCAAGCTATGACAAATGTGGTGCCTCTAAAACCCTCTCCCTGTAGCCCAGATAAAATATGCGTAGGAGGTTATCCTTTAATTTCGCACATAATTTATTCAATTCGATAAGGGGATATCTGAAGTGGGGAACCATACAAAGGTGACTCATTTAAATATTGCCTTTCTCACATTCACTTAATTTACTTCATACGTGGTGGAATATTTGTTATTTATTAACAGTATTGTCGCGGCTGTGCAAGGAACAGCCGATACTGTTATGTTGCCTATGCTTATTGCTTGTTATCACATAAATCATGATAATAGTTGTGAATTGTTACATAAAACATTTGTTGCCATGTTCTAATCCTCATGTTTAGTTGCATAGCTAGATACTGCTTACAGACACTACCCGTCTTATTGAGAGATTTGATAACCTAGAGAAAGAAGTGAACATTAATTACCTGATTACCTAATTATTAAATTAAGTCCGGTAATCAATTCACTGCGCTTCTTATGGTCCTTTAGCTCGTCTTTAGTCGCACACTTCGTGTCTTGCTTTCAGTTTAAGTGAATTGCGATCGTAGAGAATCTGTTGATCGAAATGTATTTCTCGAATGTCCTGTTCTGCTGAATCTGAAGAAACGTTTATACAATGTTTTCATTCCATATTCTGAAAATTATTACCCAAAATTACAAGATTTCAAACCATTGTGTTAAAGATAATCAGATCATTATTTTCCATTTCTAGATGTGAGGAGAAGAGTGTGATAATCACAGTTTTCTCCGGAGTACCAGACGTGCAGACTCAAATCAGGAATTACAAAAGGTTCGTCCTCATACCTTGTCACATGACACATACATGATAATGACATAGTTAAACGTTGCATCTATTTTCTATCCCTGCTTCGTTCGGTATGAAATTATGTATTGCGGTCGCCTTTACGGACGATTAGAAGCACAACCGGTTTTAGATAGAGTTCTGCTGGTAACTGAAACTCAAACATATTCTACGGAATCAGATAACGAGACAGATAACGGATTAACGGTTTAAGCTCCGAATGCTATTTTTGGCAATGCTAATGGTAATGTTGGGTCTAGGTTAACAAAAGGTAGACTCATTTGGACAACGGATGTTAAGGAGTGAGACTCACTGAGAGCTAAAGACCAAGGTGCTAATTGTGCGGATATTTCGTATCCGGGATATAGTCTGATCGATTATAATGGCGGTTGCCATGACATTTAAACATCTATTAGTGATCAATAGCTTGGTTTTATCGGAGGAAAACAGACGTTGTTATATCCTATCTATACTCTATGTTCAAGACAGGTCGCTGTAGCGCTTCAGTGGTTTGAACTTCAGTACATCTTTGTATTACTAGACATTAGATAATCGTCCTTGAAGTTAAACAGAGGTTATCCGTGAACCTATCGCTTGAATGCTATAAAGCTTCTAATGATCGATCAGTTTGACTTCATTACTCTTTCATGCAACCTGAATGATCTTCATCGAGAAAAGAAGTATTCGATTACTGAGGAGGATGAAGAGGAGTTAGAAGAGGATCAGGAAGAGAGAAATAAGGGGAAGGAATGCAATGATTCTGGAAAAGATTTCTCTGTTGATGGAGATGGAACTGAGAGCTGTAGTGGTTCTCTGCTCTCTTTATTTGATGAGAGAATGGAAAGAAACGTTCGATACACAAACACCTGCCAGGTGCCATATTCAAACAGGCTTCAGAAAACAGTAATTGACGAGTTTATACTGTATCTACCCAACCTGCAATCAGCGTTACAACTCTGGAGTCAGATCTCTTTTCATAGAAGTCAGTGCAATCAGAAACCTATAGAACCTAAATTACGGCGCAGGCGATCTACTCTTAATGTTTTGTCAACATCATCTATGTCTCGATTGGAGAGAATGCGATTACGGGTACTGTATCTCACGGAGTTTAATGAACAACTTTTCTCTAAGCACCGCACGAGAAAACAAAGACTCGGCAAACAACGGCGGTTGAGCTCCCTCGCCACTCAAATAATGGCTAAAACTCACGTCAGAGAACAACAGACAGGCCAACAGATCATACACGAAGTTATGGAAACTAAAATGAAGAGAAGATCCTCAGTTGCAGTTACTACCTCTAGAACCAACGTTAGATCAACCGGCTCAGTTTCTATACGGTGTTTGAAGTGCGGGAAGACTGCATGTTCTTGTGAGAATAGGGCTGTTTTCTCAGCTCCTGATCTTGATGCAGAAAGAAAATTGTCACTCTCGTCATCAAGTACTCCAACCTGTTTTAACAACCTTCCCAACATGAAGCTTACTACTGATTGTTCCCCAAAAAAACGCAGGAAGTCTAAAGTTCGTTTAGTAGTCGTTCATCGACGATTAAAAAGTCGAGTGAACTAGACATAATTTTGATAGTTAAGTTCTAGGTGCAATAGGTTTTGTCGAACAAATCGAAAGAATAGAAACATTTGATAATTATATTCTCTGAACACTATTAACACTATAATCCGTTATTGAACAATTATAATTTGAATCATATTTTTCAGAATAGAAGAACGAGCATGGTGGAAATATTGAGACCTACAGCAATAGGTAGACTTGAAGAACTGGGAGTTAACCAGGATTCTTCTGGGGCGTCGATAGGGGTCTCTATCGGTATGATAACTAATTAGTTACAATTTATAAATTTTAGTAAATTCCATTAATACATATTTAAAGTTAAGATATAAATTTATAGTCCGTAAATTTTTCTTTCGGGATCTTTCACGCTGTACCAACTACATATCCAATATTCAAGGTAATCTAGGTTAGAATTATTTCTCGGTCACCTTTAATTCGTCCGTTGTTTCGTTGTCCGCCTTTCTCCGGTTTCACGTACATTTTCTCATCTCCCTTTACCTTTTTGTCGTTTTTCATATCTTCCTTTCTTCTATAGTCCCGATCCCGACCGCCCCTTTTCCTATCATCACCACCTTTCTTATTATTTTCATTTTTGCAACCATTCCTCATTCCTTTCCGTCCTCGTTTACATGGAACTGGGGAAGTTGTTTTTGATTCTGATGTCGTTTGTGCTTTAGTGGTTGTTTGTGCTTCTGAGCTTGTTTGTGGGACAGTGGTTGCCTCAGATGTGGCTTCAGTTTCATCCGTAAATTCTGATGATCGAGGAGTTGCCTCAGATGTGGCTTCAGTTTCATCCGTAAATTCCGATGATCGAGGAGTTGCCTCAGATGTGGTTTCAGTTTCATCCGTAAATTTCGATGATCGAGGAGTTGCCTCAGATGTGGCTTCAGTTTCATCCGTAAATTCCGATGATCGACGAGTGGCTTCAGATGTGGCTTCAGTTTCATCCGTAAATTCCGATGATCGAGGAGTTGCCTCAGATGTGGCTTCAGTTTCATCCGTAAATTCCGATGATCGAGGAGCTGCCTCAGATGTGGCTTCAGTTTCATCCGTAAATTCTGATGATCGACGAGTGGCTTCAGATGTGGCTTCAGTTTCATCCGTAAATTCCGATGATCGAGGAGTTGCCTCAGATGTGGCTTCAGTTTCATCCGTAAATTCCGATGATCGAGGAGTTGCCTCAGATGTGGCTTCAGTTTCATCCGTAAATTCTGATGATCGACGAGTGGCTTCAGATGTGGCTTCAGTTTCATCCGTAAATTCCGATGATCGAGGAGTTGCCTCAGATGTGGCTTCAGTTTCATCCGTAAATTCCGATGATCGAGAAGTTTCTGTCCATTCTTCAGTCGATGTTTCACCATCTGAAAAATAATCCGTGATTTCTGTCGGACCAAAGGTAAACCGACTCGATTCCTCAGAGAATATCTCTGTGGACAAGTCTGTGGGAGGTTGAGTGAAGGTGTATGGACCACTGGAACCTGTGTTTGAGTTGAAAGCAAAGAACACTTCTCGGCTGTCTTCTGTTGTTACCCCTGTGTACGCTGCTGGTGACAGGGTTTCTGCAGTGGTGGTTTTCCCATCTGAAGAGGCTGCAGTTATAGAAACAGAGTAAGTGCTAGATTCTTCCTGCAGTGAAGGAGTTTCTGTAGAGCTGTCGGGGGTGGCTGGCTGGGGTGGGGCGGTTATTTTAGAGGTTTGAGGAGTGGAGGGGCTAGTTTTCCACGGTAATGGAGGTGTTGGTAAAGTAGTGCTGGAATCACCCGGCAACAGTGAAGTTAAAGCTCCAGTGCTGTATCCTATTGAACTGCTGTGGTATGAAGTGAGAAATCTGGGTATATTCGGCTTTCCTCGGGCACTGGGGGGTTTACCTCGAGAAATCTTCCCACACGGTACACCTCGTGCTCCTCGTAAACTCACACATGGCAGGGGCTTTGTCTTTGCTTCATAGACTAATACAGTTGCTGCTATGAAACCAGCCAATAAGATGCTCAGTCTCATGATGATGAGTGAATAAGCAAAACGTTCACAAATGACAGACAGTGACAAATGACAGATTGTCACAAATGCCACCTACATGTTGTTTGTTTATCATAGTATGTTTTACGGAAGTTGTGTCATACTAAGTACTAACCGCATGATTGGCTGCCGGACAAGATAATAGGCACTGTGACATCACAATAACCATCCGGTAATGCCGTTTAAATATCAGGCCTCTCACATAGGATCACATGTAACTCCGACTCTCTCTCTCTCATTTTTCTTATCAAATTGTTACGTTTTCCTTGTTCTTCAGTTCGCCATTCTCGAAAATAGGACAAAATCCTGTCCTGACCTGCTTGGTCAATCATCGTTGCTGACATATGAAAGTAGGTGGCGATATATTTACAAGCAGTTCAAAAGTCACGACTAGTGACTGCAGCTTGCGCCGAACATGTGTTAATTATGACTTTGTGTGACACTATAAATCATATTACCATGTTTTTTTACCCCCACCACTGAAAGCAATATGTTTTACTTCTCCCCCTTATACCCTCAATATTTGAACTTTTCATCAGTTCATATTCTCCTGCCATTCTGACAGCATCTCCAATGTTATCGTTCATCCGGGGTCTCTTCACCAACTGCCCGTCCAAACTGGAGCGAGCAGACCTGCTCAGACTGCAGGTCACGTGGTCAGATGACGTCACGACTACAGTCCTGAGTATCAGTGAGTATGATGTAGGCATGCACGGGCACGTGATCCTCACGTGGCTCAGCTGTTGGCTGGTCAACAATAGCTCAATGATTAAAACTACTCCGGTCAGGATTAATTAGAGAAACAGAGGGAGGAGTGTCAGCAGGAGAGAGAGCCGAGACTCTTGCCTGGTCGGTTCCTTACCTGAGAGTTTGTTTTTTTACCGTCGTCTGCTCTCTGTGGTTTTGTTATGTTGCAGAGAATGAACTCTAGGCCCCTGCCCGAAGGTTTCTGGGATATTAAAGATTGGAACGATTTTGTTTGGATATTCATGAACCAAGGTAGGGTGACGGTAGACTATAGTGGCTATGTTATTTATTCTGTGTTGGAGACAAGCACTTTCTGCTGCATGTTCTGCTGAGTATTATCTATCAATCTAGATATCTCTGATGTGTGTGATATCTGAGCATGTAATATCATACAGCGGAACTTAATCCTCTCTTCTGTAAACAAATGTGTATCACCTCCTCAACCCGCCGAACATGTACTTACTATTAAAGTAAACAAATGTGTATCACCTCCTCAACCCGCCGAACATGTACTTACTATTAAAGTAAACAAATGTGTATCACCTCCTCAACCCGCCGAACATGTACTTACTATTAAAGTAAACAAATGTGTCTCACCTCCCCGCCAGTATCCACATCTATAGGTTGTGTATTTAACATCAGAGAAGTGGAACTTTAATTCATCAATATCGCTACATACCTTACTCGGGATTATTATGACCGGGATAAAGTGGTGGGTTTAGGGTAATTTCGCCATATTTTTCCCGAACCACATTTTCACCGGTCGTTAATAAACCCGCCTACTCAGCTTTTAGGGTTCCCAAGGGGTATGGGTGCTCATATTTTAATCGTTGTCTTATATTCACTAAAGAAGACTATTGGGACACTTGTTGTAGGTTTTTCGACTTCATTTGGCTAAAATTGCAAAAAATTCACCTTTTTGCCCAATTCTTGTCATATATCCTTATTGTCAAATTTGATTTAAATAGGCCAATTTTTAATTTATTAGGTACTAGAAAGCCCGTGGTAACAGGGACGAAGCTAGTAGTATTCTTTGAAAGAAAGTTATAATCGCATCAAAAAATATCCATCTCAACCGAAGATACAGCCGATTTAAATATAAAACACTTTAAACACAACTTAATTACCACAAAACCGATCAAAATGACGTTAAAACAATCTTTGCACGTGCATGTGTGCATTAAAACACCGTTGCTATGGAACCTTTTGGTTGTTACCTAAATTCCTATTTCTCGTCTAATTTGCACGTGGGCGGTCGTACATACATTCTACAAAAAGAATTCTTTGAATTATAGTAGAGATTGACTATCTCTACATAATGAAATAGGACTCAAAGTAAAAGTAACAGTTAAATTAAAACTTGAATTAATTAAAACTGATGAAAGGGATGATCCAGATGAAGATAACGAAGATGATTACAACTTATTGGAAGACTAGACAGCTCTCCCTTTATCTTAATATCGATCTGGTTGTTACGCTTCAAATGTTAAAAATTATTTTCCATCTAGTTTGATTAACCACGAGTCATTATTTCTGTCTACTTTCAACAATTATTGATAATTCGACTTGTTTCACAAGTTTTAGCAATGCGAAAATTTCTAAACTTGCTTATCTCTAATAAGGAAATTTACATCTGAGACAAAATTTTTGAATCTAAAATTGAAAGGTTGGACACCGGTAAAATGGCGACCGGGAAAATGTGGTTGGTTTTGAGCAATTTCGCCATATTTTTCCCGAACCATATTTTAACCGGTCGTTAATAAACCCGTCGTAATAATCCCGAGTAAGGTAATCGATTGATCATTGCGGCTTTGAAGTTTGAAATGTTTGATATCAACATGAACTCTCTGTCCGTTTTTCTTTTTTCTACTCATTTCACCCTCTTATCTGTGGCATACAGCTGCTCGATTCTTTATTACTAGTCTAGAAAATGTAGAGTTGGCTGAGCTGGTTTTTGTGTCTTATAATCGAGGGATCTATACAATATAGAGATGAGGTGATTGTTGGGTAGATTATCACTGCTCTCGTAAAAAATGTCACTTATTTTCCATTGATTTTGAGACTTCTTCTCTTTAACTACTCCAAGCGCGTATATCAATATTATGTCGATACAGAAAGAAATGTGACCATTTGAACAGATATATGGTAATAAAGCGATGTGGTTACCAACCTGTTTAACCTTGCTATTTCCCTAAGATAAAACTTACCACTCTCCGCCAGATCAACATTTCTATTCCCGACAACCAAAACCATCATATCCCGCCCACATGCAAGATCAACCTAAATATTATCCTAAATCTAAGCCATCTCTGTCAGATCCTCAGCCCCAGTTTGAGGAGGTGAACACGATCCAGAGAACAAAACGCCTTCTCCCCTACAACCACAGAGTAATGCTAGCTGCCAGTGTTTACCTCGAATACATTCAGGTTATCTAGCTTAAAGTTAACGTATTACCTTTGATGTTTCATTTCATAACATAATGAAATGATTTTCAATCAGATAAGATCCCTCATTCAGTTCCACTGACCCTGATTTCGGCACCTTTATCATTTTGGTATAATCTTCCAATATAAGATTCAGCATACAATATGCTAAAATATGCTAAAATTCAGTATATATTATGTCAACTTAACTTTACAGGGTCAGAGAGGACTACCTCCGCAGCCCTCCTATTTTAAAACAGATCCCTATCTCATGAGGCAGACTTATAAACTAGCCCTTGGAACTTTTCACTGTGAGTCAACAAGTTTCGAACCAGAAACTTTAATGAGATTTCTTTCTTGAGCATCGGAATTTGTGTGGAAAAAATCACGATCGTTAAGAATAATTAAGTTATGAATATTTTACTTTGCATACCTGTAAATTTAATTGTGTTTTCCTCTTCAGATATTCAAGTGATAGAGGACCTGTTACTAGATACTTACTTTTACAGCAGCTACGTCCAGGTATTACTGTACTTCTAACCCCTCTCAGCTCTAATAGGTTTCCATTTCTAACCCCTCTCAGCTCCAATAGGTTTCCATTTCTAACCCCTCTCACCTCCAATTAGTTTCCATTTCTAACCCCTCTCACCTCCAATAGGTTTCCATTTCTAACCCCTCTCACCTCCAATAGGTTTCCATTTCTAACCCCTCTCACCTCCAATAGGTTTCCATTTCTAACCCCTCTCACCTCCAATAGGTTTCCATTTCTAACCCCTCTCACCTCCAATAGGTTTCCATTTCTAACCCCTCTCAGCTCCAATAGGTTTCCATTTCTAACCCCTCTCACCTCAAATAGGTTTCCATTTGTAACCCCTCTCACCTCCAATAGGTTTCCATTTCTAACCCCTCTCAGCTCCAATAGGTTCACATTTCTAACCCCTCTCAGCTCCAATAGGTTTCCATTTCTAACCCCTCTCACCTACAATGGGTTTATATTTCTAACCCCTCTCACCTCCAATAGGTTTCCATTTCTAACCCCTCTCACCTCCAATTAGTTTCCATTTCTAACCCCTCTCACCTCCAATAGGTTTCCATTTCTAACCCCTCTCAGCTCCAATAGGTTTCCATTTCTAACCCCTCTCAGCTCCAATAGGTTTCCATTTCTAACCCCTCTCACCTCCAATAGGTTTCCATTTCTAACCCCTCTCATCTCCAATAGGTTTCCATTTCTAACCCCTCTCAGCTCCAATAGGTTTACATTTCTAACCCCTCTCAGCTCCAATAGGTTTCCATTTCTAACCCCACTCACCTCCAATAGATTTCCATTTCTAACCCCACTCACCTCCAATAGGTTTTCATTTCTAACCCCCTCTCACCTCCAATGGTTTTCCATTTCTAACCCCTCTCACCTCCAATAGGTTTCCATTTCTAATCCCTCTCACCTCCAATAGATTTCCATTTCTAACCCCTCTCACCTCCAATAGGTTTTCATTTCTAACCCCTCTCACCGCCAATGGTTTTCCATTTCTAACCCCTCTCACCTCCAATAGGTTTCCATTTCTAACCCCTCTCACCTCCAATAGGTTTCCATTTCTAACCCCTCTCACCTCCAATAGGTTTCCATTTCTAACCCCTCTCACCTCCAATAGGTTTCCATTTCTAACCCCTCTCACCTCCAATAGGTTTTCATTTCTAACCCCTCTCACCTCCAATAGGTTTCCATTTCTAACCCTCCACCCTCTCGTGATCCTCAGTTCAGACAATGTCAGTCGTTAGTGGCAGTGATGCTTTACAACCTCAAGTTACTGGGATTCAAGGCTCCCCGAGCGTACCAGTGCGAGTTTGGGGAGACTGTCAGGGAGGTTCAGGAGGTCCACGAGGCTCTCCTCAGATTCAAGACCAAGTTCCACGCTGCTTTCGCTAGGTCAGTACCCAAAATAGTTACAATTTTGTTCTACATTTGGGTCACCATACTTTTAGAACCACAGTGAAAATAGGGAAATATGCTACTATATTTGGCGATTTCGCTGCCAAGAAGAAATTGTTTTTGACAAACTGAGCAAGTATAGGAAAACAAAAAAGGAACACGGAAGGAAAAATTGCGATGTGAAGGTCCTGAAATTAACGTGATCTCATGTTTACCAGGTGCAGGATAAAATGTAACGCATACCAAGAGGACCAACTGATGAGTAATGATATCCGGATACGGTACAAGTCCTGTGTAAGCACTCCAAGACACGTGAGGGTGAACAGTCTCAGGAGGAACAAGGACCAGGTTTGTAGCGCGATGTGCCGCGCCGCGCACTTAATTAGGACCAGGTCTGTTGTTGTTAAATACGTTATATTGAATATTCTGATTAGGAAGTAATTGAACTAACTAAGTTCTACCTAGTACAGTACTGTAATTTATTAAATGAATTCTCATTTTCTCTTCAACACCTTAATCCTCAATACGCCTCCACTTACACTCACTGATTTTATTAACACTGGGTCCTCGAGTGATAAGAAAGCAGCAACCCTAACTTGAAACCATTCCACCAGGTGATAATGACGCTAGAAAACCGGGGTTACACCAAGATAGCCCCCCTGGAACCCTGGACACCGTTCTCTTTCTACTGTGATCCTCTATTGGAGCAACTCCTCGTCTTCTCACCCGACAGTAAAGATGATCTCACTAACTTCGCTCTGGTTCACGACGGATCCTTGCTACTTCAGGTTTGGTGAAGCAATTTGAATAAACGTATCAATTTTGTCTTTGATATCAAATCTAATGTATGTGTTTATCTGCGATGAGCATTTTTTAATTTTAACTTTAGTGTAAATACTATGTTTTCGTTCAATAGATATACAATTTTGACAAGATAATGTACCAGGATAAGAGCACAGTAGTAGCAGCCTCAATTCTCCACAATATGATCTCTCCTAACGGGCCCTCTTCTAACGATGACGTCATTGTCACTGATATCGGGACAGGTAATGAATAGTGAACAACTGATAGGTTATTGCGTTGATTGTAGAAACAGGCTAAAAAACCCCAAACCTATCGTGGAGCGTGTTATGGATCCAGTTTGTTCATTTAATAATTTTGTTAAGAACATTCCCTTGATCTAACTAATAACTGGTTACAGGGAACGCAGCATGTTATCTAGCCGCGCTACAGAGTAAGGAAGGGTCAGTTTTAGCGTTTGGTCCCGCTCCCGACGCCACAGAAAAGCTGCTCACTAAATCTGACACTCTGAACGCTTCCAACGTCCACATAGTGAACGAGCCGTTTCTCCAGTCAAGCTGTAAAGATAAGATATTTAAAGGGGTACGGGGGATACTGTGTAACCCTCCTAGTAGCCTATCTGGAGTGGTGGATATTGTCGGTAAGTGTTTTCCTCGTATTTACCCGTTCTTTACAAATTACACTAGCAGTCTGTGCTAAATATGTACTGTTTACACTGAACACTGAACACCTAATACAAAAGTAAAGTTGTACTCTGATTGTATCCTCTATAATCCTCTGATGGTGTGTTCTCACAGAGTTGGTGGTGGAGGAAGGGGAGAAGATCCTGCCAGCAGTAGCTAAAGGACCATGTGACACTGCCAGTCTCCCCCGATATGTGACAACACAGTACCTCACCCTTAAACACGCACTCAGCTGTCAGTTCACCTGTATTTCTTGTCAGATGAAACTTTCATTTGTCGTACTAAACATAGTGATGAAGGGCTCCATCTTAAAAATAATACCAGTATTAGTTAAAAATCCAATTATACTGCATCACAATGAGAAATGCATTCCCCATGTAGTAACATAGTTGAGAACCTTCGTTTAACCTCTTTCTAACACCCCTCCTCTCTCCTGTAGTTCCCAAAGTAAGCTGTGTGGTGTTCTTCACCCGCTCCATCCACCCTCAAGAGTGTGAACACCTCGTTAGAAAGGTGTGTGATGAGTTGAGCGAGTCCTCTGATGATAGCCCCTTCCGTCTCGTCCCTGTGGACAGTGCAGTTAGAGAATCTGTTCTCACCAACGACTCTTTCTATCACCCTCTCGTCAACATGAAGAACATTCCTACTGATATTTGTAAGTATTATAAGTGAAAAAGTAATGATAAGATAAGAAAATAGAATTGATTGGGTTTAATTAGTGCTGATATAACAGATGCTGTACAATAGTTTGTATAATTTATAGCCAGTAATTGGATTGAATGATGATGGTTTTCAGCAAGTAAGTGTTTGAGAGTAATGCCAACTGCCGAGCTGGGAGGATTCTTCGTGGCCACTTTTCAACGAATGGTGAGTACTTTGTATTGCTAGAGTTGATTTATTTATATTAAAATGTTTTTAATATGTAGTTTAAACTGATGCTGTTAAATTTTAGTGGCAATAGTAGCTGTAATGTGAGTACTACTAAACAAATTATTTTCAGGCCGTCAAGTCTAGCACAATCTTGGAGCGTGCGCTAGAGAAGGGAACGCTTGGAGGAGATCCTAGCAAGGGATCTAGCAGTGCCAAGAAACACAAGAAAAATAAGAAAGCAGCCAAGAAACTCAAGTAAGTTTGACCTAAGTACTATGAATTTACTGGTGTATATTGTAATTATAAATAGCAATTTAATATATTCGCTTGACTATCAGATTGAGTTAAAAAACAAAAATGTTAAAATTCTTTCCATATCTCGGTGTACACCTTTAAACTACGAGATAAGATTATATTGCTATTTGCTTGACTATTATGGATGTTTTGTTCTTAGAGCTTATAACGATATTTTCAGGGGAGATTCAGCTATGGACCCTACCACAGCTTCCATGATCAAGGTTCGCGGCAAATCACGCAAGAGTGCAAAGAGAAAATGAATGATGAAGAATGAAAGAGTGTCCCATCTATTTTGGATTCAGTCTCCGTTCAAGTTTGCGAATCAATGTTTATCGGTCTTGGTAGATTTTTCGTTATCATAATGAGTATAAACTTACCGACTTGGATAGACACATAAAAGGCTCTTTTTGATCTTGGAGTTAATAACATTCACGATTGCGTTGATTTTTAAAAATTTCTGTGTTGAATCAGAAGGGCTGAACATGTGAAATTATATGCAAAATAAACCTATGTAGTATGGACGCGATCGGTTGTATAGTATCGTCAAAATGGTGTAGATGATACTCATAGATAAAATAAGATATAATTGTGAGTGATTTTTGACCGAAATTTTCGATATATTTTATCCTTTAAGTTTTAGTTTATCGTTAAACTCAATCTTAATTCTTAAAGGCTAAACGTTTGATTCAGTAAAACAACTAAGATTTATAATGTTTGCGCTACGATTAATATAACTGTTTTACGTTTTGTTCAGTTTATTGTCTTCTAGCTATATGTATACCAAATTCTATCACTCGCCTCAGAGTACGCTGTTGTCGGTAAGAAAACAGAATTTTAGATCTGAAAATGGAGAATATTTTGTTTAATGCAATGGCTTTAAAGGTTTTTAATTCTTGTTATACTTATAGAGTATCAAGTTATTAAATTCGACCCTCAATAGTGGTAGTATTTCCAAATACACGGTTTTTTTAATTGCAGTTTGATTTTTTATATCTCGAAGCGATATTGATATTATGTAGACTCATAATAATATTGAGAGTGTAGACGTTATCTATCAGTGTAGCTGTCATATCGTTAGAACTCAAAAAAGCATTATACACTGTCCTGTTTCACAAACTGATAACCATTCGAGGGGTGTGTGATCATGCAATATTTTCCCTTTCTTCAGGATTGTGTTTGTCCTATATTGGGATCTCATATTTTGGTTTGGTTGTAATTCAATAACCAATGATGTCAATGATATGTTCTGTGTTCGACTTATTTCAAAAACAAAATTGTTTTTTTTTGCATAGTGGTCGTTCACATATTACGTGATCAGCCGAGAAGAAGGTTGGTTTCCAAATGATTACGCTAGTGTAATTTTGACACAATAGCTATGTGTAAAACTTATTACGGAGAGGGGGTAAAAATTTTCCAAAAGGTGATTACGAATAATATGTAGTAACCCTCGCCCGTCATACCGACACGTTAACATGTGTTCAATGTTGGTGACAGCTCTTATTATTTCGCTCGCTCAAAAATTATCACGTGACTTGGGTTTTATTGTCTCACGTCGCGATCTTCATTTCATTTCATTCAGTATTAGTAATGGGCGCTGATTCCGAATAAGCGTCCTAAAATACATCGACATTCGACTTGAGTCACTAATTTCATATCCAGATCCTCAGAAAACAGGATGTTTAGGCGATTGATTTAATGGAAGCACACCATTTTCAATTATTTACAATTAAAATTTTACATAACATAAGCTGATTTCAAATTTACAGACTATTAGAATTTTGAGTACATACTTCAACTGGAACATTTATGAGAAGCAATAAAATTACAAAATTTATCAACGATGGAACTGTACCAATTTTGTTAAAGCTAAGACAAACACAATTTGATTTTATCAACCTACGATTCAACAAACTTGACTTAGTCGTAACTTGTAGTCGTAAGTACCGACCTCCGACCGACCGACCAGCCTTGCCTGTTCTATGACCGAATTATTAATGTGGTGAGGCCATTTTTCTGGAGTATGTGTCAAGCGTGTATAAACTATAAACCGTGTGCCAGTATATGTCGGCCACTGGAAAGATGGCTAAATGTAGCACACCAACTCTCTGTCATTCCTCAAGGGGCTTTTTAACTGGCTCAGACTCAGCCCTAACTTGCACCGCATCACTAATGTTCTCAATTGAGATTTGAGAGCATACTAATATTGAGACAGTATATATATATACGATAGGGAGGTGATGATCCGATTTAGTTTTACAAATGAGTAGCTCAGTTCTTGATCTAGCTCATTTCTCAAACTCTAAGACTGAAGACCTACTGGATTTATCATTCTTTAACTTACTCACTTTGATGCATAGACCAATCGTAAGATTTCAGCTGAATCAAAACTTTTGGGATACAAATTGCGAAGAAATTCCTTATTTTCGCTATTTCCCCAACAAAATTATTTGACAAAATCCACATATTATTCATCGAAATTGGAGCATACAGGAATTACTTATTTAATTGATGTCACACACGACTATTATACATAATTCCATGATCATACGGCTGAGTAAGATCACGCCTACCCACCAAGTGTTACTAAGTAAAAGAGTCCAATCTGAGTCTGACGCATGACTTTGTACATGAGTCACATACTGTGATTATACAATCTAGACTGACTTACTTTGATGAGAAATTATCGTTCAAGCAATATACTTAGCGGGAAGGAAATTCATTTTCAGTGATTTTACGATCGTTTTTCCTAGCTTCCTGTTCAAATATAAGTTAAGATGACAAGCCTCCATATTATCATTGGTCTTGGACTCCTCGGACTCTGCTCAAGCGGTAAGCTAAAAATATCAATTAAATTCTAATTTTCAGTTTTTATACTTTTGAGCCTGTGGGGTCTATTTTCTAAACTTCAATAATATAATCATTTGGATTATACTTTACTGGGCGGCGATTTTTCGCCAGGCTATGTTTATGAACATAATAGCCTGGGGTCCCCAGGTAAGATTATACTCGACTATCACGTGACTTACTTAAATTAAACACGCTCTCTAGATGGCCCTGGGTTGCTCTAACCAGAGCCCTCTCGCTTGCAGTGAAACAAGCGCGTCACGCGGTACGCGTATACACATGGCTATGAGAAGGCCCTGGGGACTATTCAAAACCCCATGGCCCTCTATTTTGATGTAAACAGGCTGCTATCCTGTTTCCTATTGCTGTAAATTACTTAACGGGTGATATCTCGTCAGTGGAGCATATTAACCCTATGTCATGGGGGTGATTCGGAAATACATCGATTCGGGTTGGTTTCAACTGTCGGGGCCCTTTTAGAAAAATCTCGAAGATCGAGTGTAGAGTGATTTAGCACGCTCGACACGAAATCATAGTCTTATTTTTCTTAATATCTAATTTTGACTCAAAATCAAGGTCGCCCGAAAACTAAGGTACTGAGGTAGGATGTTAGGATGTATTTCAAAGAATAAGATACCTAGTACAACAGCTAAAACTATAAAATATATTGTATGCTAATTGCTACGTTCCTTGAGTTGGTCCTTCAAGAATTCAGGCCAGTTCTTGGCAGGTAGCGGGATCAATTTAGTTATTTTCTTGCAGCAATTTAATTTCTTCTGATAAATAACGTCAATTAATCATACTTATTGCGTTCAATAATAATTAGTTCGTTTTCATACAATTACACATGATTTACGATGAAGCATTAGCATAGGTCATGAGTTGACAGCATGCAATGATGGCATAGTAGGCAAACGACAGGAAAACAGCAAAGTAATCGAAATACATGTTCAGAATTAGTGCACCATAGGATTATGAATACATATATTAGCCTTATATTAAATTCACGAACAATGAGTTGTTGAGTTTGACTACAGTAATAGAGTATAGAAAACATTCCAAAAGCCAATCCATTTAGTGCGCACATCATTTTTAACTTAATATGATTTCGGATATTCATTTTTTTCTCATTCAGTTTATAATATTATTTTTTACTTGATTATTATTAATTTTCCAACTTCAGCTCCAATTGATGCCACATCAGGAGAGAGTTACCCTTTAAATAGAGCACTGAAGGTCGGGGACGTCATTTCGGCTTGGGGAATCTACGTGGATGACACTACAGAAAAATTCAAGTAGGTATCTAATATTTATAGTATGTTCTAAAGTTGACGAAATCTCACCGGCAAATTCAGTTCACAAATGGAGTTGAAAACTTGCGATTTTTAGCAAGGTTGTAGGAAAAAAATGCACCTGTTATAGCATTCTTAGAATTTTGATTTAGATCTTTTACAATAAACGTCGGAAGTGAGGAAAAATTTGCGATAGAATAACGCGCGTTATCTTTCTTTATGATGACTAGCTCACATTTACGCTCACGCCACGATCCTATTTCATATTTATAACTTTGATTGTGATTGATATTTTGAAACGGTAAAAAGTATCGTTTACCATTTATGGAATATTTTAAAATTAAACTTCGTTGTCATTGCCTAATGAAATTCCAAACATTTTACATTACGGAGCTAAATAATGTAAAGAAACTAAAACATAACTAATTTTAAATTTCCTCGAATAAAGGTTTCAACTATACATACAACTATGTATAGTGAGTTTTTACTTTTAGTATTTTATACTAAATTGCGGGTTTTTAGTATGACTTAGATCAGTTAATGTTTTAGCTATCATCCACTGCAAACAATTTTTCAAAGATAAGTGGCAAACCCATTTTTTAAATTCTGTTCGAATCAACGCAAATAATTTCAGTGTCAATATTATCGGTGATGATGTCAACATTCTCCATGTGGACTTTAGACCATTCATTGACACGATTGTACTAAACAACAATGTTAACGGAGCTTGGCAGGCGGAAGTCAGGTAAAGATTTTTGACATTGATTCGAGAAATTCATTTAAAAATCCATCAAGTGCGCTATTTCTTAAACAAAATATGAAATATGCTAAAAAATAGTATGCTAAATAATTAAGAGATGCATATTATTATTTTGTTAAATATTAAATATTCGCCAACATCTTGATTTCGGTATTAACACGTTATTTTTAGACCAGCGTTCGGAAGAGACACGTTCGTATCTGGCGAAGTCTTCAAAGTCACAATTGAGGTCCTAGATTCGGAATACAAAATCTCCTTCAACGATGAAGAGATTGCTGCTAGATTCCCACAACGAGATGACATTACTCTAGCCAACGCTGGTTCGTGATATTTTTATATTTTCACTAAGTTTTGACATTCAACTAATTCTTGGTCTGTCGGACTTGAAATTCAATATAACGTTTGATACCTCAGTGGCGCTACGAGGGGGAAGCAACGGATTCCAGTGGACAAAGATCGAACTGCCAGCTGATGGAGGATGGTCTGACTTTTCTGATTGGTCTGAGTGCTCGGTTGCATGCGGAGGAGGATCTCAAAGTAGGAGCAGAAGTTGTTCCAACCCTGCCCCAGCAAATGGAGGAGCTGATTGTGATGGAGACGATTCGGAATCTCAAGACTGCAATGCTGACCCTTGCCCCGTTGACGGAGGATGGTCTGATTTTTCGGATTGGTCTGAGTGCTCTGCTGCATGTAACGGAGGATCTCAAAGTAGAAGCAAAAGCTGTTCCAACCCTGCTCCAGCAAATGGAGGGGCCGATTGTGATGGAGATGATTCAGAATCCCAAGACTGCAACACTGATCCCTGTCTAGGTAACATTAAATGCTTGTCTTTATGCCTGCGTCTCTGACACTGATATCATTTTAATCGTTTCAATTTTGATCCTTATCGATGGTCATTTCGAAAGAATAGATAACATTATGACTTGTTGTGCAGATTCAGAAACATAACTCGACTTAATGTTACAGCTGTTGGAGGACAGAGGTACATTCTGGCTAGACCATTGGCAGTAGGTGATATCATCGAAGCTTGGGGGATCTACAAAGATATTACTACGGTCAAATTCAAGTACGTTCCCTTGTGCTGATTCATCATTCATGACGTTCCTTGTGCTGATTCATGAGTATTTGCAAAAGAATTGAAGTCTAAATATGAATTGTTTGGCAATGAATAAATGTTTTCATATCATGCGAGCATGACCCAAAATTATTTTTGTATATTATAATGCTGTAAAATCTCAACCACTATATCAATACGTTTTCAGCGTGAACATTCTTGGTGACGAAATCAACCTTCTTCACGTGGACTTCAGACCTTACATTGACACAGTCGTTCTGAACAACAACGTCAACGGGGCATGGCAGGCAGAAGTCAGGTTAATATGATGCCAGCAATTTTAATAACTAGATGCAGATTGAAAGCCTTTGCCATTTAACTGTTTATACACGATTTTAAATGTTGTAATATTATTTCTATTATAGGCAGCAGTCGACGTTAAACTTAAAGATTTGTTGGATTTCAATAAATATTATTTTATTTTTGTAGCATAATCCAGCTACTCTAGAGTTTCTTGGTATGATGATTGACGGTGTATTAAGAAGATTATGTACTAAAATTTCGTCGTAAGCAAAATTTCCAATCAAATGATATACTGAATACACTTAACGCTATATTTTCAGGCCTGCGTTCAGCAGGGATAATTTCGGAGCTGACGAGATGTTTAAGGTTACGATTGAGGTCCTAGATGCGGAATACAAAATCTCCTTCAACGATGAAGAGATCGCTGCTAGATTCCCTCAACGGGATGAAATTTCTTTGGCTACTGCTGGTTTGCGAAAATTGTATTTTCTGAGCAAACTAATTGTTTCAATATTCTGGTGATTCATTTAAATTCATGTTCGGAGGACTATACAATTACAAAGTTTCTAAAAGCTGGCTATTAATACCAAACAGAATTGGTAAATTGATATAAAAAGTACAATTTCAGTGGCTCTCTTTGGCGGCAGTAACGGTTTCCAATGGACAAACCTCAACTTGCCCAAAGCACTGGAGGCAGTTGCATTTTAAGTGGTTAAGTACAAGTTTAAGTTATTCGCTTGCGTTTTTTACCCCAATCTTTCATTTATAGAAATAAATTATAAAATTTTCAGATATATGGCGAAGTAATAACTATAAGTATTCATTGCGTACTGATTATTGAATTAACAAATATAATTCTCAGGCCTGACCAGATAACCTAAAGATTGGTAATTAAAGGATAATGTGTATGATACTGAGAACTACTTCCTTTAACAGACTGTTCTTTTTTATTGGCTGAAGCCGATCTTTATAATCATCAAAAGTAAAATGCACATTTTCTGATTTTCAATTATAAAAGCATGTTATTGTTTGGAATTCAACTTTTTGAACCTTGATTATTGTGCAATTTCAGAACAGATTTCGGTTATTTTATTTTATTTTTCTGTTCCGCCAATACATGTTTGATTTGTTCCATATTTAACCCAAAAATAATCACTCGATTTTATCAAGACAAAAGAATGTTCAGAATTCAAGTATGAAAATATTTTATAGTTGTAACTACTTTAACTACAATCGCTGTAGTAATTAAACTGCACTGTGTTTATTATGGGACGGTGTAAACTATTATGTGTCCCAATAAATTATAATAGAGTAGTAGCAACTCAACTCATGACGAGATATCATCATTAGAAACAATAACACTTAAAAACTAGCTCTAATCTGTAGACTAAATCTAAACCCTACACGGACTATAACATAATTAACAGAACATACCAGCGGTAACGAGGTCTACAGATGCCCGGTACTCCTCCCTTTAGATTTAGTCTACAGATCTGACAATAGACATGTTACCGTAACCCGTTTATTTAATCATTAAATTACACCGACAATGAAGTCGATCGCTCGCTATATTCCATTTTTTCACGATTGATGCGATAAACCACAACAACAAAAATTAACTTAGTTGTAATTAATCAAACATCACGAATAAGAAAAATGAATGTGTTGACTATTAAAAGTTAAAAATTTAATTTGAACCGAACAACACTAAATCAACAAACATGGTCTCCAACAGTCGTCATCAGCTCTGCAGCCAAATGAATATTTTTGTATAACGCCTTTTTATATCTCTACTATAATTCAAAGAATTGTTTTTGTTGTATGTACGACCGCCCACGTGCAAATAGATAACAAATAGGTAGTTGCATAATAACCATAGTAACGAGGATTGTTACACGCACGTGCACGTGCAATGATTGTTTCAACGTCATTTTGATCGGTTTTGTTGATATTACGCTGTGTTTAGTACGAGCAACATTTAAATCAGCTGTATCTTTGGTTGTGACGGATATTTTTTGACGCGATAAAAACTGACTGCCAAAGAAATAGAAAACTACTAGATTCATCCCTGTTACCACGGGCTTTCTAGTATATATATAAACAAAAGCTGTAAAATACAGATAGTAAACAAAGTAAACATTTCTGTCCCCTAATCTTTCTCAAACAAAACGCCTTTTTTTTAATTATATTCTTATCAACCCAACAAGTTCAGTTTTAACATTTGGACACGACACAGCTAAATTTGATCATTCATTAACAGTGTTAAAAAATGTCATGTGTTTTTCGTATGGCGTGTTAATTTAACACGGCCATACGAAAAACACCATCATTCCTGCACTCTGTAATTAAATCTGAGCTGCTGATTAGTTGATGGTGCTGCGACCAGCAGTAATCACGACCCCGCTGTGCACCATCAACTAATCACGCACCACAATCAACTCAACTGAACGGACTTCAAATGCGGTGCATTAGCTATTAGAGACCGCAAACTCGCATTAAGGTCAAATATTCTAGTGTTAGTCCGGGATAGTACCACCCTTACTTTTCCCATGAAAATATCGTTGTAGAGGGAGGGATTAATCACAGAGTTGATGGGTAGAATCACCATAGAGAAGATTGAATACCATGGTGTAGCATCAAGGATCTCTAGATAATGAAACTTGCAGATAATGATAGACGGAACCCAGCAGAGAAAGTCTGTAACGATTATGAAAGAAATCCTTTGGTTCATTCTCCTGTTTCTTTGACGAGTCTGTTTATCGTTTCTTCTGGATGACACATTATTTGAAGATCTGGTAGATAGTATGCTGATAATGATGTAATCATGGGCATACTAACAGGGGGTGACCTCACTTAACACTACTAGATAACCTAAAAGCAGATACTGGGCTGAAGTCAGTAGATGAGATAGCTAGACTGATGGAGGACAGAAAGCTGTGGAGAACTGTTGTCAATGGATCTCGGGAATACCACCCGCCTTAAGTCACCCGCCTTAAGTTAAGTCCGTAGAATCCTACTTTTGTTTGAGTTTTCGTGAAATCCTCTGCCAGAGTATCGTGGGAGAACATATCAGAAACCATCCCATCTATTGTATCCCAACTTAAAATTCTATCATCCATGCGTCCGAAGTATTCTTAGAATACTTTTGTGTGAGTTTCTTTGTTAACCAAACCGCTGAATAGTTGAAGTTCATTGTCATATCTTATTCCATTGACGAAGAAATCGTCAAAATATTTCATTATAGGAATGGATGCTACTGTAGCTGATATGACAAGAATGATAAAGTTTCCAGCAATAACTTTGATAGAATTTTTTACAGAAACCCCTCCTGAAATTCTCATTGAGTTCCATATGCCATGAACCCTCATCAAACTCAACACAGTCATTGCCAACAGGGAAAGGTGAGATCTGATTGTGCTTGTGACACCTAGTATGGAGCATTCGCTGCTTGAAAGCCAAGAAGTCTGGTCCTTACAGTACTCCTCACCATGGACTACTCCATCGAATAAAGATACTGCTAAGAGATATGATCCAACTAGGAGATCACCGATACTTATCATGATGACTAATGATTTATTTGTCAGAGCAACCGTCGTTCTACACTTCTTGAATGATGATATGCTGACAATGATTATTGCGAGGTTTGCCTTCAGTACAAGTCCATCAAGTATTGCTTTTGAACATTCATCATTACACTCGTCTGATGAATCTAGGCAATCAATCTTACCATCACATTTACTTGTTCGCGGAATGTAATGTCCAGAAGAATTACACTTGAAATGATTAGTACAGCGTGCTTCATCTGACCCATCCCCACAACCATCCACTAGATCGCACACCTGCGAATAAGAGACGCATCATATTCCATCGTCACAAACACAGATATTGTTTATGTACACGCTGCTTTTGGCCCTTTTGATTTTACAACAAATGTGAGGTACTCATTGTTGATACTGGTTCCTGCTCTGTCTGGAAACTGACCAGGACAGGAATTATACTTAGTGATGTTTTTTAATGGACATCATCTTAAAATAACCGCAATAGCCTTATTTATGATTATCTACAAGTTATCTTTGAGTTGCCGCACCCTGATATAATGTAATACAAGTTGCAGTACGGGTGTAAGGCTGTCAGAATGATGCGGCTGTCAGAATGAAGTTTTTATCAAAAATCAAATTACGTTGTTAGAAACTTTATTTTGGGCATATTAAACAGGTTTGCATATACTAAAAACACAAATAAACACTTCCATCACTGAAAGAAAGGCTAAAAATGATTTATTACTGAAATATTTGGAAATACACTTTCAAATTTTGACATTGCATAAATATGAGGCAGTTTTGTGATCTTGTTGTTAAAGTTATCCCTATAAGACCTGGTACTGGTATATCAAACAACTCTAAAAGAATGCATTCATACCGTAAAACAACAAATTAATTTCACTAGGAGGAAGATTTTTCACATGTCTGCACTTTGAAATTCAATACCTTGTAAAATAGTCAGATAAATCATCATGATTATAGTATTAATTATATGTTAAACTCCGACCTAGTTTTATGGTCAGACATTTTTTTTATCTAGACACTTATTTTACTTCGGTGTATTCCAACAGCCACAATGTTACACAAGTGCAACCAGCCAATTACAGGAAGCCGAAGGATCTTTTTGGCCAGTGACGGTTAAGGTAGTGTGTACCATACTTTCTTCGTCCGAGACTTTGCTGCAATGTGCAGCTCCTCATTTAACCCTCACACCCGATTTCTCGAGTATTCGGCTGAGTAGACCGGGGGGCTGCATAGACCACTCATGATCCTTAGCTGAACGTCGACGACGCTCACCCCACGACCAGGCAGTCAGTGGGTTTCGAACTCGCAACCTAACGATTGTAAGACAGGCGTTCTAACCAACTGCGCTACCTGGCCGTTGCTTTGTGAATAGCCATCGTTTTGTGAATATAATTGAGTTGTCGAAGTAATGGAAAATGCTGGCGTTAGAATTACAGAGCTCATGACTAATTCAGTTAGAAGCTAGTTTGATAAATCACCGTGATTATAGCGCGAATATTAAATATTATGTACCAGCTTAGTCTTACAGCCAGGGTGTTTTTTGTATATACTTATACGTATAAATATAATTGAGTTGCCGAAGTAAAATAAAATCTCACAAGTTTTAATTTCAGGTGGAATATTTTACATGTCTGTTCACTGATGAGGTGATAAATTATAAAATATTGTCCTCACAACTGGCCTATAAGTATAAGCAAAGCCTCACAAAATTCAGAACGTGGCTGTGCTGTTTAGTGTTTATTTAGGTAGCAGCTATGTCCAGTCCGGATGAATCCGTAGTATCTAGATCAGTAAAGAAGGATCTTTTCTCTGACTGTGATCTTTTTAGAGACCATTTATTCCGGACGTCTGAATTTTCAGAAACCATTCTGCGCCTTTTTTCTATTTAATACGTTATTATCCTTTTGTCATTGTTTTTGCTATCAATGTCATGCAATTATTTTTCTACATATTAGGTAATGCTTGAGTGGGGTTCACATATTACTATTAGGTAATCCCTGAGGGACTGACTTACTTTGATGAGAAATTATCGTTCAAGCAATATACTTAGCGGGAATGAAATTCATTTTCAGTGATTTTACGATCGTTTAACCTACTATTTAAATAGTTAAGATGACAAGCCTCCATATCATCATTGGTTTTGGACTCCTCGGACTCTGCTCAAGCGGTAAGCTAAAGATATAAATTAGATTCTAATTTTCACTTTTTGATACTTTTAAGCCTGTGTCAGCAGTGCAGGTGGGTCTATTTTATAAACTTCAATAATATAACGATTTAGATTTTACTTGACTATCACGTGACTTACTTAAACACACTCTCTAGATGGCCCTGGGGACTATTCAAACCCCTATGGCCCTCTATTCTGATGTAAACAGGCTACTATCCTTCAATTGCATCTATCCAAAATCTCCCTACGACGTTGACTAATACTAGCAAATACTCGACACAATAATCAAACAAGAGTCACTGATTAGAGCTCCGAGTCTGAGTCTAGCAGCACCAAACCAACGTACCTACTGACCCTAGATCCTTGTTTATATAAAGCTTGCCCTGGTTAACCAACGTACCTACTGACCCTAGATCCTTGTTTATATAAAGCTTGCCCTGGTTACCCAACGTACCTACTGACCCTAGATCCTTGTTTATATAAAGCTTGACCTGGTTAACCAACGTACCTACTGACCCTAGAGCTTGCCCTGGGGTCAGTTACTGTTTATGAACACAATAGCTTGGGGTCCCCATGTAAGCGAGTCCTTCCCATCTCTGTCTAATTCGCTTTTATTGTCATAAACGTTGTTATTGGATGAGCTTTTCTCGGCTTCTAAAGACAGCTTAACAACTCCTTATTTATCATTAGATAGCGACTATTCCCCCCCCCCCCCCCCCACTGCTCCCGTTTCTTCTCCTGTATCTGGTTAACTTCAAACAGCTTAACAATCCCTCCGATCGTGAGATCCCTGCTTATCTATCCCTGCGAGATCCCTGCTTGTCATTGTCGTTAACGTTATCAATTAAACAAACTCAAACCTTTGACCGTTAAAAAAATTTCCAGTAACCAACCCTGTTTCTCATTGTCATAAAGTCAAATTAACCTATCAAATATACAGGCTTGAACCTTTGACCGTCAAATTGTCTTAAAGTTAAACAAATAGTAAAGAATAAATAAAAACTTAGACCAACTTCCTTATGTAGTCAAGTCATGTGATCTGGAGTGATTCGGTATCAGCGTTCAAAAATAATTAAAACAAGAAATGCGGCCGCTTTTTTTTGTGCACATGGCCGCTCAATTTCCCGATCCGTGATAGCGTATTTTATCATTTTCTATACAACCTGGGGACCCCAGTTTTTACTGTTTTGTGTTTATAAGTATGCAGATATGGCGAAGTGACAGGCCGAGCGCCACCAAGTTAATATAATTCCATATTGAATTTGAAAATCGTGTATATTTTTAAAAACCATATGCTTATTGTTTATGCAACCTGACACCCGACACGGATGTGTGCAAAATAGTATAAGTAACTCAAAATAATAATAGTATGCTATCAATTAGTGCCTAGTGGGATATGTACATGGTGAAATTAACAATGTACTTGGTCAGTTCAGCGCCGCGCGCCAACAATTAGCTAATTCGGATTATTCCGCAAAATAACTTTGCGCAGGCAGTCACGTGGGCGATTACAGTGTGTGCAGGCACGTACGGTCGCACGCTCGCAGGTACGGTCGCAAAGCTACCATATACAAAAAAAAAACCTCGTTCGCTAACCCTTGTCCTTGACTCTTTTGTGCCTTCGGCACTTTGAGTCATGGATCGGGAAAAAATTGGTGATATTATTCATATTATGTAAAAACTACTATAGTGCCAATATACCAGAGTAACTTGTACTTCGCCGCAATAATGTCACCTTTAGATTTGCCGCTGTGGCCGGTCGCGGCGCTGTGGCGGTACTGTGGCGGTACTGTGGCGGTACTGTGGCGGTACTGTGGCGGTACTGTGGCGGTACTGTGGCGGTACTGTGGCGGTACTGTGGCGGTACTGTGGCGGTACTGTGGCGGTACTGTGGCGGTACTGTGGCGGTACTGTGGCGGTACTGTGGCGGTACTGTGGCGGTACTGTGGCGGTACTGTGGCGGTACTGTGGCGGTACTGTGGCGGTACTGTGGCGGTACTGTGGCGGTACTGTGGCGGTACTGTGGCGGTACTGTGGCGGTACTGTGGCGGTACTGTGGCGGTACTGTGGCGGTACTGTGGCGGTACTGTGGCGGTACTGTGGCGGTACTGTGGCGGTACTGTGGCGGTACTGTGGCGGTACTGTGGCGGTACTGTGGCGGTACTGTGGCGGTACTGTGGCGGTACTGTGGCGGTACTTTGGCGGTACTGTGGCGGTACTGTGGCGGTACTGTGGCGGTACTGTGGCGGTACTGTGGCGGTACTGTGGCGGTACTGTGGCGGTACTGTGGCGGTACTGTGGCGGTACTGTGGCGGTACTGTGGCGGTACTGTGGCGGTACTGTGGCGGTACTGTGGCGGTACTGTGGCGGTACTGTGGCGGCGCTGTGGCGGCGCTGTGGCGGCACTAGATAGTTTCGAAAATACCCAATCCCACATCCACAAGTACTCGAGATATACAGCTAATATTTGTTTTCTTTTTATTGTAGCTGCTTTCTGTGTTGGAGAATATTTCATTTAGTCGACTATTAACAGCTTACCTAGTAGGATCCCCATTTCCAATAAAGAAAAACAGTACAAGTAAATGGAACTGGGCTCATGATGGTATAACTAATAACGGGGTCCTTGAGTTGCTTGGTGACGGGGCTGTAAAGTTTAACAATGGTAGAAGACAGGGTAGTTGGGGACTCAGAGACTGTGGCAGAATCCTTGGTACCACCTTTTACGGTCGTTATCATGAGCTGAGGTACGAAGATGGGATAGCGACCCTGGTAATCCCCAAGAGATCCCCTCCCAGCATTATGACACTGATATCAGGTATTGATCAAATCTTTTCCACCCTGTAGTACTTTAAGCATTTTACCAGATTACAGTATATCATTAAATAACAGGTATTGTGATTCACTCATAGCCACAAGGTTCGGTTTAGTAAATTAAGTTTGACGACTCAGTGGCTTATACCTCTGAAATGTGTTTTACAAAAAGTACGCATGGAGATCGTTATTAGTAAGCAATGTTTATTACAGATCACACTCTCATTCCTTCCTCTCTAAACACACACTCTAAATACCTAACATTCTTTAATATACCCAACTCATATATTTTGTATCTTTATATAATGCATAGCTGTTGTCAATGTTATATCAAAATCACTACAGTGATCAAAATAAATACAATGATGACAATGATGACAATGATTACAATGATCATTACAATTTTATGTTTATAACACAGATATAAATTATTGTCACTCATTAGCATATTAACCCTATGTTGTTCCAACCCTACCCCAGCAAATGGAGGGGCTGATTGTGATGGAGACGATTCTGAATCTCAAGACTGTAATGCTGACCCTTGCCCCGTTGACGGAGGATGGTCTGACTTTTCGGATTGGTCTGAGTGCTCTGCTGCATGCGGAGGAGGATCTCAAAGTAGAAGCAAAAGTTGTTCCAACCCTGCTCCAGCAGATGGAGGGGCCGATTGTGATGGAGATGATTCAGAATCCCAAGACTGCAACACTGATCCCTGTCTAGGTAACATTAAGTGCTTGTCTTCATTAGACCTGCGTCTCTGACACCGTTATCATTTTAATCGTTTTAATTTTGATCCTTATCGATGGTCATTTCGAAAGAAAAGATAACATTATGACTTGTCATCACGACAATTTGTCGTGCAGATTTAGAAATATAACTCGACTTAATGTTACAGCTATTGGAGGACAGAGGTACATTCTGGCCAGACCATTGGCAGTAGGTGATATCATCGAAGCTTGGGGGATCTTCAAAGATATTACTACGGTCAAATTCAAGTACGTTCCCTTGTGCTGATTCATGAGTATTTGCAAAAGAATTGAAGTCTAAATATGAATCGTTTGGCAATGAATAAATGTTTTTATATCATGCGAGCATGACACAAAATTATGTTTGTGTATTATAATGCTGTAAAATCTCACCCACGATATCAATACGTTTTCAGCGTGAACATTCTTGGTGACGAAATCAACCTACTTCATGTGGACTTTAGACCTTACATTGACACAATCGTTCTGAACAACAACGTCAACGGGGCTTGGCAGAGAAACATCAGGTAAATGATGCCAGCAATTCTAATAACTAGGTGCAGATTGAAAGCCTTTACCATTTAAGGCCAGAGGGGGGGGGGTAAAATTGGTTTTTCCGGTTTTCACATATTTGATCAGAGCTGTTGCAGACAAACAAGAAGAAAAAAACCGGACCGAAATCTGACCTTGCGTTTTTAAGATATCGCGCGCCAAATATTGAGGTTTACATGTAATTACATGTAAAACTTTAACTTAAACTGTAAAAAGTTAAAAGTCCCTTAGTTGAGAATACTGGACACACCCAGAAGCTGAAACTTGGCACAGTTGTTCCTTGGGCTGTCACCCACAATTCTATTGTACAAAATTTTGATATTTGCCTCTGTTCTCGAAATATGAGGTTAACTTTACCCCAAATTCGACAATTTTTCGAAAAGTGTCGAATTTGGGGTAAAGTTAACCTCATATTTCGAGAACAGAGGCAAATATAAAATTTTGTACAATAGAATTGTGGGTGACAGCCCAAGGAACAACTGTGCCAAGTTTCAGCTTCTGGGTGTGGCCAGTATTCTCAACTAAGGGACTTTTAACTTTTTACAGTTTAAGTTAAAGTTGTACATGTAATTACATGTAAACCTCAATATTTGGCGCGCGATATCTTAAAAACGCAAGGTCAGATTTCGGTCCGGGTTTTTTCTTCTTGTTTGTCTCCAGCAGCTCTGATCAAATATGTGAAAACTGGAAAAACCAATTTTACCCCCCCCCCCCCCCCTCTGGCCTTAACTGTTTAATCAAGATTTCAAATATTGAAATAGTATTTCTATTAGTATTATAGGCAGCATTTTTTTAAATAAATACTATTTTATTTTTGTAGCATAATCCAGCTACTCTAGAGTTTCTTGGTATGATGATTGACGGTGTATTACGAATATTATGTACTAAAATTTCGTCGTAAGCAAAATTTCCAATCGAATGATATACTGAATACACTTAACGCTATATTTTCAGGCCTGCGTTCAGCAGGGATAATTTCGGAGCTGATGAGATGTTTAAGGTTACGATTGAGGTCCTAGATGCGGAATACAAAATATCCTTCAATGATGAAGAGATCGCTGCTAGATTCCCTCAACGAGATGACATTTCTTTGGCTACTGCTGGTTTGCGAAAATTGTATTTTCTGAGCAAACTAATTTTTTTCAATATTCTGGTGATTCATTTTAATTCATGTTCGTAGGACTATACAAAGTTTTTAAAAGCTGGTTATTAATACCAAACAGAATTGGTAAATTGATATAAAAAGTACAATTTCAGTGGCTCTCATTGGCGGCAGTAACGGTTTCCAATGGACAAACCTCAACTTGCCCAAAGCACTGGAGGCGGTTGCAGTTTAAGTGGTTAAGTACGAGTTTAAGTTATTCGCTTGCGTTTGTTACCCCAATCTTTCATTTATAGAAATAAATTATAATTTTTTCAGATATATGGCGAAATAATAACTATAAGTATTCATTGCGTACTGATTATTCAATTAACAAATATAATTCTCAGGCCTGACCAGATGACCTAAAGATTGGTATTTAAAGGATAATGTGTATGATACTGAGAACTACTTCCTTTAACAGACTGTTCTTTTTTATTGGCTGAAGCCGATCTTTATAATCATCAAAAATAAAATGCAAATTTTCTGGTTTTCAATTATAAAAGCAAGTTATTGTTTGGAATTCAACTTTTTGAACTTTGATTATTGTGCAATTTCGGAACAGATTTCGGTTATTTCATTTTATTTTTCTGTTCCGCCAATACATGTTTGATTTGTTCCATATTTAACCCAAAAATAATAACTCAACTATATCAAGACAAAAGAATGATCAGAATTCAAGTACACAAATATTTAGTTGTAACTACTTGTGTTGTTTAGTTGTAACTACTGTGTTTATTATGGGACGGTGTAAACTATTATGTGTCCCAATAAATTATAATAGAGTAGTAGCAACTCAACTCATGACAAGATATCATCATTAGAAACAATAACACTTAAAAACTAGATCTAATCTGTAGACTAAATCTAAATCCTACACGGACTATAACACAATTAACAGAACATACCAGCGGTAACGAGGTCTACAGATTCCCGGTATTCCTCCTAGATTTGGTCTACAGATCTGACAATAGACATGTTACCGTAACCCGTGTATTTAATCATTAAATTACACCGACAATATAGTCGGTCGCTCACTTTTTCCATTTGTTTACGATTGATGCAATAATCCACAGACAAAAAATTAACTTAGTTGTAAGTAATCAAACATCACAAATTATAAGAAAAATGAATTTATTGACTAATAAAAGTAAAACATTTAACCAAACAACACTAAATCAACAAACATGGTCTCCAACAGTCATCAGCTCTGCAGCCAAATTAATCTCTATTTATAACGCATTTTAGAAATGTATATTCTTCGTAGTACTAATTTCTTGTTAAAATTTTATCAATCCAACAAGTTCAGCTCTAACATTTGGACACGACACAGCTAAATTTGATCATTCATTAACACGGCCATACGAAAAACATATGACATTTTTTCCCCTTAAGTTCAGATGTTAATTTGAGATATCTCTTGCATTCCAATGTTCTCTTGCGGTGCAGGAGCTATTAGAGACCGCAAGCTCGCAGTACAGTCTAATATTATAGAATAAGTTCGGGATATTACCCCCCAGTTCCATGGCCGGATATTATGCCAAATTTTAGACGGAGATCGTCTACTGATATTTCTCCGGATATTTCTCCGGTTTGCAGTTCCACGACCGGAGACCATCTACGGTAATTTTGTTGATTCTGTATGATTCTGTATGAATTAATCTCCGAGAAATTCCCGGAGAGCTTCATCTCCGTCTAATACAGTAGACGGAGCCGGAGAATCATCTCCGGAGATGATCTACGGGAAATGGACCTCCGTCTAATAATTTGGCATAATATCCGGCCATGGAACTGGGGGGTTACCACCCTAACTTTTCCCATGAAAATATCGTTGTAGAGGAAGGGGTTAATCACAGAGTCAAGAGTTGATGGGTAGAATCACCATAGAGAAGATTGAATACCATGGTGTAGCATCAAGGATCTCTAAATAATGAAACATACAAATAATGATAAACGGAACCCAGCAGAGAAAGTCTGTAACAATTATGAAAGAAATCCTTTGGTTCATTCTCCTGTTTCTTTGACGAGTCTGTTTATCGTTTCTTCTGGATGACACATTATTTGAAGATCTGGTAGATAGTATGCTGATAATGATGTAGCAGATTGATATCACCACAAAACAAATGAAGTCCAGTATAAGAATACTCCATACGAACGCCTGCTGTGGATCTGTTCTCTGGATAAAATATTTGAATAGGCAAACTCCGTCGTTTCTGTAGAATCCTACTTTTGTTTGAGTTTCGAGAAATCCTCTGCCAGAGTATCTTGGGAGAACATATCAGAAAACATCTCATCTATTGTATCCCAGCTTAAAATCCTATCATCCATGCGTCTGAAGTATTCTTTGAATACTTTTGTGTGAGTTTCTTTGTTAACCAGGCCTCTAAAAAGTTGCAACTCGCTGTCATATTCGCTGTCATATCATATACGAGTTCAGGAGATCACTAGCTACAAGTAGAGCACCTGAAATCTGGGTTTTGGGGCATGTTCAGGGTATTTGGCTAAATTAAGCCTAATTTGGACTAAATATGGGCGTGGCTGCCCCGCGGGCACCGTTTGGCAGTTGGGGTCCGGGACCCCCTCAAAAGTCCGGTCACCGGTCCTAGTTTGTTGGTCAACTGCTATCTCCCCCCCCCTCACTGTGAGAGACGCGAGCGCGAGCAATACACTAGCATTTAGCAAGTAACAACAGCTAGCAAGCTAATGTAAGTGTAACGAAGTAGCGCGCGCCGGATCAGCCTATCTTACTATATATAAAGCGAGACGATATATATATATATAAATCCGTGCCATTTTACTGACACCACGGCATCAAATTTAACGTGACTTTACGCAAAATCCGTAAAAGATATACAACTGAAACTTTTTTGACTAGGTCAAATGCTTTAATGGCCTTCAAATCAGCATGAAAAAATAAAAAATTGGCCAAGGAATAAGAATTTTAGAGCCCAAAATTTGGACTCCCAAGTGGTGTCAAAAACGCGAATTAAATAGGTAATAATTATTTTTCTTGACATCACTTTAGGGTTATACGGGTTTCTGCTAGTTAAATTAAATTTAATGATTGACAATAGTTAACGTCCCCCTTAACGGGTGAAACTCTTAAAATGTTTGTTTCAAATATTTCGGCGCGCGTCTTGGTAGGTTATAAAGCTACAACGTCCCCCAACAAACATAGATGATGATTAATCACTCTACACTCGACTGTCACGTGACTTTTTCAACTCGTTCTCTAGCTGGTCCTAGCTGAACGACTATTCGAAACCCTAACCCTCTAATCTGATCCCAATCCTAGCCCTAATACAATCCCTAACAAAAGCATATGCTGAAATCTTAACTCTAACGAGAAATTAGACTAGCTTCCTTATATATAATTATATACCATATACGGTCATATCGCGTGATCGAGACAGTTTTTCGCCAATATTTCATCAGGGGAGCAATTAACCCTATGTCTTGGGGTTGCTCTAACCAGAGCCCTCTCGCTTGCAGTACGCGAGTACGCGTACTGCTACGTGAATTCTTGGGGGTGATTCGTGATTCGGAATCAGCGTCCGAAAATACATCGATTGAAGTTGGTTTTAACTGTCGGGGCCCGTTTAGAACAATCTCGAAGATCGACTGTAGAGTGATTTAGCACGCTCGAGAACAAACATATCTTTAATCTTACAACATACATTATGATTACATTGCAATTTTGTGCCACCATTGATACATGTTTCGTATCCCGCGGCGGCGCGCGCTTCGCGCGCGAAAAGTAGCATGCAACGTATGTCAATGCACCATACACTGACCATTGAACCATTAACTACTACTAGTACTACTACTACTACTATGTCGGAACTAAGTCCGATCTACGCCAGATAACCCCTCCATATTATATCCTGGTCCCGTGTCAGGGTTTGCAGTTCCTCTTTAGATTTTGTCCCAACTAGCTTCAGTAACATAGACAAGTAGCTTTGTTTTGGTAGGCCTTGCTGTGCTCTATAACCGTGCGTAGGTTCCCATAAGACTAAATCACTGGCAAGTAAATCAGCATGTCGGATGCAGTGGCCCGCCATTTTTAATTTCCTGCTTCGTAGCTTGTTTGACAGCTTTGGTTGGCTACCATACAAAGTTGTATTGCTGACCTTGTCCTTCCATGAGATACCCAGCACCATATGAGATACCCAGCACCATATGCAACCATACGTTGTATGACCCGCCGTGCACGAGTGCGCGGCTCCCCCTGTATCGCGTAAAAACTCCACTATAGTGAAGCGACAGTGGGGGTCACCGGCCACGTGGGGGTCATCACGTGATTGGTGATACAATATGCAACATTTTTGTGTATATCCCGTCCAAACTTTTCTCTTGAGCCTTTGTCAGTGTCCAGGTTTTTGATACGTCAAGCAGTACTGATTCACAGGCTGCTATACTATGAAAAATTTAATTTTTACATTTTAGGCTTTTTGCGAGTTTGGATTACCAGATATCCTTCAGTTTTAACATTAAAATAGGTAGTGCGCCATCGACAATGAGCCGCGCGTGCCGACTGTAGGATGGTTTAAGGTTGTTTTTTCTGTTTTCGAGCTTCTCGCATTTTACTGGGCCGCGCTCAGCCTGTCATTCCGCCGAATCTCTATATAACATAAATATAATAGCCTGCGGTCCCCAGGTAACTCGCATTACGTGATATGAGTGAGCAATAGACTAGCAAGCTAGGTAACCAAGACGCGCGCCGTGTTGGACTTGTCGACGGTCTTGAAGCAAATATTTTACGATTATCAACCGTTAAACATTATAGATTAAAGATCGTGTGACATGGTACTGTATGTATCTCTAAAATGAGAGTTGGCCGTAGGGGCTGTACTGATACAGACCTGTCGAAGCTCACCTCAGGAATTTAATATTGAATATGTATCTTGACAATGGACAACTTCACTATCGGCCCTTTGACTGTCATGATATTTGTATTTGGCTCTGGCAACTTGTTGGACAGGATTAACGTTCAAGCAATATGATTATTGAAATTATTTGTATATATCGTTTGAACAATATTGAAACTTCTGTTGATGAATTAGCAAACCTCTATAACTACTTGGTTAAGTTAATAAACAAACCCAGTAGTACTAAGCAAGCTCTACACAGTAAGTGTTATTCCACCGCGAGACTATGCAATTCCACTAATGTCTGACATCTTGAATTTTTTGTCTTTTTCAAATTGTACAGCTAGCAAGAAAAAGATATTGTGACGCGGTAAGGCATGTGAGGACAAGGATAAGATTTTCAATGATGAGAACAACTGTTATTGAGGCTCCTCTATCGGAAGTCTATGTGCTACCCCAATGACGGAGTGCGATGATATTTTTTAGACATGTGTGATGATGTTACATCTTAAATTTTACTTTACTTTACTTTACTTTATAGTAGATGTACATGTATACATTTGACTGTCGATATTTCAGGGAATAATATCGGTAGCAAAGGACCATTTCCGTTACCTGTGCATCGTGCTCTGCCGCTTGGAACGCTTGATTTGATTGGATGTTTAAATATACATCGTTTGAATGACATTTTCGATCTTAAATTTGTTGCTTAGTTTCTTACCCAGTGATTTCGTGATGTAATATACAAATGTTAAGCTCCCACACTTCTCTGACAACTGCCAATGCAATGTCTTCCTTGTTTTTAGGTTAAGGTCTTGAGATACTGTTATTTTTCAAGGATAATCTGCTACTCCTCACCGTTATTTCTTTAATGAAACGAAATCTGTATATTTAACAAGAATACCGGCACACAGCTCCGGCAGCCGAAATGGTCCATTGCAACCAGAATTATTTGAAATGTCAATAATTTCATTCTAACTGAGAGAACACAAGTAGAAGGAAGCTAAGTTCTTTTAAAGCCTATTAAAATACTGACCAGACATAAAAGGTAAATTTTGGGATCTATAGATTGTTCACTGCTGGGTGCAAGTTAGCACAAACGATACCTGCGATGATAGCCAAATGTGATGCGATTGGCTGATTACAGCACAGGTGGAATAGAAATTGTCTAAATTGTCACTTAAATTACATGAGATCTCCTCTACTTCATTCATGTCCCATGAGATATATCAAGCTTTGCCGGAATATTCAAGTTGTATGTAGGTGTGATTCCAATAAAAGTGTATAACAGGGAATATAAATTAAACAGCCTACTATTATAGTAGGTCCTTCTGGCCAGTAATGCGTTAGTGTTATTGATCATATTGCTTTTGGTAAGTATCAAGCCTCTATGTATCTCAAAATGCCTTGACTGGATATAATAAACCTAATAAACTCAATGAGGCAGTCAAGCTTCTGTTTCTACAGTTCTCATTGGCAACCATGAGGATTGCACAGACCAAGATGACGTGAGTGTGTTGTTTCTAGCTCTCCTTGTGTGCTTAATGGGGGTCGTACTCTCCTAGCTTGCCAGGACAGTCTTTTCAATTCAGAGGGTTAAAATTTATTACTTTCTCTAAAAATGGTCGAAACATATTAAAAGTTGTATCAGTAAAGCAAACAGTATGATTGCATGGGTTACAAGGAATCTCATTATAAGAGAAATTAACGTTATGAGAAATGTTTATAAAACTATAATAAGACCCCACTTGGAGTATTGTGCTCAGTTGTGGTCTCCACCTGCCTGCCATGGGAATTGGGCTACTATCATTGAACTGGAAAATGTCCAGAGAAGGTTCACACGCCTTATTGATGATATTGGAACACTTCCTTACAGTGAAAGGTTGGATGCCTTACAGATTACAACACTCGCAGAGAGACGGGTTAGAGGAGATTTGATTGAAGCCTACAAAATTGTAAATGGATTGGTTGAGTATGGAAATGATATTTTCAATTTAAGTAGATCGGGAGATAAAATTGTTAGCACTAAATCTAACAATATTGATAGAAATATTAAAACCTTGTCTAATAATTTTTTATCAGAGCGTGTTATCAGCTTTTGGAATAAATTACCATCATTTGTTAGAAATTCAGTGTCTGTTATTGATTTTAAAATTAATCTAGAAGAATTTAAAAAGACTAATAATTTAGTAGACACAGGCAACTTTTGGGAAGTGTCAAATATAGTTTTATCAAAAATAGAGGGTGTAAATTATATTGAAAAGAAGAAGCAACAAGTTGAATATTTATATAAAAACCCGTGTGTTGCCAAGAGAAAGGGAATAAATATCTCATGAAATTGTTTTTATCTAATTTTTTTATTAACGGTTTTTTAACATTTTAAACTTTTTAAAAAAAACTTATTAATTTAATTTCTACTATAATATGTAAATAAATTATGACAATTATGTTAGTTATAGAATTTGTTTGTTTTTTAATGACGAAGGCTGTGAAATGTTCACAGTTCTGATAATGAGGAAATCAGAAAGAATGTTTAAAACTAGTGATGATGTTTATGTCATTATTCTTAATCTAATCTAATCTAATCTTCTCATCAGTGGTTTATTAAACTTCGATTTATTATTAATATCAACTAACAATGTTTTGATAAAGGTAGGATGAGTCACATCGTATACTCCAAGACCTATACGACTCCTCGTCGTCCTTTTGAGAAGGAACGACTTGACAGCGAACTTAAGCTTATTGGAGAGTTCGGTCTTCGTAACAAAAGAGAAGTATGTGTTTATCTCATTTAAATAAAACGTTATTGTTATCCGAATGATCAAACTGTTTATGTTTATTTAATCGATTGCCTTGTTTATCATTGTAAGTGATCATGGCCTGACTACACAAGTTATGACACATTTCTATATCACCATTTTACAACAAATCATTCTCAGGTATGGAGGGTTAAGTATACTCTTGCCAAAATCAGGAAAGCTGCTCGAGAATTGCTGACCCTTGAAGACAAGGATCCCAGACGTCTCTTTGAGGGAAATGCTATCCTTAGGCGGCTTGTCAGAATCGGTGTGCTCGACGAGAACAGAATGAAGCTCGATTATGTCCTGGGTAATTTTCCTAGACTACCAATTTAGATGACGTGATAAAGTTATAGAAATATTTGTTTAGCAAATTTAAACTTGATATTCTCATCTGTTTCAAGTAAACTTGTTTTTCATCTGTAAAGACGTTTTTTAATGTTTATATTTTATGTCAAAAACTGCAATGACCCGACCATAACCCTGCTCATGGCAATTATCCCATGTTTAGTTTTTTCAACACTTAGGACCCTCTAAGTCCATTCCATATTGTGGGCTTGGATTTCCTGTTGAGCTCCTGTGTTCTCGGAGTAACACTTAACCTCTTTACAGGTCTCAAGACTGAAGATTTCCTTGAAAGGCGTCTCCAAACCCAGGTGTTCAAACTAGGACTTGCTAAGAGTATCCATCATGCCCGAGTCCTGATCAGACAGAAGCATATCAGAGTACGAAAACAAGTTGTAAACATCCCCTCATTCATAGTGCGATTGGACGCTCAGAAACATATTGATATCGCCATTAATTCCGCATACGGATCTGGTCGAGAAGGTCGCGTAAAGAGGAAGAGAATGCGAGCTGGTGATAAGGGTGCTGCTGATGCCGATGAGGATGAGGATTAATCTTTTAAATTGTCTTTTTAGTTATATTTAATATTCATGTTTTACTGTCTCCTCAACGAACAAATATCCAAATATCAAAAATTGGTATCTCATGTTGTGTCCCAAGTGGATGTTGGCCAGATCAATTATGCTGTTAAAATGACTTGAATAAATATTGGATTAACACGTAAAAGTTAAACAATTGAGGCGGTGCATGCTTAATAAAACTGTGTAATCCTCACGGTCATTGACCTACAAGTAAGGTCTAATTATAACCCAAAATATTGTGGTTGATTTATGTTCAGTGTTCGCTCTCGTTCTGTTATCAAAATAAATTAAATTTATACAATTTGAAACTGGTTGGACGTGGATTGTTGTTCCTGATTTCTTACTCTCAACTTATTAGGGTTAAAACAGAAGGTTTGTTTGTTGCCAGTTGCATGGTATATGGTCCGATCCACCTGATTCGTCTGTAAACAATGTCACATTTTCAGACTCTGGTTGTACCGATAATAGCAAGTATTTTAATTGGCCACTGGATAAAACTCTATTTTGACAGAGAGAATAGGATGTCTCCCCGCCCTGATCCATCCTCGTTCTCTGACTCCTCTCAAATCAGGACAACAACGCTCAATATTGTTCTGACTGCCGATCTGAAAAGTGCAGTTCTGTCTGGTCATGTTGACATTGCATTTAAAAGAGTCAACAAAGAATGTCAGTCGCTGGTTCTGGACTGCAAGGATCTGGACATCAGCAGGATTCTTGACCAAGCAAGTGGAGAGGAACTGGAATATGTTGTTGGTGATAAGTTCAAAGAATTTGGATCTCCTCTAACAATTTCACTGCAGCCATCTACCAATGGAGTTACTGTTCACTACAAAACCTCACCCACTGCTTCTGGTGTCCAAGTTCTGAGTCCTGACCAAACATTCGGAGAGCACCCCTACCTTTTCACACAGAACCAAGCTATACACGCTAGAAGTATTGTCCCTTGTCAAGATACACCTGGTATCAAGACACCGTACACCGCAGAACTCACTGTAGACAAACCTCTAGTAGCTGTTATGAGTGCTGTATCTGTGAGATCAGAGGAATCTGAATCCACCACAACTTATTTCTTCAACCAGAAAATTCCAATTCCAGCGTATCTGCTGGCTATTGTTATCGGAGACATAGTGTCCCAAGACATAAGCCCCAGAGTTAGGGTGTGGTCAGAAAGAGCTAACATCGACAAGTGCTACAGTGAGTTTGAAGATACAGAAACCATCCTGAAAGCAGCTGAGGAAGTTGCAGGGGAGTATGTGTGGGGGAGATATGATCTGCTAGTTCTGCCACCATCTTTTCCATACGGTGGCATGGAAAATCCTTGCCTGACTTTTGTAACTCCCACACTTCTCGCGGGCGATAAAAGTTTGGTAAATGTAGTTGCTCACGAGATTGCTCACAGCTGGACTGGAAATCTGGTCACCAACGCTAACTGGGAACATTTCTGGCTGAACGAAGGATTTACAGTTTTCTTGGAGAGGAAGATTTTGGCTAAGCTGGCAGGACCCGAAGAAGGAGAAGCAGTGAGGGAAGGTGCTCACATGATGGGTCTTAACAGTCTGAAATATGCTATTGAAGTGTTTGGTAAGGACAACCCTCTTACTGCCTTGAACGTTAACCTGGATGGGGTAGATCCTGACGATGCATTCTCCTCTGTCCCCTATGAGAAGGGATCAACTTTCTTATTTTATCTAGAAACCTTAGTCGGAGGGCCAGCTGTGTTTGACCCCTTCTTACGAAGCTATATTGCAGAACATGCATACAAAAGTATCACTTCCGAAGTGTTCGTCAGTTATTTCAAGTCACATTTCCCGAATGTGGAGGTTGACTGGAGAGGGTGGCTGACCACTCCCGGGATGCCTTTAGTCATTCCTAAATACGATGATTCCCGTCAACAAAAGTCAATTGAGGTTGCCAAGGCATGGTCTAATGGGGATATATCTGAAAAAGAACGAGAATCTTTATCTTCTAAACAGGTTTTTAGCATTTCTGATAAAGCTTTAAACCTTTTAAGATCAGCTAGTTACATGCCCTTTAAAATAATTATCGTTTATATGTATATATTTGCATCTGCCTTGCCCTGGAAGCTTATCAAAAGAGATATTCTAATAATAACTGAAATCAATGCAATAGTTTAACTTTCATAGACTTACTCGTGTTTAGGTGATATCCACCCTTACATTGCTACACACTTACGATGACGTAACCTTGGAGACGGTCAAACAGCTTGACTCGACCTTCCACTTCGGCGACTCTCAAAACGCAGAGATTCTTTTCGCGTAAGTAATATAACAACATTAACAGTATATATAAGGTTTCGTTGATCATGATGGTTGCTTTAAACTCCTTTTTTTCTCCCATTATAAGCTAAAAGTGTGTTTGATATTGTACATTGTACAATATTGCCTGCGTCAGCTAAAGTATAAATGATACATTCTTTAATGAGGTCCTTTCCGTTCAGGTGGTGTCGAGTCTGTATCAAGGCACGCTATAGTCCTATCGTCAGCAAAGCTCTAAACTTTGTGACGACTCAAGGGAGAATGAAGTTTGTTCGACCGATATTCCGAGATCTTTTCTCTTGGAAGGAATACAGCCAACATGCCATAGATGTTTTTGAAAGGAAGAAGAGTTTTTACCATAACATTTGCCGTAGCATGGTTGAGAAAGACATACTGGCTCATCAAGCTAATGCTTGAAATTTGTTTCTGCCGTAGATATGAGATTTCGAAATTTGATTTTATAAATAATTGCTACATTTAATTTATTGTGATTCGTTTCATTCATTTTTTGAGGTATGAGCTTATATTGATAGTAATAGCTTATTATATTTAGATGAACATAGTGATAGCTTATCTTTAGTTATATATTTTGATATTATAATAAAATGAAGAATTGTTAAGTTTTTTTCGATAAGAAGAGTACCCATAAAATATTGAACATTATAGATGGTATGATAGCTAATAGGGTATCGATTTATTCCACGATTGATTTGTTTTTCAGATTGTTAAAACATTTTCTTCATTTAAAAGTGTAATAATTTGTAAGATACGAATTCTAAAAGCGCAAAGTAAGATTAAACTTGATTTGTAACTAAAAATTATTGCTAAGTTAAGCAAAAGACACTCTTCAAAACTAAAGCAAATAAATCTGATTTTGGAAAATAATAGGACAGAGCCATTATAATATATGTACATGTTATTATAATGAATTGTAATCATTGTTGGTCGTAAGAAAGCCCCCTGATTTGCAGCATGAGTATCTGTCTAATCCCAGGTTTCAGCAATGAACTAAATTCTAGTTTAGGTAGAACTAGATGCTTGGTGTGGTAGTATGGGAAAGCAGGACAGCATCGCTGAAGAAGATCTGTCCATGCTGGAGAGAGGCAAGAGAAACGAAGTCAGACGTCTACAAAAATCACTGAAATCCGCCACAGCGAAAGGTAAATGTAATAGGTAACGACTCTTTTCATGATACGTTAATAGAAAGCATTCCAGACCTCATTACGCCTATCATTGTTGATAATCAATTAGATTGCTATTAAAAACCGCTGACTCAACAACAACACTGTTTCAGGTAACCTATCAGAGCAGAGCAAGCTATGTAACGCTCTGGGTGACATGCTAGCTGTATCTGGGTTTCTCAACCTGGCGCTACAATACCACACCCAAGATCTTGAACTCAGTGAGAAGCACGGCAAGCCCCTCGACATAGCCGTCGCTCATCGTAAAGTTGGAGAAGTGTTTGCCGAGTTGGGAGAGTTTCCCGCTGCCATCTCCCACCAAGAGCAGTTCATGAAGATCTCCACAGATCTGGGTGACTTGTTGGAACAGCAGCGAGCTAATGCAACTCTGGGAAGAACTTACTATACTCAGCTCATGTCTGAGACAGAGGAGTCTGTTATGGTACCGTTGAGAAAGAAGGCTGGACTGTATTATATCACTGCTCTGAAGTTAGTTAATACTCTGAGGAGCAAACGACTCTGTTCTGAGAAAGAAGTTATGGAGGTAGGACTTCGAGAAAATTCTTATGCTTTTTAATATTTGTATTGTAATCTGGGCCTTCTAGGCTAAGTGATAACTCTTGCTCTGTCCTCTAATAAGTTATAAGAGTTGTGTAGATTTTAGCTAATCAATAGTGTGGGGCCATTTAAAGCACAGTTACCATGGTTACTGAATGATTTTCTTTACCCAGTCAACTTCAACTCACAACATTATTTGCAGATGAGAGCCAGATTGCACCTCAACGTTGGCCTGCTCTATGACAAAGTCAACCCTACCATGAGTGTCGATTACCTGAAAAAAGCGCTGGAGGAAGCAAAGCTAAACCGAGATGGCGCTGTGCAGCATCTAGCGCTTCTTCAACTGTGTGAAACTTACTTGCATAGTGGTGAACTTTCTGAGGCCCTACTCTACGGAGAACAGGTTTCTGGCTCCCTTTTACTTACAGATTTATATATCTGGACGCTGTACCGTTAAAACATTTACCTTAATTTCATTTTAAGACAGTTTTCTGCAGTTCTAAAATTTGGGGAAAATGTGTACAAGTCTCTAACCTTGAATTCTCTAGGCAGTAAAAGCTAGCAAAGTAAACGAAAACGAACAAGAAGAATCAGAGAGCAGTGAAATGTTAGCTCTCGCTCATCTCCACTCGGATAGCATTCTCCTTGCTCGGCGATGTGCCAAGAGATCTCTGCAGATTAACAGTGATTTGGACAAAGCCATGACAGTTTACAAGGCTACCAAGCTTATCATGTCCACACAACAGGTCGATTTTGGTAAGAAACATTTGATTGCTATGCCAAATCTCATATATTTATTATCTAGTGTCATTTAAACATGTACCTCCGTGGTTTTTCTTGGCTGACCTGAATGTACAATGTATCAATTGTACGATATAAACATCAGCCTAAAACAACGCAGCATTTACCAAGATGTATTGATATTTTGTTAATACATCATGAATATGCCGTAACAGCACTAACACGTTTGTTTGAACTGAGATGTGTGATATAATGACAGCTATGTGTGATATAATGACAATAATGGCGTTTGAGTCTTCAGTCTTTCTCACAGTTCGCAAAATTTCAGGCGAGACGGAAAGAGAAGTTGGTATCCTTTCAAAAATATCGAACACTCTGCTGAAACTGTCACTAAACAACCAAGCTAAGAGATGGTTGAAGAAGGAACTGGAGCTGGCTAAACACTGCGAGCTTCCTGCACCTTCCGTTGCTGGTTGGTAGGTTTCTTTAGTTTCTTATTTGTGTTACTTCCTTAAGTTATTGCCAGATAGGCTACCCTATCACTGGTTTCACTTCTGAACAGTTCTCTTTCTGCCATTCTCACTGCTTGCTAATGAACTTAGGATCGTTCCCCGGTTTGTAACAATAAACTCTTGTATCAGAAGTGCACGGAAAGTTAGGAGAATGTTACAGAGAGACCGGGGAGTACGAGCTATCTCTGTATCATTACACCCAGCAGATATCTATTGTGTCCACTGCAGCTACTTGGGCCAACATCGCTCTTGTTTCCCTCAAAGATAAACAGTCTTATCAGGTAACATCCAAAATATGAATTCTCTAAGTTATAATAATACGACTTACGACGACTTAGGGCGGCTTCAACGTCCCAACAGAGATAGTTTTTTTCCAAATCTGTCTATCCAGCATGAGTTTGTTAATTGTTAATGTTATAATAATAAAAACGTTGAAACGTCTAGCATGACCTCAAGAAGTCGGTCTTTACAGTTGAACAACTAAAACTTCTCCTGAAATAAACTTTTTCCTCAGGCTGTAGACTAGATATATGTGTGATTATTTTTCTGACAGTTCCCTTCACAGATTGTTATGATGCAGTTCAGGCGGGTATTGGCGAGGCACACTCTCCACAAGACCAGATACTGTGTCTTACTGCCCTCATTGAAGTTGCTGAACACTTTGACAAACAGGAGGTGGTCAAAACTGCTAAAACAGGTAGGCTGGTTAGGATTATCGTACAGGAATATATATATAATATATATATATACGTGCATTGTTTCATAGATAACATCCCATTCTTTTGGCTGACCTGAATGTACAATGTATCAATTGTACGATATAAACATCAGCCTAAAACAACGCAGCATTTACCAAGATGTATTGATATTTTGTTAATACATCATGAATATGCCGTAACAGTTCGACCAATGTCTTATTGTGGTTTCGAATCTGCACTAAATCTTACTTTATTTTCAAATTTGTAGTACACACTGTGTCATGATACATACATCCCACGTTGTGTTTTACTCAATAATTGAATTTACATCTTCGTCAGAACTAAGTAAGATTGAAGAAGACACTCCTGATAGCTGCAGTATGTCTCAAGACACCTGGAACATGTCAGACGTGGAGATTAGTGAAAGTGAAAGCGAAGCTATTGACGATGATAGTGAAACTGCACCTATGCGAAAGAGAAGAGCTGGGAAACTGACGAAAGTTAACGAGAAAGGGGAAACTCCCTTACATCAAGCGTGTGTCGAGGGAAAAATTGACAAGGTTTGTTTAATTAATATTTAACTTTCTGTTTCTCTCCAATGATTATTTTTGGCTGACCTGAATGTACAATGTATCAATTGTACGATATAAACATCAGCCTAAAACAACGCAGCATTTACCAAGATGTATTGATATTTTGTTAATACATCATGAATATGCCGTAACAATGAAAATAAATAGTCTCTTCCCTTGACTCATTTTCTTTTCAATCTTTATTTGTAATCTTACCTTATCTCCGAATATTTAGGTGCGTGAACTGATAGCAAAACACGCGTCCCCCAACACACGTGACCACGCCGGCTGGACACCTCTACACGAAGCCTGTAACCACGGATTCCTGGAGATAGTGACATTGCTGGTTACAGCGGGAGCTGATATAAATGATCGTGGTGGCCGTGAGTGTGGGGGTATTACTCCTCTTCACGACGCCTCTCAGTGGGGCAACTTCTCTATCGTCAAATATCTGGTGCGTGCTTCTTCCTTCTTCCTTCTTGTATATTCGTGGGACATCGTAAGATAAAATGAATTGTGTGGTTTTAGTTTCATTCATTTTTTATTATATTGTAATTGTGGTGACCTATCCGGACCTATCATAAATTAGAAAACAATTAAAACGATCAATTTGTCTTTCTCAGGTTGAAAGTGGAGCTAATATCCTAGCCAAAGATGACGATGGTCGCTCGGCTCTGCAACTCGTTGAGAATATCCTTGAAGATGATCCAGACGACATTCTCACCGACCAAAGACTAGCTATAAAGAATTATCTGGCTGAAGTAAGCAAGAATCCGCCTAAACCCCGGAAAATTGTAAAGAAAATGGAGCAAGAGGAATTGTTCACCACAGGATCCAACTCTTCGTTTTCTTATCAAAAGGGTCTGGAACCTGTGGCAACTTCTACTCAAAGAAGTCAGATAGTTGGCAAGGAGAACATTTCATCACACAAAGCAAAACATTTGAGGGCGTCTGACAGTGCTATTCTCAGCAGAAAACAGATGGATAAACTAACACTTCCTTTAAAGCAGAGATCTTCTGATCCACCAAGACACCCCTCTAAACGCCCTATTGTTGATGATTGGCTTGTTGAAGACAGGAATCCGTCTCCGAAACGTAAACTACCTCAAGATCCTTTCTTGTCTAGATCCAGCGGCAAGAAAAGACCAAAACAATCGAAGTTATCAAACATTCGGATAAAAGATGAAGAAAGTAGTCCTGATACCCCTGAAATTATCTCAATTCCTTCTGATCCTCCTCACAGACCCCCCTCACAGACTACCTCCGACCATCTGCATCCAAAACTCAGAGTAAAGATCAAAATCAGAGATACCTTGTTTTTCCTCCCAGTTAAACCAAATCAAACAATCGCGGACCTAGCTGTAGAAGCTTCCCAACGTTACCGCTCAAAAGTTGGCATTCTCCCCAAACTCAGTCTCACTACCAGCGACGGAGCGGAACTGGACAGCGAGGATGTAGCAACCCAGCTCTTAGTAGACGGTGATGAGTTGGTTGGAGTGATAGAAGAGGCGGAACATGTGGGACTGTTGGAGAAGTATCTGGAAACTTGTACTCGGTTATCAGTAGAACCGGCTCTAAAAGAGATCTTCTCCGGAACTTTATCTAATGTCTCGCTGTCCAGGTCTCTAGCATCCAGCAAACAGTTGGAGTGTTTCTTTACAACGTTACTCTGCTGCACGGGGATTAAGAAGCTGGATATCTCGTTTAACCGCCTTTCTAAGGAGGTACTGAACACTTTTTGTAGTGCTGTACCTACTTTAACTTCCTTGTCAGATATCAATGTGTCTGGCTGTGGCATCAACAACACCAACTTTTTGAAAGTGTCAGAATGTTTGTCTCAGCTTCCTTTGAGCACGTTAAAGCTGGACTATAACAGTATATCAAACTGTTTTACAGCACTTGTAGAACTGATTGTCTCAATGCCGACCCTTAGTGTGGTATCAGGTGTAAGTTGTACTCTGACCACTAAAACCCATCTTTCGCCTGAACTTACGGAGAAACTATCCGAATGTAACATCTCGTCGTTGGATTTGTCACAAAATCATATCCACCATTTCCCGAAGTTTCCTCAGAGATTAAAGTCTCTAACCCTGGGGGGATCAAACATAGAAAAGTCAGGGGTAAATCTCCCAAAAACTCTGGAAATTCTGTGTCTAGAAAACTGTGACCTGAACGATACAAATTTCCGGGAAATTTTACCCGACCTCAGAAATATAACCTCCTTCAAAGCTCCCTTCAACCACATAACCGGAGAATCAGTCGTAGATCTAGTGATGTTATTTCCTCGACTATCCCTCCTGGACTTGTCCTCTAATCCGCTAGGAGGAGAGGGTATTGAGACTCTGAGTCTGGTGGCTCCTCCTCATCTCACTCTACAGAACTGTAAAGCTGGTGACGTCACTGCTGACATCATCACAGCCCTCCACGGCTCAGTGGAGATGTGTGATCTGAGTTACAACAAGATAGATTATCCCAGCTTTTGTAAGGAACTGTCCGAGGAGATCAGGGATTGTGTCACCTGCCAGGGTAATAAGTTGATTATTAAAGGAGCCGCTGGGGCAGTCAGGTGACCAGATCTGATTTTTAATTGGTGTTCTTTATTTGTTGAATTTTGTAAATATTTCATTGGTTTATTTGGTATATACATTAACTTTTGTAAATATATCACATGCCGAATTTAAATTAATTGAAGCTTACTGTTTACAGTGTCTACTAACTTAATTAACAAATAACATGAAACCATTTTCAAAACCATCATTGATAGCTTTATTTGTTAATTGCTATAATTGACAAGCGAAATAGCACATCGTCGAAAGAAAATTTACCAGACCCAGATCAATCGAGATTTTCTAACATGAAATCTGAAAGGATGAAGATTTAAAGAGCGGATCGATGACAGTTGAAGCGGAAAACGTAGCCCCCAACTCTAGTCCCAACCTCGACACAGAACCAAAACTCAACACGCCTGAACCCTCCGACTCAAAACCCAGCTCACAGGAAACATCAGACTCAGACCTCTCCAGAGAACACACAGACAGCTCCATCGAAACAGATGCGGAGAACTCCCAGCAGTTTGTAGTGCGGAACTACAGAGTTCAGGAATGTATGTCTAACAGAGAGGACTGGTACAGCAAGTCTAAGAACTACTGGAAGGAGGTACCCAGCACAGTAGATGGTATGTTAGGAGGCTACGGATCTCTAACACACTCAGATCTGTGTAGCTCTGCTATGTTTCTAGCTAAACTCTACACCGGCCTGAACACAGAGCGAGCATTAGATTGTGGAGCTGGTATTGGCAGGGTCACTAAAGGTTTGCTGCTCAACATATTTGATAAGGTTGAGATGATAGACACGTGTCAGGAGCATTTGGACAGTGCGCGAGAGTATCTTGGGGAGGATATGTTTGCACGTGTACCTGCGCAGCATTGCTGCGGGCTAGAGGACTTCCATCCTGAGCCCAACACTTACGATTTGGTGTGGGTACAGTGGGTCATTATTTATCTTTCAGACTATGATTTTATAGAACTGCTTGCTAGGTTTAAGAAATCTCTCAAGAAAGATGGGTATATTGTTGTGAAAGATAACGTTACTAAGAACGGTTGTGAACTAGATGATAATGACAGTAGTGTTACTAGATCTGACTATCAGTTAAAACAGATTTTCAAACGAGCTGGTCTTGAAATTGTCGTGGATTCTTTTCAGAAAAACTTCCCTCGAGAGTTATTTAAAGTTAAGTACTATGCAATGAGGTAGCACATTTTCAGGCGTTACTATTCTGCAATTATGTTTGTTCCCTTTCTTCAGCGTGAAAGGGACTAAGGTAGCGCATTTCCCGGATTTCTCACTTCTGTATTTTTGTTTAGTATATTTCTTCAGGCAGCGTGTATAAAACATTTTAATGACCTAATATGGGCACGCAATAATTTGTTTATTTATCTATTTCAGCATATGTTTCGTAACAAGAATGGTGTACCAATTATTTATTTATTATCGTTCTATAGATTTTGAATGTGATTGAATCTCTCCAAAAGTTGATCTTTGACATATATAAATAACTTTAATTAATAATATACAGTTGTAAAAATGCCTTTTAAACGAATTATCTTATACAGCAATGTAAAAGAACCATTAAAAGCGGATAGTTACACTTAAACGATGTCGTTCTTATTCGGGCGTAAGAAATCGCCTGAGGAGATGCTCAAAGCGAATCAGAGAGCACTAAACAGGGCTATCAGGTAATTGACCAATCAATTAGGTTATTTAATCAATTAGGTTAATTAGTCAAATCAATTAGGTTGTCTCTTATATTCTTCGCATGTTCACTGTTGTTAACATAGAATTACTCGTGTGAACATTCACAGACATGCAAAACTAAAATATGTTTAAGTTGTTACTTGTAACTGACGTTACTAATTGTGCGACTTAAACCTTACATAAACCTTAATACCGCGCATACCTATATTTATTTCGTTGGACTAGGTTGACCCAAACTCATATGAAATCTTTTAACGATTACCTTTATATTTCAGAGATCTTGATAAAGAGAAAATGAAACTTGAGCGCCAAGAGAAGCAGATCATCAACGATATCAAGAAAATGGCAAAACAGGGGGAGATGTCTGCAGTTAAAGTTATGGCAAAAGATTTGGTCAGAACCAGGCGGTATGTCAAGAAATTCATCATGATGAAAGCAAACATTCAGGCTGTTTCACTGAAAATAACTACCCTGAAGTCACAAGGAGCCATGGCGAATTCCATGAAAGGAGTTACAAATGCCATGGGCGCAATGAACAAACAGATGAACATGCCTCAGATGCAGAAAATCATGATGGACTTTGAGAAAGAGGTATGTCAAAATATGGTATCCAGATTTATGATACCTCCGCATGTTCACTGTTGTTAACATGGAATTACTCGTGTGAACATTCACAGACATGCAAAACTAAAATATGTTTGAGTTGTTACTTGTAGCTAACGTTACTAATTGTGCAACTTTAACTGAACATGAATATCGGACAAATAATTTGAGCAGATGTTTTCATTTGTAAAGATTTTGTAATAAATATAATTTCAGGCCGATACGATGGACATGAAAGAAGAGATGATGAATGATGTTATGGATGATGTTATGGGTGCAGAAGAAGACGAAGAAGAGAGGTACAATTTTGTAACTGCTTTGAATTGGTCCAAATTTTGGCACTGCCCTAGCCTGGAAAAGCAAACGCGTATATTATGTTAACGTCGATGGAAAAAGTACTGTCACATATTTTTGTGTCGATAGTGTAAGGCGCCTTGCGCTGTATTCTAACAAATGACCACATCTCGACAACTCAGCCATCAAAATTTTGCGCGCAATACGCCGCGCACAGTACAGCCAGCTAGCCAGCCGGTATAAACTAATGCCTTTCATTGCTTTATAATAGCTAGGGACGTGACCGGCATATCAAGTTAAAATGAATATATCGTATTATATCAATCAGAACTACTACAGTTATGTAATTTCGATTGCTAGCTATACTTGCGAATTTTCCGAAACAAAAGACATAACTGAGCACATTATTTCAGTGACCAGCTAGTGAACCAAGTTCTTGATGAATTGGGACTCAGTCTTGGAGAAGAGGTTTGTTTGTTTGTCCAACCTAAATTACTGAGCGATAATTCTACGACCCTGCTCACGGATATCATCCTTCTTATTTTACACCAATTGGGGGTTCCCTAATATTCCTCGCATGTTCACTGTTGTTAACATGAAATAACTCTTGTGAACATTCACAGACATGCTAAACCAAAATATGTTTGACTTGTTATTTGTAACTAAAGTTACTAATTTTCCAACTTAAACTTACAATAACCTCCATTTTGTTGTGTAGTTCCAATAAAATCAGGTAGCCAGTTGTCTTAACAAAATATCACCTAACGCTCCTTTTCAGTTGGGGGCTGTGCCATTGGCCACTGGATCTCTGGCGGGAGGTAAAGAGAAAGCCAGTGCTAAACAGAACGCAGATGACGAACTCCAGGCCAGGTTAGAAACAATTTTTAGCTAATTTTATTTTTTCGTTGATGGTTCGTAAACATGTTGTGGATGATTTGTTTTCTTAATTGGGGTCGTTCACATATTACGTAATCAGCCGAGGGGGGAGGGGGGTTTCCAAATGCTTACGGTTGATTACGGGGGGGGGGGGAGGGGGTTTCGGTCGTTGATTACGTAATCAAAATTTTCTTTTTTACCCTCTAGAATAATAACAATTTGACAATATTCTAATTCTAATTACACTCAATTTCACTCTGATAGTGATAAAATTTAGAAATTGATCGAATAATATCCGGCTATAATATTAATAGTAAGTAGTATAGTTTAGAAGGTGCTTGGCCGGATATCATAACAATGATTTCTGCTCATCATGATAGCATGATCAAGGTAGCATGAAACGTAGAGAAAAGTGTTTTCTAGGACAAAAATTCAAGGGGGGGGGGGGGGGTCAGGCCATGATTACGTAATATTGCTGTCAGGAGAGGGGGGGTTAGGTCTTGATTACGGTTGATTACGGAAGGGGGGAGGGGGGTAAAAATTGCTCAAATATTCATTACGTAATATGTGAACGACCCCTTTTCAAACTACGAGAAGCTCACCTCATTTCAATTTACAGATTGGACAACTTGAGACGAGACTAGAGTGTTCTCTCAACCCCTGTCATCCCCAACATTCTCCAATGTTATTTCTTACGCTCCACGGGACTTATAGACCCTTTTGGTTAAATCTAACGAGCAGTTGTGGTTTGTAATTTGTAAATTCTTTATATTAACCTTGGTATGTTATTCAATGATTGATTTTTATCAGACAGTTTAAAGTGAGACTGAAAAAATATTGTATGTAGTTTATTTTGACCACTGGTCAGTAAATCGAAATGTAACTATTAGTGTTGTGTTATTTTAAATTCAACGTGGCATTTTTGCGTGGTGAACTTGTATTTTAGCGCTTTTCTGGTAGTTTTTACGATTGATTTTAAGATTATGTGCCGCTTACGATAAGTCTGTATGTACTATGTAATTTGTTTTATCAGACTTTAAGGGCATGTTTATGAGTCACTTGTGTGTGTGTTATTAACTTCGACTCTGGCCGCCATAATGAACCATCAATTTATTGCTGAGTTTGGGCTCCTCTGCCGTATGAAATTTCGAAATTTGAAAGCCCTACGAATCATGCGCACAACCGAAAAGTTGAACTTTAGCATACAAGATGTTTAATTTCAGACTCTTCACAGCCCTCCTTAAATTTCGTTTACGTTTTCTTTCAATTACGAAATTCTTTGTTTAAATATGTACGATGTAAATAGTTAAATTCAATTAATGATAATTCCGAATAATTTGTTTTATTTCTGACAACCAAGGTAAATGAATAGCACCTCGCTTAACACTCGATCCTAATTCTTCCTGTGGTGTGTGGTGTGGTTACTTTCAAACATCTATAGCTTAGAGTGATGATTAATCACTACTGTCACGTGACCTCCTTTAGCAAGTTCTCTAGGTAGCCCCGAGTGACTATTCAAAACCTTTGCTCTGACCCCAATCCCAACCAGAGCATGTGCCGAAACCCTAACCCGTGCGAGAAATTAGACCAACTGCTTATTTATTCAAGTCACGAGATCGAGACATTTATCTCTCCAGGGGAGCATTTTAACTGCCACTCCTTCTGTAATCAATGAAACTTTCCGAAATCCTAAGTTTGACCCATATCTATATTCTCTGAAATGTTAGTGAAATTCTGACACGAATTAAACGTTATTAAGGGAACATCCGCCAAAATCGCAGATTTTCAGACCACCTGTCCGGATGTGTCCAAATTTTGAAAACCTCTCCCGGATTTCCAGCTACCTTTAAGAGTACAAATAAAACCAACTCAAATTCAATGTTGATAAAATGTGTACTGTGTACACTTTAAAATAGACAATAATACATTTACTTATAGTGTCGAACAAGTTTAGCAGAGTTACACACATTTAAGTACTCGTTCAAAATACAGGGATCTAAACTTACCGAATAATTATAGTGTCAAAGAGTTGATATGAAATAAAGGGGATATTTTCGCTTCGTTAATTCTGTCAAAATTTCCGGATTTCGGAAACCACCCCCTGTCCGGATTTGTCCGAAATTCCAAAACCACCCCCCATTTATTGATACTAGCAGGAACCTGTCTAATCCTAAAATGGTGTCAAGACTCTATAGAGACTAATTTTAAAAAGGTTGCCGGAGAAATCAGAGTGAATGGTGCAGGATGGTATTAAAAGTGACATCAGTCAAAATGATACGCTTAAATGCCAGCTGGGTTTGAAAAAGTAGAATGAGACGAGACAACATTTACATATGAGTTTTCTTTATGTCACCCCGGTCTGATCTAGCTATTCCGGCGCGGCACAATTAAGCGTTTGGTGTGGTTTGCGAAATTGAAAATCGTTAATCGTGGCCTGGTGAGGTGTTGGCTGTCGAACTTAACGGATGTTACTCGTCTAAATTTCTTCGAAGTAGCGCGCGCCGGGCCAATACACAATAACAATGGTCAACTGTCGAACATGTCGTTGACGGAGAAGTAGTATGTAGTAGTCCTGGAAATATTGACCTCTTATTTTATATTTGGGCAATAGCCGGACACTGTCCAAGGAAGTGTGATACAGTTTCCTCTTCGTCTCCGCATGCATACTCATAGGACAAGCAGTAAGCACTGGTGCTTGATTTGCAAACTGTGTGAAGGTGTTTGTTTAACTTTAAGCCGCAGTGATCCGTGATGAGGTAAACTGCAGTGTTATCCTCACATTTCATTTCCTGTTTATATTTAATTTTCCTGTTTACATTTCCCGTTGTACAGTTCTCATAATAATTGATTAGAAGTTATCAGGATCCCATTGAGTCTTGAGTTGATTCACGATGTCAATCCTTCGCATCTCGCCAATCTGCATACTCTGTGGTTGCGAGAAGAATTATTTAATGCGCGGCGCAACCCAGTAGTGCATCGCGCTACAAAGTCTTGAGTGCCGAAACGTCCATTATTTGTATCTAGTTGTCACCAGTTATTATTTGCCTTATTTCACCTTGTCTCCCTCTCCCTCTCCCTCTCCCTCTCCCTCTCCCTCTCCCTCTCCCTCTCCCTCTCCCTCTCCCTCTCCCTCTCCCTCTCCCTCTCCCTCTCCCTCTCCCTCTCCCTCTCCCTCTCCCTCTCCCTCTCCCTCTCCCTCTCCCTCTCCCTCTCCCTCTCCCTCTCCCTCTCCCTCTCCCTCTCCCTCTCCCTCTCCCTCTCCCTCTCCCTCTCCCTCTCCCTCTCCCTCTCCCTCTCCCTCTCCCTCTCCCTCTCCCTCTCTTTCCCTCTCCCTCTGTTGTTGACCATTGTCATACGTTGTATGACCCGCCGCGCACGAGTGCGCGGCTCCCCCTGTATCGTCAGGACGATAAAGACCATAGTGAAACGACCGTGGGGGTCGCAACGTGATACAAGTTGACCATGCACTGCGATACCTGCCACACTTGCTCACAATTAAGTCTAAGTGCGCCAGCCCATTACCTGTAGTTGTACTGGGGACTTCAAGTTGAGGCTTTTTCTGTTCATAAATCACCCAGGCCCAAATTGGACATACAAATTGAAATAGGATTAGATTAAAACGCTTCCTTATTAGGAGTTCGAAAAACTGTTTCGATCACGTGACATACCTTAGTTCGTTTAATTATGGCGGGTTTTTTGGATATATAAATTCGGCCATGGCCATATTTTAACTCGCCATTATTTTTACCCGCCATAATAAAAACCCGCGAGTCAACTTTTGAATTTCTGACAGCAGACAGGGTACATCAATGACAATATGTCATAATAAATTTTATTCTGAAACTAATATTGCAGGTAAATAAGTGGCGGGTTAAATTTGGCGGATTTTCGGAAAATCCGCCATATTTTTACCTGTCATTATTTTTATCCGCCACAATATTACCCGCCATAAATAGACGAACTAAGGTAACCATATGTTATATAACTATTAAAGGAAGTAGGTCAAATTTCGCGCCAGGTTATGGGTTAGAGTTTTAGCAAATGTGAAATGCCCAATTTAGGGATTACAATCAGTACAGAGGGTTATGGTTTTGAATTGTTTGTCAGAGCTTTATAGATAGAGAACGCGAACGTGTTAAACTTAATGATGTGGCAGTCCAGTGTAGATTGATTTATCAACAACTCTGAACCCTAGTAGTAGTATGGTATAACCAAATAAAACGCAACCTATCACACGATTGTAAACTTAATTTTAGAAGTTATATGTTATAGCATATAGAAAACCAAAACAATTTCATTCTTCAGGTTTAGAATGGCTTCCTTCAACAACTGGTAACTTTAGAACACAAGATGCTAACGTCCACGATGGGAAATAAGAATCTCACATTTCTGTGTTCTTGAAATTTAGAAATGGGTTCATTATTCATGTAATACATGCAATGAAAATGTAAGCATAATGAAATACAATGCAGCATCAGGCAAATTAAAATGTTCGGTGAGAAATGGATGATTAACAAATATAATTACCAATACCAATTGTGAATTGATAATAGGAAATATAAGAAAATTATTAAAAAACAATTAAAACATAACATTACAAATCCTAATTTAAATAACATATTCGTTAAAATAAATCCAGATTCTAATTTACCGTTGTCTAATCTATTCATTAAAACTTGCATTCAACTTTCATGAAGTGCTGATTATTCAACAAGTCCTGCAGCCAAAATAATGATAGTCGTTTTAAAAATCAATTAGAATACATCCCTAATAATGGATTATATGTCGCCTCCCCTTCATAACAATACGAACGTTAACATATATCAAACAAGGAGTCCGGGCTAAAAGTAGAAATAAACTTTCTTCGCCCAGGTCTTACTCTTAATATAACTTTTAACATATTCGACTCAAATTTCACAAAAAATGATAACTTAATTTCCATTAGAGGATTTGATGGAAAGTTCTACTGCTGCTTACAGTCATCTTCACTGGACTTCGGTTTTTTGAGAGCGATCTTTCTCTGGGGTTGGCCTGGGGAGAGAGGCCTTTTGTTCTGAGCTTCCTCGGAGGGGTTCACCTGAAAAATATTTCAAATCAACAATGGATCATGATGGCATGTTTTGTACTAAATTTCGAGAAACCTTTCTGAAGTTGGCAAATAATTTGAAGGTGATAAATTTAATAGAATAGTATAAAACGTACGTAAAAATGACTGCAAGTGATAAATACCTGATGTCCGGGAGCGGAATTCTCAAGGTCAGGTGACACAACAACAGCAGTGGCTTTATTCTCATCACTCGCGTCCCTCTGTCTACCCACATTCCGGTCTACCCCCGCACTGGCCGCACCATCTGGTGGTGGTCGGGGCACATACCGCGGAGAATTGGGGTCGATCTTACGACGCTTGTCGCACACTTGACAAACCAAGCCCACGTCCTTGTACGTGTTCTTTATCCTGTTCAAGTAGTTTGTGTGGTCTGTCTCCAACCCCTTCATGAACTCCTCTAATGTGGTTGGGTTGTAGGTTTTTGGGTTCACTTTGGCAACAGTTTCCACGTACTTTCTTCGGATTATCTCCTTCTCCAGTGACTCTTTGAGGCTTTGGAAGTTTGTGTCGAGCTGATTGTATTTGCTTTCGATGGTATCTGCTTCGTTACACATTGCCTGATGCTTGTTGTACATATCTAAATATTCCTTGTCGTCCTTGATCTGATGGAAAGGAAGGTATAAAGCTGCCTCAAAACAAAGTAAAGACTACAGTAGAGATAGTTGTAAAATTCTAGTTGTAAAATTACTATAATAAAGATAAAACGGTCAATTTGATAGGATAACACCGCGTCTATGTCAAATGTTCAAGTTATCACTAGGTAATAATTTATACCAGTAAATTTAAATTATAGACGAAATGTGATTACATAACGACATTGAACGGAGCAATATTTTATACTTACTCTTTTCGCTTCCAACTTGAGACACCTTTCAGACTCAGTTTTAAGTCTGGCAGTCAAGCTGTCCTTGTTCTCAGTAAGATTCACAACTTCTTGGTTTAAGTTGGAGAGATTTGCAGAGAACTCTTTAACTTGCAGTGCAAAGTGGTTCCTATCTGACGTCAGAGTGGAGATCTGAGTGCTGAGCTCCCGCTCGTGATCAACCATCTCTTGTTTCAATTGTTCTGTTTCTGTCCTAAACCGTTCAGAGAGTTCGTTGTACTTCTCTGTCAACTGTTGATATTTAGCTTTTTCTGTATTGATGGTAGACTCGTGATAGTGTTGATATTCACTGAGGTCTTTCTCAGCTTCAGCCTTTGCGGCATCAGCGAGCTTATTCTTGTATTGGAGCGATTCGAAATCAGACTTCAGCTGGATGTAACTACTTTTCATCATCTCATACTCAAGAATACTTTTCTGCAGTTCTTCCATCTGGTCCTCAAGAAGTTTCCGTCTGCTTGAAAAAGCATCTTTACTAGACCTGAGTTCTTTTATCTGCTCTTCAGATTTTCGGAGGCTTTCTGACTTCACTTCAAGAAGTCGCTTCACCTCTGCCAATTCTTTGCTAACTGAGTGGTACTCTCCCATGAAAGATGTTTTGTCCTCCAAATCATTCGAGACTGAAGACAACTTTGACGACAGCTCTGCCTCTTTTTCAACCTGCTCCTGAAGCTGGGACTTCAAATCAGAGATGGTCTGAACTTGACAATCCCGTTCTCCTGTAATGGACTGGATTTTAGATTTTAGATTGGCTGCCTCGTCAGACAGAACTTTATTCTTCTCATTTTCCTCGGATAAGCCTTGGATAAGAGTGAGGATCTCATCTTTCATGGTTTGCATCTCTTCAGTTTTTAGATCGTATTGTGCTTTTAAATCAGTCAAAGGCTCCAACTGTAAGTTTAGATTTGAAGTCTGTTGCAAGTAACCATCGCGCTCTTCGGTGAGGGACAAAACTTCAGCTTCTAACTGAGACATCTGAGCACTCATCTGTGAGATAATCTTCTGCAGTTCCTGTTTTTCTTCTTCAGTCTTCTCTATGTGTCCTACACATTCCTGCAGTTCTACAAGCTTCTCTGCGATATCCCTGTCTCGAACCTTCAGTTCCTCTTCTAGCTGGAATAGAGCCTGCTGTTCTTCTTCCTTTCCTTTCATCGCCCTTTCTTTTCTTTGCAAAGAAGTCATCAACTCATCGCAATCTGACCTCAAAGCGTTCTTGGCTCGTAGTTCCTCAGCAACCCTGCAGTTCAAGTCAGTGTTCTTCTTTTCCAAATCAGCTAGCTTTTCTTCGTACTCCGTCTGCATACGTAAGAGTTCGGTATTCTTTACGTTCAGTTGATTTTCGAAGTGTACTAGGCAGACATTTTTCTCTTCCAGTCGTATTCCGATTTCTTTGATTTCTGTGACATGACAATTTAGCTGCTCTTTCAAGAAGCAAATATCTTCTTCGAGGATGGCCTTTTCTTCTAGTAAAGCAAATTCGTCGACTTCATTAGCCTGAAGAGAATTTATCATGTCTGAATGTCTCTTCAGTTCATTTTTCAGTTCCAAGCTCTCTGAAGATTTTGAATCCAAGAGTACTTCAAGTGATTTCACCTTAGTCTCTAGAGAACTAATCTCTGCTATTCTGTTATTAAGCTGCTCTTGCATGGCATCAAGGTTGGTTGTGTCTCCGCCGTTTTCCAATATCACTGAGAGAGAATGTTTGCTTTGATTCAAATTACTCTCCACCTCACTTTGAGCTTCTTTGGAAGCAGCTAACAACTCTTCTGTTTCATATAACTTAGATTTTACGGTATTTAGCTCACTTTCTTTCTCCTCAATCAGTTCGGAAAATTCAGACATACAAGTCTTGACAATTGATATTTCTTTCTTCGACTGAACAAGTTTTGTCTCCATTTCCTCTAGCATTTGCTGATAATCTGCTAGACTCTGTTCAGCCTCTTTAGCCCTGACAGAAACTGTTTCTAATTCTACCTTTAACTGATCCCTTTCCTTAGCGGAATCAGAGAAGGAGGTATCTGTCTCTCCCAACTTAGATTTTACAGCATCTAGCTCACTATCTTTCTCCTCGATCAGTTCAGTTAGTTCAGCCATACAGGATTTACCGATTGAGACTTCTTTCTCCGACTGAACAAGTTTTGTCTCCATTTCCTGTAGCCTTTTCTGGAGTTCTGCTTTCCTCTGATCAGCTTCCCTAGCCTCGAGTGAAATAGTTTCTAAAGCACTGTTCAATCGGTCTTTTTCTTCAGTGGCATCAAGGAGGGACGTTTCAGTGGAGGATTGTTTTTCAGTCATTTCCAAAATCCTTTGATTTAGTCTAGCTAACTCCTCTGTTAGAACTTTTATTTGTTGCTCTAGCTCTAAAATTTCTTTCCGGTTTTCTTCAGAATCTTTTAGGATTGAACTAGTCGAATTCGCCAAACTTTCTGAAAGGTCAGCACTTTTAATGACAAGTTTTGATTTTTCCTCTGTGAGATTAGAGATAACAGTTGCCATGTTAGTGATTTCATCTTGTGCAGATAACAGTTGACCGTTAAGCTCCTTGACATTGTTTTCATGTTCACTAACAGTGATTTCGAATGTGTGATTAAAACTTTCAATCTGTTGCTTCAAAGTTTGTATTTCAGACTGCTGTTCTAGCGACGAGGCGAGGGTCGCATGAGCAACATCAGATGAGACAAGACTCTCCTGACCAAGCTTTAAATTTTGCTCTGTCCAGTTTTCAACGGCCGCTGTAAGTCGAGTAACCTCATTATTTGCAAAAGCTAACAGATCGTTTTTCTCCTTGAACTGTGCAGTATAATGCTCAGACATCTTAACGTTCTCTTCTGAAACGATATCTAAACGCTCAGCGAGACTTGCTTTAGATGCGCTCAAACCTTCGTTGGACTGAGTGAGCAGTTGAACTTGTTCAGAAAGTCTAGCACTGTTTTCTAGAAGATCAGAAACCTGCTGTTTCAAGTTGCATATTTGTTCTAAATCAGATGAAGGAGATTCGATCATCGGATTAGGATTATCTGCCGTTTCCTTTTCTCGTAACTTTTCATTTTCAGTGGTAAGCTCAGAGATTCTGCTGCACAGAACTGAGCTTTCTTCGAGCAAACGTTTATTTTGCCCGGTTAAGTCGGAAATTTCCGCTTGCAAGGACTCAAACTTGGTTGCATTATGGATATCATTCGACGTATCACCTATAGTCACAACGTTACCCTCATTTGACTTTGAGATGTCTTCCAACACCAATTTTTCCTTCTCCAGTTTCAAAATGGTTTGAGCAAGCTGAGAGTTTTGATTGGAAAGGTCACAATTCCGCTTAGCCATACAATTTTTATCGTTTCCAAGTTTTTCAATCTGAAGTCCTGCATCAACAGATGACAACTGAAGGTGCATCAATTTATCCTCTGCGTCATTTAGTTCTGTGCTCTTCTGCTCAACATCGTTTACTAACTGACTGATCCGTTCGTTTGAATCTTGTCGGCTACGTTCAAAATCTTCCTGACTAGAAAAGGTCTTCTCTAGTTGAGATCTCAAGTCTCCAATCATTTTATCCCTCTGTTCCAGCATTTCTCTCATCTCGCCTTCGAACTTTTCAGTTTTCTTAAGATCTGCGATCTTTTTATCGTTTCCAAGTTGTTCAATCTGAAGTCCTGCATCAACAGATGCCAACTGAAGGTGAATCACTCTATCTTCTGCGTCATTTAGTTCTGTGCTCTTCTGCTCAACATCGTTTACTAACTGACTGATCCGTTCGTTTGAATCTTGTCGGCTACGTTCAAAATCTTCCTGACTAGAAAAGGTCTTCTCTAGTTGAGATCTCAAGTTTGCAATCATTTTATCCCTCTGTTCCAGCATTTCTATCATCTCAACGTCAACCTCTTTATTTTTCTTTAGGTCAGCGATCTCGCTTTCCTTCACACATAACTGTTGCTTGAGCTGTTCTAAATCTGAAATAGATTCCATTGGGCAAGCTTCCATTTCATACTGTCTTTCAATTCTAGCAGTCTCAAGAGTTTCATCAGTGTGCTGAAGTTTCAACAGAAGTGTTGAATGATCTCGCTTTAACTTCTCCAATTCTGTGCACAGTTCCAATCTACCGGTGTTTGAATCCTCTAGAGCTGTCTTCAAATCTGTTATCTCCTGTTGAGCGGCAATCTCCACAAGCTCCGTCTGCTCCTGGATTAGCCGTTGCATCTGAGAGAATTCAGTGTTCTTCTGGGCTGCTGCCTCTTCAAGGGATCTTATCTCCTCTTCTAGTTGAGATATCTTATCTTCGAACCCAGATAGTGACTGCTGGGTTGATTCTTGCCCTCGTTTAGCTTCTTCTTCGTACTTTTTCTGGAGGGCGGACAGCTTTTCTTCTGTTTCCAAGGCATAGCCCCTAAGTAAGGATTCGAGGCGAGCTATTTCTACGCTCTTAGAGTCTACTTCAGCTTTAAGTTTCACCACTGCTTCCGGGTTAAAGCCTATCGGTAATTGGTCAGATTTCCTTTTCTTTCCCTGAAATAAAATTAAACGATGAGAAGATGCATTATCAGTTACACTTAATTAACACGGTATTCAGTATGAACAAAGAGCGGGAACTTTTTTAAGGTGATTTGATTGGATCAGAAGTGATAGATATCACATATCAGAACTCATGTAAAAAACCATTGTAAAAGTGTAAGTAATGTAAACGGTCCAGACGCACGAATTCTGAAACAGCTAGAAATAAAGGTCTACTACTATAAGTTTAAACTATTAACACTTACAGGACTAGACACCAAGTTGTTCTCTGACGCTAGTCTAGATATCTGACTCTCCAGATCCAGTCTTTGTTCCTCTGCCTCGTTCAGTATCAGGACGTTCCTCTCTTCAACTTGTCTGATCTTAATTCTGTTGTCTTCTAACTCGTTTAGCAGATCTTGTCGTTCTTCTCCTGGTTAGATGATGTGATGTTCAAGAAAAAGGATATATTCTAAAATGGCCAGAATCTGGCTTACGTAGTATGTGAACGATTCCTAAAGGACGTAGACAATTTCTTTCGATTCTAAAATTTTTGCGGATCAACAATGTTTAAAAATATGAAACAATTTAAGAAGTGTACAGTATGAAGTGTTTCTAGAGGTACCTGCAGCAATGAGGATAGTCTCTAACTCCTGAATTTTGTTTTTCTGATGTTGTCCCAAATTCTCAGAGTCCTCAACTTGACAACAAAACTGGTCAATCTGCTCCTGTTGCTCGTCAATATGGTCCTGCATCCGATCTCCCATCTCCGTACACATTTCTTCGAGCTCTTTTAGATCAGTCTGGGGAGTGGGCAATCATTTAGTTCAGTACTTGAATTGCTTGTTAGAGATGCTTATAAGGATTTAATCTTTTGCACTGTATACTCCATGGACTGTATACTCCATGGACTGTAGCTGTATACTCCATTGATGTATGCTTCATTTGTAAATTTTAATATTTTCGTTCTTATTACTAAAAATAAAAGGTGAGGTAGAAATCTTAAATTCAGTGAGTTTAAGAACTGACCTTAAGTTTGCCGTTTTTAGCTTGCTCACGCTCGAGTGAAGACTTCAGCTGAGAGTTTTCACGTTCCATAGATTCACGTTCATCAACACAGGAGTCACGTGACTCACGATCTGACACCATGGCGGGTAAGGTGAACAACTTCTTAGCACAACCATCCTTATCACCTGTACAACGTGATGCAATAATGTGAGCAAAAGAAGCTTAAATATGTGTGCGCTGGAATTTAGGATCCCCTTATTGTTCGAAGACCAAGATTGACGGTTCTCAAAAAACATTTCTCATATAATCGGTATAATCTCCCAACTTCAAGTTCTATATTTTCCATCGATAAGAATACTTCTTATTGGGGAAGAAATCACATTGGAAAACTTTTTTTTATAAATATCTTACTCTCGTTAGTGAGGCGACTTTTGATGAAAGTGTTGCGAGGGGAGGGGACAAGGCCCTGAGGACCGTGGAAAAATGTCTCTCTTCTTCGCGCTTTCTGAAAGAAAAAAGGAGTAAATTGAAGAGAACTTTAGAACTAGCAAATAGTTATATGCAACGAGTTTGGACTTAGGTATTTCCAGCGTGAATTCCTAATCCAACGACAACTTACATTGGGTTTCCGATCAAACGTAGGTAATCATAATTTGAGAGTGACAAACGAAAATAAAATTTAAGAAATAAAAACCGAAAGAAGAGAACCATTACAAACTGACCGATGGTGAGGCACCCGGAGGGAGAACAGCCCGGATCGAGCCAACAAGTTGTCCTCTCAGTGCCATTATCTCATTGTCCCGCAGCTTCACATGTGACTCCAGCTGGTTCTTCTCTTCTAACTCTCGCTCCAGTTTCCTGGTTACAAAACAAGTCGTTCAATTTTGAAAATTTTTAGGGAAAATAGCGAACAAATTATCCTTTCAAAACGTGTATGGTAAAAATAACATTTTTTCAATATCAATTAACAGCATTAGTCATCAGTGTTTACCTAATACGTTTTTCGTATTTTGAGATGATCGCTTTGTCGTTCATTACTTCATTTATGATAGGTTTGTTCTTCATCATCTTAGCGCTCTTTGCAAACTGAAATGAACGCAGATGTAATCACCATAACAACCCATAACATGTACCATAGTGACCAATGATAGCATTCTAGCACACTTAAAATATATTTTTGTAATCAATAATAGTTAGATAGTTGTGACAAAACTTTATGTTTTTAAGAAAATCAAATCGGACCTCTAAACCTAAAGTCGTAAGAAGTTCCCCTTACCCTAAGTGTAGAATGAGACTCTTCGATAGCGGCCGGGGTCATGGTACATATCACACACGTTTTAGCGTTTCCTCCAAGTGACGATTGTAAGATTCGGGTTAGCTTCGACTCTCTAAACGGGATCACACTGAAAGAGAATAATAAAGGGTAATTCTCGGCATTCTTTCCGTTCTCTGCTCCGCTTTTCTCAGATGGTCCAGAAACTCATGTCCAGGTTCTCAGTCGTATTAAAATATACGGTTATTGGTTAACCTAATAACAATTTGGATGTGAAATAAAGGTTGAACTTACTTGACATTGGGATCAGAGAGCTTGGCGATAACTTTGCTCAGAACCATCAAACTGGTGTTTATGTGACCGCCCTCTTTCAGACGAATTCCTTCTGCCCCTGAAATTTATAGGCACATCAGCAAATATGTAGCCATACCGTTATAATGTAAAGCTATATTTTTAGGATAAAGCGCTTATTTACCAAAGTAAAAACTATCATATGACTCAATATCTGAAGGTGACACATACCAGTAGACTTGGCTCGCTCACTGCCCGCCAGATCTACCAAGTTGAGCTGACTAACTCGCACGCAGCGAGCTTGTCCCTCTGTCTCTGCCTCACTTCCCTTCTCTGTACTTTCTATTACCTGGATAACGTCTTAGTTTAATGATAAATATAATTCCCAGAATTGCAGGAGATGAATTAAATGCTTTTATATATTTGCTATATTTTATTATTAATCAACTGTATACTATAGATTTTGTAATTGATTGGCTGATGATATTAATTATTGAACCTACCAATCTAAAGATGGTGTGAGATCTGCTACTTCGCTCGTTCATGTTCGTAGCAGCAAAGTGTCGGGACACTGAAAAATTAGAATTTTATGAACCCTGATCAGTGGTCAACTACCTTTCAACGTTCAAGCGATATAGAACAGTAGCTACAATAATTGAAATGAAAAGTAAGACTCACGCTCTCCAGCATCAAGGTAGCTGTAGATATCCTCCTCACATGTCACCAACACCTCTCCTAAGTCCTTCACATACACTTCACCTCTGATGTTCTCTCTTACTCTCAGTTTCTGGAAAAGACAGGAATTTCAGACAGGAATACGATGTTAGTAGGAGTCAGGAGATACACTTTGTAAATACATATCATATCAAAACGGCAAAAACGATGTTTCCCTTTCTTGAACAACGTGAACACAAAACCCTATATTTGTGGACTTACCTGATTTTTGTCGGGATTCAGCAAGTCGGTAATTGTCTCATTGTAGATCTCCATGTAGGATACTCTCAGTAAGAAACTCCTGTCCTCACTGTGCTCCTAAAAGTTCATTAAATTTTACATTTTAATAATCAATCATTTAGTTTCCCCGCAGGAGAAAAGGTCAGAATATTGACGGAATTGAGTACAATTATTTTATTTTTAAATATCAATGAATTTGGCCGATGATTTCAGAGTTTGATTAGAGCACACCACATTTTTTCATCTGACAGTATTTTATCTAGACGTTTTCCCACGAGAAATTTCAGGATGTTTTGTTCAACACAACTTACTGCACAGTATCGGAATATATCCTGAACAGGATGTTTTGTTCAACACAACTTACTGCACAGTATCGGAATATATCCTGAACAGGATGTTTTGTTCAACACAACTTACTGCACAGTATCGAAATATATCCTGAACAGGATGTTTTGTTCAAAACAACTTACTGCACAGTATCGGAATATATCCTGAACGTTTTGTAAAACACAACTTACTGCACAGTATCGAAATATATCCTGAACAGGACGTTTTGTAAAACACAACTTACTGCACAGTATCGGAATATATCCTCTACAGGATGTTTTGTAAAATACAACTTACTGCACAGTATCGGAATATATCCTGAACAGGATGTTTTGTTCAACACAACTTACTGCACAGTATCGGAATATATCCTGAACAGCTCGAGGGATGATTCCCTTATCTTCCTTTCCTCCCATCATGGTGTGCGTCTTGCCGGATGAAGTTTGTCCGTAAGCGAATATCGTGGCTGCAGAAATTGTGATTTAAATCTGGGTATTCAGGAGTATAGCTGAAATTCTGAATATTATAAGGGATGCAATTATTTCACAGTGATGATTTAAAAATAAAATGTTCGGCTTGAAATTCATTATTATTGTTTGACTTACCATTTATGCCTTCCATGGCAGAAATAACGAGATTTCTGGCAAGCTCTTCATAAGTTTCTTCATTAGACACATGTTCTTTCAGGATCTTATCTGAAGAAATTTTTAAAATCAAAATAGTGCGATCTTATTACTATTAAATGATATTCAATTTGAATTCAAAATACTACCTAGGCCTATGTGTACCTTGAATTACAAGATCATACTTTTAACGTCTTACATTGAGTCTTCATTTAACTCTAAGTATAACTTGATGAGAGATAAATTACCGAATGTGTAAGCAGAATCATTCCGGTCTGCTTCCCAGATGGATTGTTCGTGAATATTCCATTTAACTGTTTCACATGCTTTGACTTCTCTATTGATGAGCTTCCTCACTCGTATCGCTACTTGCACTCCACTATTTTCATTGCTCATTGCTTGGGAGATTGAAGCAAGTTGAGAATAAATTATTAAACAGTCTAATAGAATATTTTGATTAAAACACACTTTATGTCCTTTGTTCACACTGCATTTCACGAATGAAATAGAAATCGACAATGAGTAGCAAAATCACACATATTTTATTTATTTTGTAATGAAGCTGCCAAATTTAACAGAAAACCGAATTTTTGACCTTCAATTAATACTGACGAATCATTATCAATATCACGACGATTATATTTAAACAATGAAAATTTAGAAAGAATCTAAACCATTTGCAACTGGATGCAAAAATATCAAACCTGAAAGGGCTCGTTCACATATTACAAGTTCTTAAAAAGCAGGAGATTGAGATATGAAAATACTTACATACTACATAGGAAAAGCGCAAACAATTATTGAATTGAAACGGATTTTGCGTATTATTACACGTGAACAATCCCCAACGGTATCTAGGCCTAATGCCTCATTCCAATAGCTAATAAATCCCTCTTATGGAGCTCAAGTATAATCTGATAGGCGCCTCCTACCGATCGATTAAACTAGAAAGATAACAAACTCCTAAATAGAAAATATCGCGCTCGGAAAAGCATACAAAAGCTGTAAAGGCACCAACACACTATATTATATTCCTAAATAAACAAACTTGCACATTTGGCAGTGAAAGATACCCTCAATAAATAAAGCTCATGTAACGCTTCGCATGCATATTCTATCACATTCACGCCCACTGTCCACATACCATCATTATTTTGGCAGTGAAATTTAGGTTCCAATATTAACAAATCCATCGTCTACCAAAATAAAACGTTTGTGAGATACGAATCGAATATTGCCGCGTAAAGATTCGACTAGAGATTGACAGAAAAATATGATTCGGCGTGCGCGCGTGCCGTTTTAGTTTTACTGAAAGTGGACCGAAATACATTTCCGAGCACTACGACACCAAGCAGATGTTTCCCCAAAGAGTGAATCAGAAATGAAAACATGCTCTCATACCAACCGGCTGGGCCTCATGTCACTAGTATTCGTGAACCCATCGGCTATTTCGAACTACTTCTTTTCAATCTATTTTACAGAATTTCTTACATCGGATTTATCAATTTCTTCTCGTTACGTCACTTCGCCACATTTAATATTACACACTCCCGCCAAGAGTACCGCATTTCACAGAGCCGCTTCAGCAGACTTATCTCCTGCGTCTGTAGTTGGGCTTGGGAGGGGAGAATTGTAGCATTACACAGGGATTGTTCTCCTTCTTTTTACCGCTGCACTCCTTCTTGGCTGGCTGAGCGGCAGGTAACGGCTCTCGTTTCTTAGACCTGGAGTATTTTAATTATTCCACTTCATGTCATATTATTGCTTAAATTAGAGAATGTTTGGTATGCAAACATGCTGCCTATATTGTGACTTTATTCAGCTTTTGAGTTAGACCAATACATGACGAACACCTCACTGCTAATATATCAGTAGCTAGATCAGATGTTGAGATGTAAACCGTCATATTCAGTGACACGTGCCACATCAAGTGACACGTGCAACATCCTCAGTTACAGACAGTGTAATGTAGGCATTAAGTAAGTATATTTAATTGTTCTATATTACTAAAGAACCTCTCACCCTCTAGTTTCTTCTATGCAAATATCTTTGAAGTAAATATTTATGATCACTCGTCGAGTGTTTTACCTATAGTCGAGTTCAAGTCAACTTCATTATGTTCGCGCGTCTTAATCGTAATTATATCCAAGAATGAAAACACATTGGACATTGAATATAACTTGAAATAAATATACATACATATCGAATTTAAATATATTTATGTATAACGTCGTCAAGTACCTCAAAGTAAGTAGTACCGTAAGCAAAAATAGGCACGGACACTGACGGAATTCTAAAATAGTTTCCCAAGCCTTGAGTCAATCTCGGTTACACCAATCATAATATCATTCATGCTATACCATTTTATGAGACTTTATTGAATATATAAGCCACAAAGTTTTGTTTCTGAACCTTTCGGGTATTTTCAGAGTGTCTCTTATAAACTTTAAACACTGGTGACGACATTTGAGACTGTGGAAGGTCCAAAGACTAGGGAAAATGTGACTGTTTGGATGGGCCTCGGTAACCATGGTGTCTTCGGATCCCATTTTTTCGAAAATGAAGATGAGAAGGCAGACACGATAAGGACAGCAAATTATATCGCTATGTTGCATGGGAAAGTTATCCGAGTCCATAAAAGTTTGGGTTGGCTGAGGGAAAATACTGATGTCAGGGAAAGCAGACATTTGGACACGAGTCTTGAAACACCCTGTATTTAAATCTCCTGTTGCTGTAGTGAACTTTGCGATGGCGGATAAGAACATTTTTACTGCGGGTTCTAAAGTCACATGTGGGACATTTGTATGGTTTTATCATGTCGTGTCTTTTCATGTGCATGTCGAAGCTAGATTCCCATTTTGATTTGAAGTGGCAGCGGGAACATTGGTAGGGCTTTTCAACAGTGTGAGTAAGTTGATGGGATTGGAGGTTCCATTTTGCTTTAGACTTGTAGTCACACTTGCGGCAAGAGTACAGTTTTCGATCGTCAACTGGTCGAGATTTTACTTTTTGAGATGGTGGTCGTCGACAATTTACAAAAACAGGACCTTCACTTATAGATCGCACTGGTTGAGGTGGCACTGGTTGAGATTGCACTGGTTGAGATTGCACTGGTTGAGATTGCACTGGTTGAGGTTGCACTGGTTGAGGTTGCACTGGTTGAGATTGCACTGGTTGAGATTGCACTGGTTGAGATAGCGCTAGTAGCCGTTCTTCTGCACTCTCATACATAAAACATTTATACAGCTCTTTGCTTGTTTGGGCTACTGTTTGAGTTTCAAGACAGTTCTTAAGAATTGTTTCATCATTTAGAGAAATTTCTTTGCACAAAGACTTTTCACCCTCTATCTTGCGATTAAACTCAGTTGGGTCGTTGCCATTTTCACAGGCACCATCACTTATAGTAGAGTAATTTTTAGTGTTCCCTTTTAAGTAAGAATCTATGAACAAGTTGACTCGATACTGTGCTGTCCTGGCGATATCCCCCTCACGAAACATTTTATCCTATTACATTAATGATCAGAATCTAAAAGCGGTGAATCGGTTTTAAAGTAACCAGAGCTGAGGCAACATAATATAGGCCCGGTATTCGGTAATAGAAAGAGAGCATAACTTTTTTAAATCAAAGTATATTATCAGATGGCAAGTAATACTAATTCTATCAATAATTGAGAAAAAACAAAAAACTATGAAACTTGGCAAATGAATAACTACTCAAGCTGGATCGCAATCCCTCAACAGATTGAAATAGAGTCACCAAAGTTACACACAGTGTCGCAATGCACAACGAAAAGAGCTGAACTCAGCTGCACTTGATAACAAGCTCTCATCCGGAAAAGGAATGTAAATTTTAAGCAAATGCAACCGCCATAACCCCTTGCAGAATTTCATGAGGTCTGTGTGCTAATTATCAGCTGGTACAACTTGATACATACTACAAAATTAACAAGCGATATAACAAAGTGTGTCATAATAGTGAATTCAGCGTCAAGACGTGGCATTGAATAGTTCAGTGTCAAGTTTTGATGCTGTTACTAATATGACATTATTTCTTCTTTTACGTTGTAATAGAGGAAATAGTTAATGAAATGGTTATATCTATATACTAGTGTAACCCGGCCTTCGGCCGGGTTTTCACTGCCGCAGTTAAAAAGGGTAGGAGTAATTACCCGCTGAGTCAATACCTGCATTAGGTGACCCAATAGTTTCTTAAACAATAATCTCATAATCAGTTATTTGTTGTGGATAATTAAGTCATTATTAGCCATGAGGCACCACATTCCATGATCATAAGGTCTGAACACCGACTATTACACCTCATCACTCCCGTCTTGAACCGCTTTCCATTTTTATTTAAATCGTTATAGAAATTAACCCTTGTTAACTCCGCACCACACCCGCCTATTATATTTGAAAACACGCATAACATTGTCGTATGAACTCTCTCTCTCTCTCTCTCTCTCTCTGCAGTCCAAACAGACCCCAAACACTAACAGTCCCCCTCCCCTAATAAGCTTAAGGTATAACATTACAGCGAATCTTCCGGGCTAATCCAATTATGACGCTACTTAAATGCAGCTATAACATATTATACAGTAATGAGAGAGAGAGAGAGAGAGAGAGAGAGAGAGAGAGCAAGCCCCGTAACTCTTGCCGTTCTTCTCAAGCCATTTTATGTAACATTTGTGGTACAAAACCATCAATTAAACCACTTACCACCGGCCGATTTAAAAAAATTTGCTTATGGGCTTCATCAGAGTTTTGTCGACACTATACCGAAAAACCAGTCCCGTAACTCTTACCGTTTTTTTTGTATAACCGTTCGGAAATTACACACAGACAGACAGACAGACAGACAGACACCAGACACACACACATTCTGGTGTTATTAAGTTGATTAATAGTGGTACAAGATTGGAAATGTTCACAAAATCCATCATGTAACATGTTTCATTAAATTGAAAAAGTTAAAGTAATATTGAAACCTGGTTTTGGGAGAGTTGGGAATCTCAAAAGCAGCACTGGGCTTAGCTGGTTCAGAGTTGAAGTTGTAATTGTGTCTGGTTGAATGGTTGAAAGGTTGACTGTTGGTGATCTTGCCGGAGCCGTCCAGAGCGATAGGTTTCTCACTGTACTGCACTTCTACTGGGTAGGTAGACCTGAAAACGGACGTTTTACATTTTAACCTTGTATCGTTATTAAATGACCAAATTTGGACATGAAATACAGCTCCTGTGGAATAGGGCTGTGATTTTACCATACAAGGATATAAGGATAGACATTGGAGGTGATCAATATCTTCAAACCTCCATAATATATTATAAATTTGGTTTATTCACATAATAACATGGTAAAATTTGCTGAGTGACAGATTTTGATCACGTGTCACAACAAATTTCTTCTCCCGCCACTATCCTGCTATCCACTATGTATTAAAACCATGATTAGACTGAACACAGACCATTTTCAGAGTCATTAGCAAGCCTAATAACTTGTGTGCGTCTGCAATATTAGTTCATCATGGAATGTAAGCCTGGGTAACTTGAGAGAAGTCAAACTATTTGATGAAGGGATGAAATCAATATTCTGTAAATACATCGAATTTTGTTACGGGTTACTTCGCTTTAGTGGAACGTTATTTCAGATTAAATTCTGTTGATCCTTGTTTTTGTCGGACCCTGCTACTGTATTGCATACAGATTTCTCGCTTACTGTAAAGCAGTGGACTTCCTTGTGCCCAGCAAAACAATCTGGAGTCCTTTTTTTCTGCCATTCCTAATATCGGCGAACTAGCATGGGAGCTATATGACATCCTCAAAGTTGCTCTTGTTTCTTTGGTCATTATACGGTAAGCCTTATAGTTAGTTATATTTATGATTTTTCATACGTATAAATCATATGTACTGTTTTGTAACGAGTTTAATTTGTCTCATAAATCACTGCGTACCTTCTTGAGAAGCCTTTTTTAAGTGAGACCAATTCTTGTGGCTCAACAGTAACTTTTTGATAACGATAGCCCATGGCCTGCAAACATGACAGAACTGTTCCCTACTTTTCAGGAGTAACATTGGGTACGAGAACATAGCAGGTAAAGGTGTAGCGACGCAAATAGATAGATTTGGTGTTAACAGTCAGGCATGGAAAGCGATTGACAGTAATAAAGATGGTTATTGGAAAAGCTCTTTTGACAACTCAGTTCAGGTAAAGAAAGAACTGCAATTTAAGGGAATAATGAGGAGTTTTAACGTGTGCAACCAATATTTTAACCCGTAATAATATTTTCTCCTCAAACGAACACTGCGTATCCTCAGAGAACGATAACTGAAGGTCAAGCTGCGTGGTGGAGTTTGAAATTCCCAACATACGTTTTCATACACAGCATAGTTGTATTCAATAGAATGGACTGCTGCCAGGAAAACCTCAACCAAGCCATCGTAACAGTGGACGGTAACACTGTCGGTATAATAAACTACGAGCCTGGAAAACCAGCATATGTATTTGATAAGCTGAACGTGGTAGGACGAGAGATAACAGTGTGGGGAGGAGAGTCAGGTGCTCTACACGTGACCGAGATAGAGGTGTACGGGGCACCACGTGATGTGACCTGTGTAGACTTTCTGGGCAGGTCTCTCAGGGGAGGGGATAGGTATCACCAGGAGGGGAAGATGTGTGAGTGTACTGCTCATGGGATTATCTGCAAGTGTGATGGTGGGCAGGTGGGGGATGTGAGAAAGTGTCCGGAAGGGGAAACCAGCTGGGTAGATCAGGATACCTGCACTGATCTGTGTGTAAAGAATCAGGGCTATTGTACAAGTAGTGGAGACCCCCACTATAAGACATTTGATATGGAGTACTACGACTTTGATGGGAGATGTACTTACCAGGCTGCTAGTTGTGAGGATTTTGTGGTTTACTTTAAGAATGCAGACCTTGAAGTGGATCTAGGCAGGCCAAGGCATGCTATTAGCATTGCTAAACGGATCGAAGTGGTCTTCAAAGGGACAAAGTTTGCTATATCCAATCAGTATCACGCATTTGTTAACGACCAGAAAGTTCAAGTACCATACTACAAATCACACAAGAACGGAGACAGGCTAGAAATAGTAAACCACGGGCAGCTGGAGATAAGGCTGTACCAATACAGCAAAGACAGGATCCCAGCAGTAAGAACCAGAGCCACTAACGCTGGCACCTACATCCAGGCAGAGCTCTGGTTACATGGTTCATGTGCTAATATAACCGAGGGACTCTGCGGCAACTGGAATGGAGACCCTGGTGATGATCTGACTGGAGGATCAGCTAACAGTCTGGGAATGCTTCACGAGAAGTACGACGAGCACTGTCACCCTCCACCACCACCATATCACCCGTGTGATGATGTCATCATGGGATATGAACTAGCTAGCACCTTGTGTGATGTTCTAAAGCTTCCTCCTTTCTCGATGTGTCACTCGAGTGTTCCTATAGGAGATATGGATCAAGGTGTCTATCACAACTGTATGTCAGAGGTCTGTGTCCATCTCTTGGTAGTTAACTCAGCTTGCTCGCAGTATGAAAACTATGTTTCTACATGCTATGAAGCTGGAGTAGATGTATCAGGCTGGCGAGAGGTTGTTAACTATTGCCCGTTTGAGTGCTCAGAAGAGCTAATATACCTAACAAAGGGTCCAACACCAACCCCCACCTGTTTAGACCAGCATCCAGTACCGGAAGGAACTATTGAGGGCTGTTTCTGTCCGGTAGGAAAGTTCTTGCAGGACGGGTTATGTGTGACTAGTGAGGAATGTGAGTGTTTGTACGAAGGAGCATTCTACCAGCCAGGTGATACTGTTCGAGAGGAGGGGGAATGTCAGGAATGTGTTTGCCACACAGCAGGTCAGATAACTTGCACTCCCATCTCCTGCCGTGAGTTGACCTGTGAAGATGAGGAGATACTGGCCAGTAGAGACGACCTGTGCTGTCCGTTCTGTGATAGTTCCTGGGTTGAAGCAGTAGATCCTGTAGAGAGTGTGAGTGTAGGACAGGATCTCAGTATTACTTGTCAGGTTAACACAAGAGGGATCACCCCACAGGATATATCGTGGTATAAGGGAGATGATAAGATAGAAACAGGAGTGTCCACTAGCGGGCTAGTTTTGAGATTATCAGAGGTATCAGCAGCTGATAACGGAACTTACACATGTGCGGTTCAGAAGGGAGAGTCAGTGGGGGAGGCAGTGTTCACGGTAAACGTCCTGGTACCAGAACAAAGCGTTCACATAGACCCACTCAGGACTAAGGTAACCTGCAAGGCAAGGAAAGGAAACTGTGTAGTTGAGTTCAGGGTCTTTAGAGTTGGAGGTGGGAATGTTGATCCGGTAAATGTTTCTATTTGCAAGAAAATGATGGAGGGTGGGTTGGAGGACTGTAAGATAGGATGGGTAAGAAAGGAAGGAGTATTTGCTAGGAGAGTGGGAGAGAAGGGCAGTACTCCGGTAAGTAGTGCTGGTCAGTACGTGTGTGTGGTGATGGACAATGAGCATGAGGTAGTGTCACCAGAGGTCACTGTTAGGGTTAAGCAGAGTTAGCTGTTAGGTGATCAGAATTGAGATGATAAAGTAGTGGTTATCATTAATACAGCCCTTATTATATATTCATTTAACGATTATGCTGAATTTACCTTAAATGTGGCAGCACAGATTGGTTTTCTGAATTTACCTTAAATGTGGCAGCACAGATTGGTTTCGTTTTGACATTTCGTCCATTCTAGAATTGTCAAAGTCTCTGACGTAATTTCTTTTCGGAGTCTGAAATGAACCAATGGTGATGTAATATATATGGTACTGTATAGTCTATAGTTCGTAGATTTTTGTTTGACGCATTCGATCGATTGGTACGTACAGAATCTCATCATTTTAAAAACCTAACTTAGATTACCTAAGTGAACAATATTTTATATATAACGAAAAAGTTTACCAAAAGTCTAGGAATATTAGATGGAGTTTTAGGGGTCCTGTATCGCTTGATGATGACAGGTGTATTGGGGGACGGTGAGGAGTATTCAGGTCGAGCAGCCACTGCTCGGGTCTTCTGCATCTCCAGTTGTCTTTGTAGCTTCTTTATTGCTGACTCCTATATAAGCACTTACTTAAAAACTTGATCAAATGATTTATAATACTTAATATAACGTGCGACGTACATTTCACTGGATGAATAAAGAAAGGTGTCAGACTAGAATCCACGTTAGGTTAGGATTCATCGTACTTGTAATACATAATAATTAGAATCATACCTTGTCAAGGAGATCCTTCTTAGCGACAAACAGTGAATCGTGGAGGTCAGATTTTATTTTGCTAAGTTCTTGTCGGTGCTCGTGTACAATCTCGTCGTACCTGTAAAATGAATTACGTCAGTTAATAAACTTCTGTCTTACAGTGCAGTTAAATCGCAAAAAAACAGCTCAATCGGATCAAAATTAATTTGGTTAATTCAACGATATCATTACAAAAAATCATATCACGACAAATGAATTTAAAACTGACTTGGCTTCGCTTTCGTATTTGAACTTCTGGTACATAGCTTTCCAGGACTCGAGCTGCTCAGCCTTCCTGAAGTGAGACATCTCCAGTTCATGGTACTTGTTGGTCAGTTTGGTGATCTCTTCAACTTGAGACTCTATCTGCTCCTGCATTACTCTCTCCCCAATCTGTAGGTTCTCCACCTATAGAGTGAAAACATAAGGCCAATAACAAGGGTTATTTTTCTGCGAGGGTCGGAGTGAGCACGCTAGGATAAAATGGGTTGATCTATTCAAAAAAAGGTAGTGTATACGTGCTTATGAAAGCTACATAACATTCAACAGACATGGCGATTGAATTGACCAGTCTCTTACATTAGTTTTCAGCTCAGTGTTCTCTGTCTTCAGAGTCTCTAGTTCCTCGTTAGTAGGAGGAGCTTCAGCAGTCATCAGTTCATCAGCTAGAGAAGGTAAAGCTTCGAAACTGGAGTCAGGGATGTTGTTGAGCCTGTTCATTGGTAACAAGCTCTGACGCCGATCTTGCTTTAGGGTCTGTAGTGGGTTATGAGTCAGCTATTAAAGGTTCTAGAAGGTCCTAATAATCAATCCATGGAAAAATTAAGATGTTGAGTCCAGTTAAATTGCAAGTCAAACATCCGTATCGAAAACTCCAGCAATGATAACAAGCCATAAATTACCTCGTTTTCAGCTCGAAGCTGTGCAATAAGAGCAAGGTACGTTTTGTTCTCAACTTGTATTCTACACTTCTCTTGATATTCTTTACGCTGTTCTTGCCTGGGAACACATAATTTGGAAAAATTGTGATTAAAACTGTTATGCTATTTTATGTAGACACAAATATTGCCAGCTAATTTTGGATTGCTCGGCGAACATGTTATTTCAACATTATGATTGTTACAGTTACTCTTTAGTAACCTGGCAAGTTGGTTTTGAGAGTTGAGCCTCTGGGCCTGGGCGAGATCTTCTGTTAGTTTTGCTACTTCATTCTGATTGTCACTCAAAGCGCTCTCCAGTTCAGCTACGTCTTTTACCTGATGTAAAATATGTATTTTTTAACCTTATTAAACGATTTGGAACGGAATCACTGTGTAAAGTTTTAGATTTAAAAGGTGTTTAGTACATAACAGATCAAAGGGAAAGTTGTGTATGCAATGTAAATAGACATTGAATACCGAATTTAAAATAGTTTTTAAAACCTTTAATTTCAGTTTTGAGACGTTCTTCTGAGATTTTTCCAACTGATCCACTAAGTCGGCATTTGCAAGTTTAAAATCGTCCAATTGTAACTTCATAGAGTTCTTCTCCACGATTTGGCTCTGAAAATTAAAATATAGTATAGATTAAATCTTGATAATTTTGATCTCAATCGAAGAAAATGGTTGTTGATTCAGCATTCAGCAAACACTTTCGAACTACCCATCCCATGATACCAATGTTATTTTCTCGCTCACTAAACCTGTAAATGTGTGCTCTCTGTTTTGACACGTGATATTTCTTCAAAGCACTGCTCCAATCTGTCATTCAGCTCCTGTATCTCTGCCTCGTCTGAGATGTGTTGCAGTCGCAGAGCATTGTACTTCTCCTTCCAACTCTGATGTTTCAACTATTTTACAACTTTCTATATAATTAATTTAATGTATAAATAATTTTGAAAATTTGGTAATTATTTGTGACAAATGTTTGCTAAACCATGTCCATGCTGTCACACTTCAGAGTGAAGATTTTCAAATAATTTATCAATTGCATAACAAATATTCACAATTCTTTCAAGAATATGCACTGCACCGGTAGTAGTAATGAGATCAAACCTCTTCTGTCTCAGTTGAATTTGAGAATGACTCTTCCAAAGTCTTTATAGCATTTTCTTGCTTCTTTCCTAATTAAGTATAAATACAGTAAAACCCTGATTGATCGCAGATTTCAATAAATCATGGTTTTGATTGTCAAATATTTCTTATTGAAAGTATTAAATATGGCTCACTGCATAAGTATAAATGAAATAAAATCTTACCTGGAGTGGTAGTGATACATGTTTCAGAAGATTTCCCTGTTTCTTGTTTATCTGATTGGGAAATTTCATGTAGAGTAAGAACTTAAATCAATTGAAATGCTCAATTACAACCAAAGTTCCAAAACTAGATTCACAACACAACATGAACCAGTTAATTTTCGTCATCTTAGCAGATAGCAGTAAATGTATTACCAGTAAACTTTAGTGAAATAAACTTACTAGCATGTGATGCTACAAGCCCGTCTATGTCTTGAATAATCTCATATATAAGAATCTGTTCCTCCTTTTCTAAACGTGTCACCCTCTCTATTGTAGATGCTTGGGTTGGGCAACTGAAAGGAGACAAGTATTATGTTTGTTTGTTTGGGGACCGGTTTTTGGTACACCAGCCAATGTTTACAAAATCATACATATGATACATAACAATATAATTTTATTTAATATAAGTGAAAATGAGAATTGAAAATTATGATGTAACCTTTATCGTTTATTCTTTAAAAAACCAAAAACTTTAAAGTTAAAACTTGCATATCATGATTTACAACAAGTGATCTACAACAAGTGTTAAAGATCAAGAAGTTTAAGAGTATCACTGAACAGTGTTATAGATAGTAAAGCACAACTTGCTGGAGTTTGCTGACAGGAATCAGTCAGGTTTAAAATATAGCTCATAAATTTTCTTACTCAGAACTGCAGGACAGATAAACCAGAATTTTTAACTGATAATCTGCATTTCTGAGGGTGCAATCTGGTAAACCGATTTTTTTCTTCAGGTTTTCAACCAGGAACTCCGCAACATTTTTTATAGGCTCTTCTGAAATATTTTATGTTTTATGTTTACTGCTAATAACTAAGACTGGTTATTGATGACACAACTTTATCTTCAAAAGCATTGTCATTAAACAATTGGAACAGAATGTTAAATATCATCAAAAACATACCAGGTATTTCCAAGCCATTCATGACATGGTAAATTGCAATAAAATCTTCGTACACCAGCTGTTCTGTGTTTGTGGTATCAATAAAGATAGAAGCCCAGGACTTTGTTACAGCCGTTTCCAGTTCACCCATGCTACCTAGGCTATCAATTTCATGTAACTCGTTAGATAAATTCCATAATTGAACAAATTTCATTACACTAATTGTTAACAACAAGTTGGTGAGGAACAAATTATCATTATCATTAAATTTACAACCCGATGAAAGGAATCCAGCTTTCTTGATGTAAAAAGGCACTCTTCTTTTAATTTAGTTGTGTTAACTCTCTGTAGGATTCTAACAGCTGTAACAACGAGACTTTCCTTTACCAAGTCAAGTGTGTGGTGCTCACTATTTACTGACAATTGTTTTAAACGTGTAATGTATTATCAACTTATAGATTATACGACATATGTAGCTGTAAATAAGATGGATATACAAATCCTAAAAGAGCATACTGAGTTCTAAGTAAAACTGACCGTTAATCCTTACAGTACAATAAACACAACGAATAGACTCATTAATAGACAGTTTTTGGGGGTTCCAAATAATTTCTGATTATTCTGATTTCTTGCGACAAATGATACTGCACTGTTAGGATGTTAATGGTTTAATGTGTTGTCCAGTAACCATAAAGTTCAACATTAAATTTAGATAAGATAAGATTTAAATTTATGCCTCTCTGGGCATCTCATATACAAATATAATTACTTCAAAAAAATTTAGAAAAAAAAGTTTTAAAAATGAGTGTAAAAGGACTGCAGTGATGTATTGTTGGTTTTGGTAATTGCTAATTGGTAGATTGTATGTGCCAGTAATTAAGTGATCCAATTAAATTATTCGAATACATCATTCTAGGGTATGTAGGTCCAAATAAACAAAGTTCTTCCCTGATCTGTGATTTCTGTAACACGCAAACATAATATATAACATAGCCGAAATCAATGTAATCATCTTTCACGCAATGTACTCAGTTTTCTTTTCTTGCTATCCTTAAACCCTCAGGTTGGTCATGTAGTACAGGAGATAAACAAAAATGTTTACAATTAAAAACTTTAAAATAAAACATCGAAGATTGAAGTACAATAGCGCTCGATTTTGTAGCACTATACTTTATATTTGTTTGTGGTTTGAAGAGAGCATATGAAATGTGAGCGGCGCCATTCAAATTTTTAGTCTTGCTAAACATATGATTTTAGTAAACAGTAACGTTACCTGGGGACCTCAGGCTATTATATTTATGTTCATAATCAATAGAGATTCGGCGGAATGACAGGCTGAGCGCGGCCCATGCAGTAAACAGTAACGTAATGGATTAAACCAGAAAATTGGTTCACAGATCACACATCTCAACACTTATTTTACTTCGGACATTCCAACAGCCACATTGTTACACAAGTGTGTAACCAGCCAATTACAGGAAGCCGAAGGATTCAATTATACTTTAGGCCAGTGACGGTTAAGGTAGTGTGTACCATACTTTCTTCGCCCGAGACTTTGCTGCAATGGGTTACCTGAGGACCCCAGGCTATTATGTTCATTAACATATAAATAAATATTTGAATAAAGATTTGGCGGAATGACAGGCTGAGCGCGGCCCAGTAAGCAATGGGCAGCTCCTCATTTAACCCTCACACCCGATTTCTCGAGTATTTGGCTGAGTGGACCGGGGGGCTGCATAGACCACTCAGGATCCTTAGCTGAGCGTCGACGACGCTCACCCCACGGCTAGTGACAGAGTCGGGAATCGAACCTGGTACCTCAAGCAATGCCAGGCAGATTAACCAACTGAGCTACTAAGCCGTTTGAGCCACTAAGCCGTTACGAGCCACAAAGCCGTCATGTGAAAACAGAAAATAAACCAAAATACAAAATGATAAATTTTTTGTTGATTGACGATGTCAACCCTTCCAGATCGTTGCTCTGCGAAGCAGAGCAACGATCTTGTCAGGTGAAGCAAGAATGCCAGTTTGCGCGGCGCGTCGAAGCGGCGAAGTCCTCCATTTTTTTTGTAAATTCAAATATATTTATTTAAAAATTGTAAATTTATAATTTATCAAAACCCTCTCCGAGTTGGACTCATCGACGTGGTTAACGGGTGATACTCGTAAAATATTTGTTTCAACTCATCGCGCGTCCTGGTTTACTGGGCCGCGCTCAGCCTGTCATTCCGCCGAATCTCTAGCTCTATCAGTATCTATGAACATAATAGCCTGAGGTCCCCAGGTAAGTCCTGGTAGGTTATATTATATACTTTATATTATAAACCTACAACGACGCGGTCAATATGCAATATTTAGAACAAATTATATTTTAAAATTAAGCGTATCACTCGTCTTAAACTGAATCATAAACTGTTAGTTCACATAGCCATGTTATACTTATGTGTATACGCGTACTGCACCTTGTTTCTTTTGCATTTTGTGCTTTGCTGCCTTCGGCGGTCGCGCGCTACTGCAAGCGAGAGGGCTCTGGTTAGAGCAAAACTGTTAGTGATGGCTATAGGCTAGGGCGATTAAATTTGTCAATCCACAATCCGAATGCGCGTTGACTCAGAATTATCGTCCTTGGTCCTAAAACATAAAATACATCGATCTTGATTTGTGATTACTTTCATATCCTCAGGGCGGGGGGGGGGGGGGGGGGGTACCAATGGCATAAATGGCATAATGGAGAATTGGCCAATAAAAATTTCCGTTTATGCCATAAAACGTATGCCATTTATGATATAATACATTTCTATTTTCTTTATTTGTCATATGAATCTTTAACGATCATTCCAAGCGTTATAAAGCATGAAACATGTCTCTCATTCAAGTACTAATAATAATTTGCGAATTTAAAGTCAAATATGAAGACCTAAATTCATGGCATAAATGGAGAATTGGCCAATAAAAATTTCCATTTATGACATAAAACGTATGCCATTTATGCCATTGGTACCCCCTAAGGGCCCTTTACATCTGTTCGGCATTTTTATTTCAAGCATGACGCAAGTTCCATTGTCAATTGTTGATCGTTACTGTCACCAATATGTAACCCTGTAATTAGGTCCTTATTATATTAACAAGATTTCAAAGTCCTTAACAACAAACAATGCGTCAATGCGCGGCTTACAAATACATGTAATTTACATATAAGCCGCGCATTATTAAGGACCTTAACAGGGTTACATCTAGGTGACAGTTTGCCCAATATATAATACACAATAAATGATAAATCCAATTCCCATTCGACTGATTTTGTTTTCGGATTAAGCAGATTTTAGCCCGATTTTTCGAACCTTTCATCAGTGAAAAATGAAACTTCTGTTATTCGATACAATTTGTAACATTCACTGAAGAAACATATAGAAATAATGATATTAACAAGGATTAAATATCGCTCAAATTCAAGCTGACAAACAATAAGGCGAGAAGTTATATTTGGGAAAATGTTTTGTTACACACAACAATTCTTGAACTGTGTATAAATAAAATTGTACAAGTTTATACCTACCCAAAAATAAAACACTTTCATATCATAATTTAATGTGTTGGGTATTTTATGTTTATTAAGAATCGAAAAACAGTAAGAATCCAAATAAATATATCATTTGCCCGGTCTTTAATCAGAATCATTTGACGACCCTGAGAAAACATCATCAAATCACGCTCTTCAATACAAAATATCGTACACTAAAAAGTCGCATTTGGTTTACCATCTACTAGTTGATTCCTGAAGCAGATACTCAATGATTACTATACTTAAAACCAACTAACATAACGGAAGAAAAGCTGCACAAATGGTACATAAAATTGAGAACTGACATCAAGAGTCACCAAATTCTTCTTCAAGCGAATCGGTCTCTTATTCCAGCTCGCAAGATATTGTTTCAGGCAGGTTTTCAAAATACGCAGACTTCAACTGGAAATACACAGAACTCTAAACAGCAAGTTCTCCTCTAACATGCTTGCTGAATTGATTGAGTGAAAACTACCGCATATCTTGATATTAGACCAATGTGTATTTGTGATAGGCTCCTTCTTAGATTTCCTTCCAAACCAAAATAAAGGTAACCTGAACAAATTCGTTTACTCTTTTTTTCCACTGCTAGGTTCATCTCCATTCTCCATATTATTGTTATCAATATCCAATATCTTGAGAGTATACACGCGCTTTACTGAACGTCGTACATTTCGACTTTCTTTTCAGTTACAAAATCGCCCACAAGTTCTCTATCACGTTATAATCCTGTTGCAGTTTAACCTAGGTTTTACAGGTCATTCTAAACGTGGGTTTTAAGAATTGTACCAACTACCCAGATGATTATATTATCAATGAACAGGTCGACCCGAAGGTACCAGCACTGAAGCAGTGTTCCACCGCCAAAACATCTAGTTTATTAAAATCCCAAATGTAGGTTTACATAATTAGTTACAAGCCGTAAAGAGCATCAAAAAATTTCCCAAATTTATAGAAAAACCGAATCATTAATTAAGGTCTGACACTTGACTAAAACTGAACTATGAAACTTTTTCTCCGTTCAATTTTGTACGCTTACACTTTATCGGTCTTAAGTTGTCCGGACAAAAGCGTTGCCGGCTTTTTTCAGGCTCACCTGTTTGCCAAATTCTTATTTTCGCCTCTTAACACCAGATAATACTGGACCAATTTAGAACCGGTATATCCAAATTCCGAACTAAAATGCATGGACAAACTCAAGTTAGATACTAGGACCGTAGAACCAAGGGCCGGTAATTGCGAATGGAATATCACAGTTCACTATGTATTCAGTAAATACAGTCTACTCCCAGATCGAGGCGTAGTTACCGATAAGTTCTAAAGGTAATGGACCTCCGGCTGCGAAAAGTCGGAGTCCCGAATCATCGTAGCAGTGAGTCATAATGCTGATGACATCTGATGTTGAGGGAGGGTAAAATGAGTAGCGGTGCATGTGCCAGTCCATATTTTCTGCCTGAAACATTATAAAGTTTAGACTCTGAAGTTATTGGTAATAAAACTGATTTGTTTACTTTGTTAGCTGCCATGGGCTTGATAAAATGTTTATCCATTTGAACTGATTCGACCACACAAGAACTGATTCGACCACATAAGTGATGCCATTCAGCCTACCAATGAAGTTGCAGCGTATGTTTCAT